GTCATAGTGGGGTTACCACTACCAGCTCTTTTTCCAGTTCTCTTACTAAAGTTAAAGTGATTCCATTGTGTTAAAACTTAAAAGTCAATGCCCCATTTGCATGGAGAAACAATGTTTGAATCACCATCTTAGCTGCCACCATACTCGAATTCATTAACGAACACGATATACATAAAACTATCGAAACATTTCTCAAGTTTCTACATCAAAGGTTAGGTTACTATATATGTCAAGGTCTTAAAGTTCAATCATTCAAAAAATATTTATTTTTCTTTTGATTCTCGTGAGTTATAATTAATAACATTCATCAGAAATTTGTGTTGCGCGTTTATGCTCATGTGAATGTTTGTCAAACAATCACGTACAATATTATTTTTGTCTTTCTATTTAAGCGCGCCCAATTCGGATGTTCTTAAACTGGGTAAGAATTATTCAACCTCAAAATTCTCTCACCATTTGAACAAATTAAGGTTTCCTCTTTGCACCCACTAGGTCGGTTTTTGTTGGATCCGTTGATCACATTTAACCATGGCTTGGTAGTAAGTTGGCGTAGTCTTTCGCCCAATCTTTGCCTTCTAGAGTAGCCAAGTTGAAGCATTGAATGGTTCTTCGGCCTACCACCTTTTTTTTTTTATTGGATGTTTTGGTTGTCTTATCAAGCTCTCAAACATGTCTTTGTGTATTCATTTTTATCCCAAGAGAAAAATATTTGTTCGGCTTTCTCTCTTTGACATTGTTGACCTTGTAGGGAGCCCAATTAACTTGCTTGACTATTGATTGTCATCCATTGGCTCACTCAAGGTCTAGGGGTGTCAAAATATGATTGTCGTGATCGCTCTGATAATTTGACTGAACTAGTTCTTTCTTGTCAAAAATATCGTGCTGACATCATAACTATAGGTTTCCTGTGTCCACATATATATGTTTGTATCATTCATTAAATAAATGTATCAACATTTATAAAAATGCATTAACATATATATATCGCCTGCAAAACTGTTGTAATGTAATAAAATAAGCTCTCATTACATCATGTTGTGGGAACAATCTTTTTCAATCGGCCATGCCCGCATTTGGCCTGCTTCTGTCCTTTTTTAAGTCATTTGTTGCATAGCCACGAGTTGATTGTAAAATGAATCCCTCTTCTTTTAGTGACATCACCCCCCCATAACTAGCTGTAGTATCAAAGTTGTAGTCGTGTGCGGTGTATGGGACATTAATACTATAAAATTGGGTCGGGTCCAGGTACGTGGTATACAATTTTGCTTCTCTTTCAAAGAGATTAATTTTCCAACATGTGCATCTTAAAATGTGTCATTTATTTTATACCTAATTGGTTCCTTCACCTTTTGAATGTTGGTTGTGTGTTATATTATGTTGACTAAAAGGAGGAGATGTTAATCAAGATGGACTACTTGAGTAAGGCTCGGGTTCGTCTAAGATAAAACTTGACTTGAACTCGACTTGTGTTTTAAACAAATTGAGCTTGAACAGTTTGTTAGACTCATTTAAAAAAATAAACTCGCCAGACTTATGCTCAAACTCACAAAACTCGGTTAGATTAACACCTCTAACTGAAAGAGCAACTTTGGCTCTTAGCAACGCTTGGGGCTGTCTACTAATCTACGTACACATAAACCTTGGATTTGGATTCTCTCCGATACTTTTTTTTTTGGGTATTCTTTTTTAATAGATTATTTATCATGAATGAGTGAAAGACCCAGTAATATATAATGAGTCACTTGATTTCACAGTAGGCGGTCTACTAATAAAGAAAATAAAAAAAAAATATACTGGAGGATCAATGTCACTCTATAATATTCAGATTTTCAACAATAATGGCCAGTAATCAACTTATATTTCAAATATTTATTCGACGTACATATCTGATTTTTGAATTACAATCCACAAACATGTTGTCGTCAGCAATATAACCCTGTATTTCTTCTATACAATCTTTTGCAGTCTAGGCAACCTAGACCATGGTGGCACATGTATTTGCACAGATTGTCATTGTACTAATGCATGCATCTCTTGACTCTATAAACTCCAATAGCTGCATTGCTATACATGTGCTTGTTGGTGAAAAAATGATAGAAAATCTTTTCAGGTATTCAAGTCCATTAACTTGTATCCAGGGAGGTACCGGTTTGCCTGCTTTCCAAAGGACTATTATACACTATCAGAAGATAAAGAAGCCCGAAAACCAGCACTTGTTTCTCTGCTTGTGGACAGACACACTGCTATTTTCTAGTACTGAGTTGCGTAGACCCGGTGCACAATTTCACATTACAACCATTCCTATACATAGAATAATTAAGGGTAATCAATGCACTGCTACCTTTCCAATAGGTTTTTATGTTTGCATAGACTAGGTTACACTTGCATTGTCCAGCTCCATGCTACGAGTACAGTGTCTGGGCTATACCATGATTAACTATAAAGTTTTACTTTGCCAAGACAAGCTCACTAAATTTGAGAGAAATTTTACACTACAAGTATGATTTATCTTGTTTGAATCTAAGAATATAGTTCTGATACAGTGAAATTAAAGAAGTTTGGATAACATCGTTTTCAATTCTAAAATAAGTTCGATTAAATGTGGTGAGATAGTTGACTATTTATGTTTTATCATTTAGACAACTTGCGTGAACTAAAAACATGATGGGGTGCATCTAGTTTGAACCCACCCCCATATTTTCATTTTGGCCACTAGAATAATAACACATGGGACATTGGTTAGGTAAAGAAGGGCTATTGGACATGCCTTTTACCAATAACAAAGGGACCCTAGACTAAGTTGGCCAACAAGAAATGGACCCCAGAATTGCCTTCCAGTGTCTAAGAGCAAATGAGAGAAGAAAAGAAGATTGCTCACATCTGATGTGGAAGTGGCATGATTTGAGTTGGTGAAGTATATATCAAAAGAACTTTAAGAGATTATAACAGAGATAACTTATAAATTCAAACGTCTTGAATTTGAAATTTAACAATTATTTGAGGTCAGATTATGAAGAATTTATCTCTCATGATTATCTTAATTTTGACGTAAATTATCCATTTTTAACCAAATCAAGAAAAAATAAATTAAAATATACGTAAATTAGTATCAACAACTTTAACCCTCAAAACAAGAAAGAAGTATGTACCAAAAGAAGTTGACAAAGCTAAAATGACTATGAACTTACGAAGGAAATAGTGAAAGAAAGAGATTCAATTGAAAATAAAGCAAGCAAAAGAGCACTGGACCAGTGGTAAGTCTTGTTTTTACTTTGCCAATGCAAAATTCGAATCTCACCGATGCTCTCTCCAGTCGGTAACGTGATTTTAAAAAAAAATATAAAGTAAATAAAATAAAAATTAGAGGAAAGGAAAAAGTGTAGGAGAAATATGAAAGGTGTGGTGAGTAAGACAGCATTACAGTGTTTCTCTTTTGATTGTGGCCGAAATCCCAATGTTTTTCTCTTCATTAAAACCCATCAATTCCTCGATAAAACACCCACTCCCCTCTCTCTCTCTCTCTCTCTCTCTCACTGTATACACAGCCACACAGGCTAGTTGAAAAACCGGCTTCATACTCCATTCCACTTCATGTTATCTCAAAAAGGGCGAGAGTAAAGAAACAGCTCTCTCTCTTTGGTTCAACTTACACATTTATCTGCTACATCGACACCGACCCATCTCGTGTCCTTCACTTTTTCCGTAGCTAAGATGCTTAGAGACCCATTTTGTATCTATTTATTGGTGAACGAATGTTAACTCTCCAAAGAGAAAGCTATTAACTTTAGTTGTGTCTCTTCTCACCATTTTTTTCTGGTAAATCTAGAGGGTGGTGACCAATTCAGCCAGACCCATTTTGGCCAGTTTAACAAGAGGAGGCTTTTGCCTTGGCAAACACAAAACTTTCTACCCATATAGGTACACTCATGTTTTTTTTTTTCATTTCATGAAGCGTTTTTGTCGTTTTTGAAAATAAATTTGTGGGTGTTTTATTGATCTAGTTGTGTTTTGTTCTTTAAGTTGTTATTGTTGATGTTTTTGGTCTGTTGGTGCGTTTTTTATGTTTGATTGATAGCATTATATGCTCTAATTTTTCTCCTCCCAATATTTTATTTTTTCACCCCACAGAAAACATTTTAGGGTTTGATTTCCAAAACTATGAAAACGGCTCTGTTCTTTGAGAAAGAAAATGTGTTGTTTTCTGGTTAACACAATATCATTGTGGTACAAATCTGGTGAGAAGTGTTTTTCTATTATCAACATCTCTGTGTTATCCTCTTCGAATGCTTTTTATCCTATTGTTGGAATTAAAAAAACGGGTGGTGCATTTTTCTTTTTTGTTTCTAAGGTAAGCGAATGTGATCTATACCTACTTATAAGCTTTTGAATACTCATAAACTACTCCTCGGGTATCTGGTTGCTTAGTGTTCTTAATCTGGATGTTATTTCCTATGGATATACAGATAATCTTATCTTATGTTTAATTAGAATCTCTTTTTCTCTTAAATCTTTTGTTTGCATATGTGGAGGGCCAATTTGCTTCTTTAATTTCAGGATCACAATGAAGTTCTGTTGTTTTAATCTAGCGGAATGATTGCTGTTTTTGTTCAAGCTGTATATTTCATTGATTTTTTGAGGTAAAAACTTTTGATGTTTCAGTTGGGTAGAAGGCAGAATCATAGCCGGCCCCAAATGATTGGGACATAAGGCTAGACTTGGCTTCGTTTGGTTTTGTTTGGTTAATTGGGGAGAAGGCACCAAGAGATTGGTTTAGGTATTTTGATAAATTTATCAATATTATGTGGTTCTAATAATATGATAGCCATATAACGAATAAAAGGAGTCAGTGATATATGACCCTTCATGACTTTTATGCTCTTCCCCCTCCCCCTTCTTGTTATTGATATTCATCACACGGCTCATCCATTTTTTTTTTAAAAAAAGTTTTCATACTTTCCAGGTGAATCAAGTGAGATCATTTGGGCTCTGGGTGTGATATTTATGTTAGTGATTCAGAATAATTGCAGGTGGTCCTTTCTCATAGTGGACTTCTAATTTAACTGTGAATTGTCTTGCATATGTAATCTGGTTTGATTTTCATGTAGATCCAGGCTTTTTTTTTTTTTTTTATAAGTTTTCATACTTTCCAGGTGAATCAAGTGAGATCATTTGGTCTCTGGGTGTGATATTTATGTTAGTGATTCAGAAAAATTGCAGGTGGTCCTTTCTCATAGTGGACTTCTAATTTAACTGTGAATTGTCTTGCATATGTAATCTGGTTTGATTTTCATGTAGATCCAGGCTGTCCTAGCTCTTCTCTGTGATGGAAGGGGAAACATCATGGGTCAGTCATTGCCTTGATGACAGTACAAAGAATGTTGGTGAGTATAATTCATTTTCAGAACTTAGTGATGAAGGTAATAAAGAAGTTCCAGCAGTATCCATGGATTTGATCTTGCCTGATGACTTGTTAGAACGAATTCTAGCTTATCTCCCCATTGCAAGCATTTTTAGGGCAGGTTGTGTGTGTAAAAGGTGGCATGATATAGTAAGTTCAGAAAGATTCTTGTGGAACTTGTCACTTCTCCTGACACAAAAGCCTTGGTATTTTATGTTTACAAGCTCCGATGAACCAACTGGTTATGCCTATGATCCTATCCTTCGAAAATGGTATGGCATTGAATTTCCCTGCTTTCAGACACCAAATTGGCTTACTGCTTCATCATATGGCCTTGTTTGTTTCATGGACAACGATAGTCAAAGAGAGCTATATGTCTGTAACCCAATTACTAAAGGTTGCAAGCGGCTTGTGGAGCCTCCAGGCCTGAAATCTTCTGATTTCAGTGCACTGGCAATCTCGGTAAGCCAGATATCTCGCAATTACAATGTGTCAATTGTGAAATCTAAGCAAGTGCCTGGAAACTTCTTTCAGTGGGATCTCTCAATTCATGTTTATGACTCTGAAACAATGATGTGGGCAACCCCTTTAACAGAGGTTTTGACAGGGTGGAGAGGTGGTGAGGAGAGTGTGATCTGTGATGGGGTTTTGTACTTCTTAATTTACTCTACTGGGGGTGGCATGCCTGATAATCGTCATGGCCTAGTGGCCTATAACCTCTCAAGCCGATTGTCCCATGGTTTGTTGAAGAGGAGTTTTATCCGAGTGCCTTGTTCTCTTACTTGTGGCCGTTTGATGAGCCTCAAGGAGAAGTTGGTGATGGTTGGGGGGATTGGTAAACCAGATTGGCCTGACATAATTAAGGGGATTGGCATTTGGGTTCTCAATGGAAAGGAGTGGCAAGAAATTGCTCGTATGCCTCATAAGTATTTCCAAGGATTTGGAGAATTTGATGAAGTTTTTGCTAGCAGCGGTGCTGATGACCTTATATACATCCAGAGCTATGGAGCTCCGGCTCTTCTTGTTTTTGACGTTAAACAGAAGCAATGGAGGTGGTCTCAGAAATACCCTGTTACAAAGAGGTTTCCGCTTCAGCTCTTTAATGGTTTTTGCTTTGAACCCAGGCTTGAATTTACTCCTTAATTCAGTCTCTCATTGGTTTCATATCTGTTGTAATGAAAATATTCATCCCAACTTCCCACAATTTTTTGTGTTTTCACCTACATATCAATTGCTGTGATTTCTGTGTTCTGCTTAAAGGTTTATACGAAATGTACCAGCCAACGAGGCTGCTAATTCATGAAATGGGAAATATATTGTTAGGAAGCAAATACAATTAAGACGGTTTAGAATGAGAATCGATCTCTTGATTTCACACAGCCTTAACCATTACTAATTTCTGTGCTTTTGAAAGGTTATCGTAGTTTCTAGTTTCCTGCTTAGTGTTGACTGTGTTTCTACTATATCCCACTGTTTTACTTTCTTCAGTTACACATATACAATGTTTTTTTAATTGTTTCTTCTTTCTACTGGGCAGCCTTGTGAAATTTGCTAGGTTTGAAGCACAAAAATAGTCTTTTTGTGTCACAGATTAGACTATGTACATCTATTTCTGTCCAGTTCCCGTAATGGTGGAAGTTTTGTGCATTCATCCTTTGCTTGTGTGTGGAAGTTTTGTGCATTGATCCTTTGCTTGTGTGAGGTGTGGTCAAGATGGATGCACATGATGTCCCATGTGCTCCATGTCTTATTCAATCTTTAGGGAAATTTTTGGGAATTGTGTTTCTCCTGTTCATTTTCTTGATTTTGCAATCCTTCCCATCTTAAATAAAAAATGTGGAGATCAGTGCTGTTGTCTTTCCCTAGAGGACATACTTGCTTCTACTGTTCTACAACCAAAAAGTCAAAACTTGGAGATGGGTTTCCATGCTGCTGACCTCTTAATCTGTTCCCATATTTTCTCTCACCCCCCCCCCCCCCCCCTTCCCCTTCCTCTTATTTGTACGTTTTGAAATCATGGGCTGGATGATAGAGAGGCAACTACCCATTGAATTCTTATATCTATTGGCAACCCATAAATTGTATTAGAGGGATTTATTGGATTGTTCTGGCACACAACTGAACAGAGGCAAACAATTAACAAAGTTTGGGCATATCTGGGCCCAATATGCTGCCTTACCTTCCGAGGCCCAACAGGGAAACACCCAAACAATTTAACCTTTCGGCCTTTCAGGACCCACATTTAGGTGTTATTTGATTTGTTGTCCTTCTCATGCTACATGTGTCTATGGGCCATCATTATTGGCCTCAATCATGGACCACATACCACTGGGTTCAGCCCATGGCCTTCCGTTGGGCCTTTCCACTAGTTGGTCCAGGGGATGGGGTAAGTGTCGATCCTTAGCCATTCTGTCCTTGTCTAGATTTTTTTTCAAACATTTAAAAAATCAAAATTTCTAATTCCGTCACTAGAGAAAGATAAAAGACAGATACAAGACGAGGAAAATAATTGTTGGATACCATGTACCAGCATTGGGCTATGTCATCCTCTAGCATGTAAATGCAAGTAGGTGACAATCTTAAATTACCAAATGGGCTATGTCATCCTCTAGCATGTAAATGCAAGTAGGTGACAATCTTAAATTACCAAAGAGAAGAGTAAAATGCCATTGGTTGGGGGTAGTTGCATTATTATCCTCATAGCTTTAGCCACATCAAAGACAATATATCTTGCCAGATGGAAGATTGTGACTTTTCAATGGGAAGATAAAGTCTAGGGGATACCTCTCCTCCCACCTCTTTCAACATGGGCATACACACTTATATCTTATGTGCATGGACCTATAAAAGTACAAGAACAAGAGCAGACTCATGGTAGAAAGTTTCACATTTGAACTAAAAATAAATAACATAGCCTTTCAATATATGTCGATTGATATTAATAACCAAAACTTTAATATTTTTTATGAATTTAAGTTTTGAACATGTAGAGTGAGTCTTGTGTTGTTAGACTCTCTCTCCCAACGTAGACTCATTAGATCGATTCTATGGTTTGACTTTCATTTTATAAAAAGAGAATATAAGCAAACTTTTTCCCCTAATGAGAAATATTTTCAAGATAGGGCTATATTAAACTCACTTCTACATTTAATCTCTTATTAATCACAATTATCAATTAAACCCAAAAAACATCATTAAAAATTAAACCAAGAACATTCCAACTTATAGTTGGTGGATTTATTACAGATGACTGATCTACTTGTGCAGATGAACAACAATCAACCCTCATCAACTGCAAAGAAGGGTTTTTACAGGGTTGGGGTGTTTTTTGAGGGCAGGCACAAATGATTTGGGTCACACTCTCGCAACCATGTTAGGCCTAGGCGTAGGCCATGGACCACAGCACTTTCACTTTGGTCATCTACTGACACACACAGCTTACTGGATGCAGATTTTGGATTCAACCGGAGAATTTATGTCCAAACCATAAAGACACACAAGACAACACAGAAACCATAATAAAGTGATCTTTCCCTCGACTCCATCCCACGGCTCCATTGGTGACCAAGCCTAAGCCTAGTCTCACTCAGCTTATTGGTCGGTCTACCTGTTATGTCACTCTATCCTATAAACCACATCATTAAAAAAGCTGAATGCCCTTTTAATCTTCCCAAAATATATAGTAGCCATAATTACGATCCCCCTAGATCCTCCAGCAAACTTTGATTTGACGAGGAAGCATGACTGCATCACAGAGAGATAGAGAGTTTTAGGTCACTATAAAATGAACAGTTCGACATTTGTTGAGGAGAAAGGGAGTAACTAAGGGAGATGAAGTTTGAGTCGGCGTAAAAGAAAGAGAGGAAGATGGGTATAAAACAGAAGCTCTGGCAGTTTGAAATTGTGTGTGTGTGAGTTTGTGTGAGATAAAAGGTAACTAGGAGATATGGGTGCTAGACAGAACACAAGAGTTTGAAATTTAGAGAGAGAGATAGAGAGAAGACTTGAGAATTTGAAAATTGGAACTTAGAGAGAGATGGAGAGAGAACAAAAAGTTAGAGAGAGAGAGTTGAAAAAGGAGGAATTCATGGGGATAAAGTTGAAACGCGGGTTTTTGGTGGGGAAAAGAGGGGGGAATTGTACTCCTTCACCCACATGGAAATTTAGCTCTGCTCAACCTGATGGTTCTCTAGTACAAAATCTGACCTTCCCAACCAACGCTACTCTCTCTGCTAGAAAGCTTGGTGCAAATCTCTGGGAGGTTCAGCCGCACCTCAAAGTGATCAACATGAGCAAGGGTGACCCCAGGCTTCGCCACCATCACAAAGACAATGGTTTTGTTATTCCCAATAAGTTGGAGGAAGATTCTGATGGCCCCCCTGAGCAGGTACTGCTAAACAACCTTCAGTTTCTGGTGTTGAATGCTGATGTGCATGATTTGTCTTTGATTTTTCATTGTTGGGTTTCTGCATATGTGTTTATCTAGTCTGTGTTCTTTATATAATTTCTTTTTTGGTCTGAAACAAGGTGTTTTTCTGATGGTTTTTTTTTGGGGTTTTTTTTGGGGGGGGGGGGGTGTTTGTGGGTTATGCTTAATTGGTGATTTGGTTGTCACCAGTTTAACTTTTTTTCTTTGGGTTTGTGTGTTGTTTTAATAATCCTTTCTCTTGTTTGGGTGTTCTTGTTGATGGATTGACAATGCAAATGTTGATGCTTTTCATTTTTCTTTGGGTAGTTTTTTCTTGTTTTATAGTTTGAATGTTTACTTGATTATATTATGTACATGTTAGATTTGTTTCTTTCAGATAATAAAGATGAACTACAGTTGTTTGATGTTTTGTGTTGGAAATTCCGGTAGCGTGGTTGTAGTTAGTTTTGTTATATAGAGGGTTTCAGATAAGGCTGAAAAGTTGCTTCTTTTATTCCTTTTGTTGTCTTCAGTTCAGCCGTTTCTTTTTGGGTTGTAAGGTTCATGGGGAACTTAATAAGGGAAGATGTTATTTTGTTTCCCTCCTTTTGGATCCTTTTCCTCAAATCTCTAGTTCAAGTGGTATCTCTTGTCCACCTAATTAGGAGAGGTGCTAGGTCAAGTCTCAAACTAACAAAAAAGCAACAGAAAAGAAAATTTGTCCATACTCCATAATAGTTCAGCTTATTAGTTGCCATTTTGTCTGTAAATGCATGTATTCATGTTAGATCTATGTGTGGTCTTTGGCTGATTTTAGTCATTGATATTCTGACAGCCCATCTTCGGTTCATCCGATTATCTCGAGTTTTTTTATGAAATTACTGCCCCTTTTTATGATGATTTCTAACTTGTTTTCCAATTTGTTAGTTTAAACCCACATTTTTCAATGTAAACGTCGTGTTTAATTTGGAAATTGATTATAACTATCTCCAACGTACATTTACATAAGGCTTGGTTTGGCGAAGACGGACTTATAGCCAACCCCAAATGATTGGGACATAAGGCTTGGTTTGTTTGGTTGGTAAAACCATGCACTATTTTTATAAGTGGAATCCATCTTTAGTAAGTGATTATCAGGAATGACATATTTGCAAGCTTATCATAAACAATTGGGAGAAAGTTTCAGGTCTTGTCTTTGAGCGGAATTGGTGATTTTTCCGCTTGCTGATCTTTACCCTTTATCTTGTTCCAGCCAGCGACTGTGAGTAGTTTGAGAAGACATGTTGCAGCATCGCTGACTCAACACCATCAATCAGTCAAAAGAATTGGCCATCCTCTTCAGCCTGCATCTCCTGCCAGTTATAGTAGCTCAATGGAGGTATTCCACCTCATCTTTCCGTCTATGCACATTCCTACTTCATTTGTATGTTTTCTTTGTTTCAACTGATAGCTAAATCAAATGGGAAGAACATATCCTTCGGCTGATGTGAATTTATTAACAAGTGGAGAAGAAGAAGCAAAGTCGGGTTTTTGTCACTGCATATCTAGGGCTTTATCCATTTTACATTAGAGTACAAATGCAATTTGCCTTCTAATTAGGAGATATTGAAGGCAAACATTAGAAGCGAGTTCAATCCTGTGTAAAGTGCATTCCTTGCTCCCTTTTTGATTTTTTTCTCCTTTTATTTTATTATTTTTTTTAAAGAAGGGGGGGGGGGGGGTTGGTGCTCCCCATATCTATGTTCCTCTATTTTAGGACTTGACCAAGTTCCTTCCAGTAGAGACTCTGCACACTGTCCTTCACCTCAATCCTAAAGTCAAGCACCTTATATGTGATAATCAATAATCGTAGATGCCACCTCGTAAAAATTTATCAGTTTCACTGTATCATGGAATACTTTGAAACGGAATACTTTGAAATGGATTCGTTTTAACAGCTGATTGTATTCAATTCAGAATGCCCATTGAACTACTGTTACAGCTGTGAGAATGTAATCGCTTTGAGTTTGTTACTTGGTCCATGCCATCCCTGTAGTCAATGAAGTACCGCATGCACAATCTGTGGTGGCACTCAGCTCAATGTACTGCATCACCGAGCGCGTTGCCGCCACTGTCTCCCTCCGCTACTCCATCCCTTGCTTGGCTCTAGCCTTGTCCAGACCTTATGTATATCTAAATTTCTACTATTGAACGTAGAGGGTGTAAATTTGTTGAATTTATTTCAGTTTGAGCAAAAAATGTCCTTTGTTGTGATCAAAATACCTCAGTATAGATTTCATGCCTGGGTCTATAAAAGATGGTTTTGTCCATTTTACTGCTCTAATTATCCTATATGAAGAACATCAATAAAAGGCTCCATAACTCTGTTTACTAAAATTTAGAAGCAATTGTTTGTTCCTGACAGATGGCGCCCCATAACCCTGCAGTCACCCCTAGCAGTTCTTTGGAGTTCAAGGGTAGGATTGGAGAATCAAGTTACAGTCTCAAAACATCTACAGAGTTACTGAAAGTGCTCAATCGGATATGGAGTCTTGAAGAACAGTATGCATCGAGTATGTCATTGGTGAAAGCGCTGAAAAAGGAATTAGATCATTGTCGAACAAGAATCAAGGAGTTACTACAAGAGAAGAAAAGGGATCGACAGGAAATGGATGACTTGATGAAGCAAATTGCTATGGATAGAGTTGTAGGAAAAAATGTAGAGCAAGATCGAATCAAGGATGCAATTCAGTCAGTGAGGGATGAGCTAGAATATGAGAAGAAATTAAGAAAACATTCGGAAAGCCTTCACATTAAGCAAGCTCGAGAACTCTCAGAAGTGAAATCTGCTTTCTCCAAAGCTTTGAAAGAACTTGAAAGGGAGAGGAAAGCAAGGATTTTGCTGGAAGACCTGTGTGATGAGTTTGCCAAGGGAGTAAGCGATTATGAACAAGAAGTTCGGTTCCTGAAACACAAACCCCAGAAGGACCGGCTTGTATGGGAGCACCCTGATCGGTTAATTCTCCATATTTCTGAAACATGGCTAGATGAACGGATGCAGATGAAGCTAGCAGAAGCTCAGTGCAATGTTGCAGAGAAGAACACAATTGTGGACAACTTAAGCTTTGAAATCAAAACTTTTCTTCGAGCTAAACAGTCCATTGGTTTCAAGACTAATGATGAATTATCCTCAAAGAAGCCCAAGGAACGAAGGCACTCTTTAGAATCCTTTCACTTGACTGAGGCGGCAAGTGCTCCTCGGAAGGGGGATGATGGAGAAGATTCTGTGTGCACTGCTTCACATTCTTTTGAATTAAACAGAGGTTCAAGCGCGAAGCTAAGCAATGGCTGCTGGAAGCAGCATGGGGTCAATGCTCTGGAAAGTCATCCTGATGAAATAGTAAAATCAAATCCTCTGAAGAAGAAAGTTCGGTTGCGCCAAGTTGGCCAGCGCCGTGATTTGTCTAGCTTGGAAATGCACTTGGAAGAACCTGTATCTGGGGGCAAGACCGAGCCTTTGGAAGCGGAAGTGCAAGTAGAAAAGTTGAAAATAAGTGAGGTTGCACAAGAAGGTTTGCAGGAAAGGAGTGAAAGTGCTGGAGTCTGTGATCATGTGCTAAATAACATGGTTAGAAAGGATTCCTCGACGTTGGAAGGGATGGAAATGCAACATGAGCACAAGTTAAAGGAAGATTCTCCTGATCTGGCAGCGGTTTTGGGTCATGATGCTAGTCCAGCGCAACAGTGGATGTCAAAACTCAAAGCTCAAGATCCTGAAGTATCTGACTCTTCTTCTAAATTACCTCGGGGTGTAAAAGAGAACACTTTGAAGGCAAAGCTACTCGAAGCAAGGTTAGCTGGCCGACAGTCTCGCTCAAAGGCATCCAAAGGTTCCTCTTAAGCTCGTTGGACTGTTGGAAATTATCCTGCAGTACAGAGTTTCATGAAGAACTTACTGGTTTGTGGCTATCATGCAAGATCCTAGTCCTAAATTGGGTGCGACCATGCAGTAATTATGAAATAGGTATTCGTCTTGTCATCGTAATCTGGAACTACAATCTGTATATGAGAAAAGTGTCGTTGTTTACATGGTTATATAGATCGGCTAGCAATTAAGTCTCACCATCTTTCCAAAAAGTATGTGTTTTTTGTTGAGTTTAACATCGATGCAATTCTGTCCAAACGCCTTTGTTTATCTTTCCAGTAAAACCTGATTTTTCCCTTTTTATTTTTATGATGGATAGTATCCTGCTGCGGGAACTCGTAGACATTCACTAACCTGAAATTTATTGGCCTAAACCACGCAATTGTTTTGGGAGCATGAAATGTAGTAAGGTATTGCTCTCAATATTTGATATGAAATATGGCTCTCTGCGTCATTCCGACAGTATGAGCATTGTTTGTGGATATGCTTGTTTCCTGACTCCTGAGACAGCTAATAGCAGTATTTAGTGGGTCGTAACTAGAATTGGCAGGCCTATCCTCAAGTTTAAGGGAGGATGGGCCACAATCATGGGCCATCCGCCTGTTCTTTCACAATCAACACTTGAACCATAATACAGGATTCATTTCCTTTCTTCTGAGAGCTGCTCACAACATGAGCATCTTTCTTGTAGCTGTAGTTTCATGGATTGTTTACGTCACATGGTAAGACTAGACCCTTCTCAGATCCCACCAAGACGAAATTCGCCAGCAGTTTTTCATTGATGATTTATAGTTGATGAGGTTTGAGGGGCATCCCTGGAACTCCCTTTGATCCAACCAAAGAAGAAATAAATGAAGGTTTTGCATCTGCTGGTTCATGGATACCTTTAGTTGCCCACGTAAGAGGCGCCTTACGATTTTGCGATGACTAGGAGATGATATTCCCTTCTTCCTCTTCATGTTTGGATTGAAAGGAGCACTAATAGCCTCTCTCACCTTTCTGTCACTTGCAGGTTGTTCACTTCCATACATGGTGTTGATTTTTCAACCACACACAAACATATAAATTGTTAAGCATAAGCAGATGAATTGCTGAATAATCTTCTATTTAACTGCACGTACGTACTATTTTACAGAGTCAAAGGTTTAAAACCTGAAATAGATAATACCTCCCTGGGAAAAAAAAACCTGAACAATTTACTACCCCTTTTCAACTGTAGCATCCTGACTGCTCTGTTAATTTTCATGGGAGTTGAAATCTGAAAGGGGATAGCAGTTTCCAGTCACTTGAAGAGGTTAGTCCTTCCAATTACCAGCAGCCAGGTGATTTTATGTAGTCTTTCCCATTCCAAGAAGAGGCGAATAGCAGCCGCTACTACACTTGGGCGACACTTGCATCTAACTGCCATACAGTTTGAAGGTCCATCACCATACAAACCCTCTGTTCATGTGCTTGACATGTGTATCATATGCAGCGCAACTAGAGGAATGTGATTTCCCATTGCTTCGTGTTCTTCATCTGGAATACTTAAACAAGACAATTCTTTTGGCTGCTTGCATGTCAACATGCAGGTTTTTTGGTACTCAGGCAGGCTCATAAAGACCTAGCATGTGCCCATCAACACACCTCATGGCTGCAACCTGGACAGCCACCATATTGTGGGACTTCATCAGATTTTCCACATAAAAACCAAAGATTGGAACTTGATTATGACTAGGCCATAGTCTCAAGAGCATAGACTAGAATTGCACTCTTCAACAATTGAAGAATTACCAATCACACAATAACACCAATGTATCTTGGAAATGTTTTCCGTTATCTTACAGTCAAGTCAAATATTGTGATGTATGACTGCTAAAACTGCTCAAAAAGGCCCAAAAAACTCGAAAAAAAATGATTTTGGGTTGTACCTTGCCATGGATCTCATATTTGATAGGATCATCCAGTTCAGCACCTAAAGCCACTAGTTTTGCCACTGTATTGTTAATATCAGTCACCGTAAAAGATAGGAGTGAGGATGATCCCTTCTGTGTGACATGGTCACTGTAAAACTAAAGTTAGCAACTAATTGATTCAAGTTAATGGAGGCAGCATATAATCCAAGTAACAGGGAAAGAGCCAAAGAAATCATTCCCCATTGTACGAGCAAAACATTAACAAAAGACAACCTCTTTTTTCTAGGTTTTTGTTGACATAAATCATAGTTTAGGAGAAAGGTGAAAAAAGAAGGGAAAAGGTATGTATTTAAGACATGTAACAAGGTGCAATAATCCTTCGGCATTTATTATAATTCTACAAAGAATAATCATCTAAGCAGCATTTACAAATTGCATTTCACTGCTTCTAAGCTGCTTATGCAACAAAATTGTTAATATCCATCTCAGATGATTCAAGTAGCCATTCATTTGCATCTGCAGATGTGATAATGCCTTTTGACAACACAAACATACTGCAAAACACAACATAGGATACTGCTATTAAATAGTATGCTAGTATTGACCCCTCTTACGGTTTTTTACCCTATACAAAAAAATCCAATCAGCAACAAAATCCAGTGTGTCCATCTTAAGTATTTCTAAACATCGAATGAAAAAAGCCAAGAAAAGGGAAGTGGGACGAATGTTAATATCATAAAACAGGCGTAAAACCGATTCTTTTATACATTAAAAAATGTAGCTGGTAACTACCAGTTGACAGCTAAACTAGGTAAACAAACAATACTTTGCCCCTTTCAATCCTTACTTGAAATATTGTGCACTAGTATTTCATAAACAGACAAGTTACAGTACAAATTTGGGTTAACAGCTTTACTGAATGAGCACCTTATAATCCAAAACGTTCACAACTACACCTAGGGAAATACAATACTCATAATCATCCTTTTGAATCAGTTAGGAGAAAGATCTCCAAGGCAGAACTTCAGAAAAATATCAGCATTCAAGTTATGACTTTTCCAAGAACAATGCATAATTTACCATATTTCTCCTGCAAAACCTAAACCCATATTATTTTTGCCTTCCTCTCTCAGAAAAGTCACGTGAGTCTGGATTCTCTGCTGCAGTTTTGACGTCATTTTGAGGAACAACACCCCCCCTATAACATTGGTGTTCCTAATTATTCCAGTCCAATTCTCAGGACTTCTAAAACTCAAGGTATTTATTATCCTTAAGTTATCAGTTATCACATACCCCCCCCCCCCCAAAAAAAAAAAAAACACACACACAAACATATATCAGCATCAGCATCAGCATTGCATGTCTTTAAAGGACTAAACGATTCGAATACCGCCAGGAAGGTAATAAAAAGGACATCAAATACACAGTCAATGAGAGAAAGCAGCACTAATGACATTGAGGAGATAAACTAGTAGATAAAATAAGTTTCGAAAAGCATTGAAGCTTCAGTTACCCGAAGAATCAACTTCCCACATCTGTTTTTAATCTCTCGCCTAATCAGTTTGATCAAAATACGGAATTTGGGTATTATCATTTTCCTCCTTTGCATTCATTTGTCATCACTATAACGAGAGAGAAAAACCTAGAAAATTTTAAAAAAAAAATAGCCAAAGAAAACTCAGGAAAGACAGAATGGAGAGAGAGAGAGAGACCTGGGAGAGTGCAAGAGAGCGAGTTTGAGGGGGCCAGAATGGAGCTCGGCCCAACGGAGAGTGCAGACATTGATGGTGAAGCCCAATCCCTCTGAGTAGAACCTTGCCGCTTTTGGCACGTGCTTGTGGAGTTGCAGTATCCACCTCAACGATGCGGCCATCTTCTTCTTCTTCTTCTCTACTTTCACCTATTGAGTTGGAGAGAAGAGAGGAGACGATGGTTTCCTTTACTGACTTCTTGAAACGGTGTCGTGTTTTTATTGGACATTGGGTAACGTTTTTATTGCCAAAGCCCCTTGAACATGAATGCAGGCCAACGACTGAGTATACGATCCAATGACGGCCCACTAATATTGGGCCTTTCATGGAAGCATGAATGACTCGTCTTTAATCTAATTTTATATTGTATTAGTTATTAAAAATATTTGTATTATATAAATTTATTTTGTTTGTGCGTGAAATAAATATAACCCATAATATTGAGTCAATTTAATTGTATTAATATATAAATTTATTACTTTGTCCACAAAATAAATAAAATCGTATTGATTTAAATTAATAAATAAATAAATACAAACATCGAAGAAAGGCTTGTGACTCAAAACCGATTGGCATCTCAGAATTTAATTTGGATCAATTAAAATCCGTCAAATAGTATTTGTCGGCAAAAGGTTAGTTTTTGGGTTCATGGGCTTCTGGGCCCATCGGAAACCCATTCACACCGACAATAGGATTGATCCGGTATTTCCTGAAAGGGAATGGAATAGTAGTGCCGCTGCCACAACTATAAATTCCAACACCCCCAAAGCTTTCGTAACTCGAACGCAAGCTGAGATACCTTAAAAACCGCCTTAGTTAATCTTCAGCTAAGAAGAATCCTGCACAATCTTCTGATCTAGGGTTAGGGTTTTGTTTTCTGACTCCAAAAGATGCCGAAGAACAAGGGAAAGGGAGGGAAGAACAGGAAGAGAGGAAAGAACGAAGCCGATGATGAGAAGCGAGAGCTTGTGTTCAAGGAGGACGGCCAAGAGTACGCTCAGGTGCTCCGAATGCTCGGAAATGGCCGTTGTGAAGCCACCTGCATCGACGGTAACAAACGCCTTTGTCACATCCGGGGAAAGATGCACAAGAAAGTCTGGATCGCTGCTGGCGATATCATCCTCGTCGGACTCCGTGACTATCAGGTACGGAAATCGTACTCCCTTCGTTTTTTTTTTTGTCGATATTTTCAGATCTCGATTTGTCTATTTTCCAGAAATAGAGCCTTACTTACAAATCGGTTAGATGCATCTGGAATCTTATTTTCTTCTGTTTTATTTTGCTCGTATTAGAAACTTCTGATTTATTTCTCAATCTAAACCACTTTAGACATCGAACAAAGTTTAAAGGAAACGGTATATAGGGCAAAAACTTGATGTATTTATTACCAGGACGATAAGGCTGACGTCATCCTCAAGTACATGCCTGATGAGGCTAGGCTCTTGAAGGCGTACGGTGAGTTGCCGGAGAACACTAGGCTCAACGAGGGGATTGCAGGAGGCCTTGATGAGGAGGATGATGGTGCTGGTGATGATTACATCGAGTTTGAGGACGAGGATATCGACAAAATCTAGGGTTTGTGAACTTGAACTCTGGTTATGGGCTTTGTTTGGCCTCAAGTGTATTTGCTTCAGGTGTAATTTGGTAAAATAGAGGGAGAATTATATGTAATATTTTAAGTGACATGAAGGTCTATATATAAGTTGAAATTTATGCATGAAGGTTTATGCTTTGATGGAATGGATGCAATAATACAGTTACTTCTTTCAGTCTTCTTACTTATCAATTGTTTGGTTTGTGAATTTTGTTGATGATTGATTTTAGCTTGTTTACTAAGAACGAAGAAGCTCTATAGTTTTCATGTGGAATTGTGTGATTTGCAATTGGTTCTCTTTTTGTTTGATTAATATTGTGCAGGGTTGAAATGGAGTTTCTGTTTTACTGATTAATTTTGGCGTCCTTGGAAGGGGTAGAGGGCTGATTTGAGCGATTGATATGGATTGTTATTTATTTACCAACTCTCACTATATCCTAAGGAATTAAGGGTATATAGTTTCTTATTTTGAACAATGGAGATGAGAATAATTTCTTCGCAGTCCTTCCCTTGTTGGGTTGGTCTCAAACTGGATTGATGTGTTAGTTTAATCCTTTTGAAATGGCTTGTCAATGCCCCCTTTCATCTTATGGTATTCCCTTTTGTTTTATTTTACCTGTAATATCCTGTCTGGCCCAGGATTTGATGTGCCTCTAGGTAGAGCTGATTTGTGAGGGTTTGTATGCCTAATGACATAGAAGGGAATTGGATAGTTTGTTAAGAGTTGTGCCTACTGCCTGTATGTGTTACATCAGCTTGTTATGGGTACTGGCCTGAGGTTATTACTTACTGGTTTGGAGGGTCATGCATCATGCATGTTTAGAAAAAAGGAAGAGGGGGAGAGAGAGAGAAATAAAGAGAGGGGGGGGGGGGGGATTGGTAGTTTTGACATGCCATGCACAATTCATGTTAACTTCGTGTTGAGACTAGTACGGCAAGAGCAACTCAAAGGGTACTAGTTAGAATAACTAGGTAAAATATATTTTTTTATTATATTATTTATTTTAAAGAGCAACTCTAACTTATTCATTCTTATAATGCTCTCTATTTTAGTTAATTATTTTAATTAGCTTTAACTAATTATTAATAATTAAAATCTAAAATACTAAATAAAAAATGTTCTTGATCACCTATGTTCTACCAAAACCAAAATTTGGTTTGGTTTCACAACCCTCTTTGGTGTCTTATGGGTGTGATAGATCATATTGGCCATCACCACCGAAGAGGACGAAGAACCGTAGAAGGCTCGGACGGTGCTTGGTGCAGATTGGATCGATTTGAATGCCATGGAAGGAAGAATTGAAGGTTGTTGAGAGGGTTGATTTCGGATAGAAGGTAACAGCCGAAGGCAAGATTGATATGGGTGAGGTTGCATCTACTTCTAATTTCACAAATTCAGTCAGTGGGGTTTTTTTGACGGGATTTCAGTGGGATTTTCTGTGAGTTTTTTGGTAAAATTTTTGGGTTTTTCAATGGGAGCCGAGACAGAGATGGGGTTTCAGTAGGATTTTTGTGACCCCATATATACACCCACGGAGAGAGAGAGAGAGAGAGAGAGAGAGAGAGAGAGAACTCCATATTTGGACTGGACGAAGAACCTCTATCTGATCGAGGAAGAAACTGTCTGGTTGAGTTAGAGATTTAGTATGTTTAGGATGATATGATGGGAACGGTAATGTTTAGTTAAATGAGGTTTGAATGTTTAGGATGATAAGCTTCGAAGCTTTTGAAATTCGAGGGATGCATTAGGCGATTAATGAAGCCTTTATAGCCTGCTTTCACTCTGAAAACATATGATTAGTTTCTGCTATTTGGGGAAATTTGCGGCTTTCAAGAATTGTTTATGCTGGGTTTTTTTTCCTGGAATGTCTATTTGTGGCAGGGCTGTATTCATTTTTCAATTGTTTCACTCTTTAAAGTTCAATAGTAACTGGAACAGTAACATACATGATCTCTGGAAGTGGAAGGAAATGGTAATAAGTTTGAATGTCCCCCGTTCCAAAAGGATGGGAGTAAGTGATCAAAAACTGGCTTGCTAACTGAAGACTCGTGAACTAAACCATTCTCCAAAAAAGAGTTAGAGGCTAATGAATTGGACTTGATTGCCAATGCTGATGTTAGTTAATGAGAGCCTGGTTAATCTAACACTGCTTTGTTGTTAATGTGTTGAAGCTACTTTACGCTGCTTTTTTATCCACCAGGAATTCTCCTCCCTCCGTTAATTTTTTATTCAAGAGTGAGCAAGTACTTTCCTTTGATGTAAAAGGTGCCCAAGTTAGCAAGGCCCTTTTTTTGTCAAAAAGAAGTTAGATGAGGAAGCACACAACAAGCTCTTTTATGGGCACCTCTTTCATAAACAAAGGTCACTGGGGGTCTAAATTTCTCACATGAATATGGCATCTGTATTCTGACAATGGCTTCCTTCATATCGGTTGAATCGTAGATCAATAACTTAAAAGAGTCTCCCTCGTAACATTGTGAAAGCTGAATAGGCAGGCTATTGCTTACATAGTTGATCAGATCACATAACCCTTTGGACAACCAACAAAACTGACACATTAAATTCCATCCCAATCAATAACACCTTCTGTTGCTTCTGTTTTTGTTTTGTGTAGGCTTTCCCATGAATATTGAAGGTAGCAATTGAATCAAAACACCACAATACAATCAAAAGAAATGGCACTGAAAAGTACTTGTTTATAACATCTAGGCAAAAGAAAATGGACAAGAAAACAAACTTTTTTTTTTTCAATTTACCATAAAATAATACAATTTGAACAACCACTTGTAAACATAAAAGAAAAACAAAAACAAACAAAAAATTCATACAAACCCATAAATCAGAAATCCTCATCCATCTTGAACACATGAGTGTTGGCACCATTCCCATTCAAACTGGACATCACCGAAGCTTTCTGATACTCCCCAACCCTCTTCTCAAAGAAATTAGTCTTCCCCTGCAAACTAATCAGCTCCATCCAATCAAATGGATTCTGAACATTGTACAATTTCCCATATCCCAATGCGCCCAACAATCTATCAGCCACAAACTCAATGTACTGACTCATCAGATCACTGTTCATACCCACCAAGCGACAGGATAAAGCGTCGCACACAAACTCTCTCTCTATCTCCACGGCGTCAGCAATGAGTCCTTTAACTCGGTCCTCACTCAGTTTCATTCTAAGCAAACTGTAAAGCAAACAAGCAAAATCACAGTGTAGACCTTCGTCTCTAGAGATCAACTCGTTTGAAAATGTGAGTCCAGGCATTAACCCACGTTTCTTCAACCAGAATATAGCACAGAAGCTTCCGGAGAAAAAGATCCCTTCCACACAAGCGAAAGCGATCAAACGCTCGGCGAATGATTCGGAGCCATCGATCCATCTGAGGGCCCACTTGGCCTTCTTTTCGACACAAGGGACGGTCTCGATTGCGTGGAAGAGCCTATTCTTCTCATCAGAGTCTTTGATGTAGGACTCCAACAAGAGACTGTACATTTCTGAGTGGATATTTTCAATGGCAATTTGGAAACCATAGAAGGCACGTGCCTCGGCGACTTGGACTTCCTTCATGAATCGTCCGGCGAGATTTTCCAACACGATTCCATCGGAGGCGGCGAAGAAGGCAAGCACGTGAGTGATGAAGTGTTTTTCATCGCCGGTTAGGGTTTCCCAGTGAGGAATATCTTGTGAGAGATCGACTTCCTCGGCGGTCCAGAACGAGGCCTCGGCTTTCTTGTACATTTCCCAGATTTGAGGGTACTGAATCGGAAACATACAAAATCGATCTGGGTTTGGGGCTAGCAATGGTTCTTCGGGGATCGAAGGCATTTTTGGGTTAAAAACTTAAAACTAAATGAATTCTAAATGTGGATCTTGTTGAGGATTGAGAGAGAGGGAGATGGGGATTAGGGTTTGGGTGGGAGGAGATAGATGGTGGATTGAATGGTGTTTGTGATGGTTTTTATAGGAGGAAGAGTGAAGGCTTTTGAATGCGAGAGAGAGTATGAGCGGGTGATTTTTGAAATTTTGATGAGAAGCTTGCGCGAGAATGAAAACCAGAGTAGCTTGTTTCGGAATTTTTGAGGAAGAAGGAACAACGACATGAGGTTTGAATTTCGACCAAGCTTGCGAGGGAAGCTTTAACTGGATGCCTATTGATTTTTCCGTGTCGGTTGTTCTCTAAGTTTGAATTCGAGCGGGGATTCAATTTGGCGCGCCCCTTTCAAGCTCTTCCTGGTCAAAAACTATCGAGTCATCGACATCACGTGATATAACTACTCAACTATAAGTGTATTTTCGAACATGATTTAAATTTTTATTTAAATTTAAATTAATATTTAAGTAAAAAGTTTAATTTGATACAAAAAAAACTCTAATGGACAAACTCAAATTTAAAAAAAGAGAAATTTAAATTTAAATGAGGATAAATTCAAAATTAAATAAGACTAAAGATGATCTTTGGATCTTTAAAAGAAGGTAAAATTTAATCATTAAATATTTTGATAAAGTTTTGAGTCTCCTTTAATTTGAGTAAAAAAAAAAGAGTTCCCCTTGATTTGGTATAAGAGCAATGTTATTGAGATTTAATTTATTAACTTAATTTACTGATTTAATTTACTATAACCTTTAGATTCACTATAGAGCCCATCAAATATTGAAACTTGTTATTGATTAAATGGTTTCAATACAACCACATCATTAAATTAACAAATTATGTCAGATTTTTAAGTCCAAATAGCATTTGTCTTCGGTATAAATTTGAGTAAGGATTAGAACAAGTGTTTTAAATTTTTTTTACTCAAATTTAAATTTAAATCAGGGTTAGATATGCCCTAATAATAATCGCCCCATCTAATAAAAGTGTGTACGGGATAATAGTGGGATTTATTAATTCTATTTGATGTTTTATTATTAATTAATTATATCATTTGTAAATAATGACATTATATTATTCATTCATCGATGGCCGCCATGTTTCTCGTATAAATCATGTTTAGCTAATATTTGTTCACTAGTAATAACCCGTGTCTAAAGACACTTTACAACTAAAAAAACACCGTCACTTTGAAACAATTTTTCTTTCATTTGCTTCAATTAAAGAAATTGAAATCAATCTAGTTTTCACTATTTTTTTAAAAAAAATCGTCATAATTTCCCTCTAAAAATAGTAATCTAGAAAAATCTCAACTTGTATACAAAGATTATATATCTCATAGTCATACTCAAATCAACATCATAATATTAACCATTCATGTCATAGTCCATCCTTAAAACAACAATTTAACAACATAACAATTTACCTAGCTATTGGTTAACCCCATTTAAATATTGGTTGAATTGCAGATAAGTTTAAATTAATATGGGCTTTACTATTTTTCAAATAATTTCAACAAAGTCATCTCCAAAAATTAAAAATATAAGATTCCTTGGTTATGAAAAAGAATTACAGTCCGGCCATGCATTGATCAAGCTGTCAAAACAACAACTTTGTGTGACTAAATCAACCTGAAGACAAGAAAGAAAATGAATTAGTCATATTCGTAGGACACTAAACCGGACAAAAAGAAAACGAAAAATAGAAACGTATAAGCGTATGCAAGAAAATATGAATTACAAACCCAATAAAGCAAATGCGAGAAAATGGAAGCGTGTAAGCAATTGTCTAAACCCAATAAAACAAATGGAAGCACAAAAATAGAACTAATTTGTAACGGAAAAATTGGAAAAACAAAGCTAAGAGGATTCCTTTCGTGATAGGGGTTCTTTCAACATCAACTCAAAGCTACACAAAACAAAAAGTTACAATAAAACTTAAGGACATAATCAATAGTTAATTGAGAAAGTTTCTAAAACCCGTAAACTTTTATAGATTTCAAACAAAATAGATCACATTCAAAGTGGTATGACACTAAAAATAAATAACTTAGCTATTCTCAAAATAAATAAAAAATTACCTCACGACATGAGAGTGTCGAGTGATCGTGATCACCGCTTGAGTTCAACCATAGCAAACATTTCCTTCAATTTGCGTCAAATTGAACCTAATGGCAATAGAAACACATATTTATCAAAAAAATCGACCCATCATTCCACAGAAGAGTTGGAAATTAACCAACCTTTATATACCAATGGAGCAATAACATTCAAACCAATTTAACATTCAAAATACCCAAACTATAACATTCGAGCTATAACAAAACTTATCAAACTTATTTGAAAAAACACTCAAATGAACACCAAAATTATCAAATCAATTTAGAGCATCCAAATTCCAATTGAAAATTGCCAACTTGATATCTCATCAAAAGTATGCATATTAATATGTTGAAACACGTCTATGAATCTATCAATTTCATTAGGTTATTCAAATTAAACAAAAATTCACAGGGGTTCAAATTATATACTAAAATTCATATTCAAAATCACAAATAATATGTACATCACCAATGCAGATAAAATACTCAGCAAATCAAGCCAAAACTCTCACTTCATAGCACCAAGGTGGAGTAGTTATATAACCCCAGACTGACTCTCAGTATGGAGGAGGCAAACCTGAAAATTATGGAAGAACCATAAATTTAAAAAAACACAAATAAAAGTAGAAACGTATTAGAGTAAAGAAATTGACAACTTTCGACCACTATAGAATGTGTTTGGTTGCTTCATTTACAAAAACTTTTTAAATGATGGTGTCCTTTAATTCCAAATAAACAAAAAAACTTCATACTAAAAACTAGATCAGACTTCATACGTAAATTCAATCTTACGCAGTTAAAAAAAATTATGATTCATATATCATATCTCATTTTTTTTCCAATCAACGTGATAATGAACTCACACTTAGAAGAAGAAACTTCAATTTAGTCCAATACAAAGCTAAAATACTAATGGAATTATATCAGTGCTTTAAAACCCATATCAGTACTTTAATGAAATTCATGAATAACAGATGGAAGAAACTGTTCAAGAAAAAAAAAAGATCTCTAATAACCCAGCAAAATGAATTCATTTTAAATTATCCAAGAACTTGGGCAAAGAACATGCGGGTTTTGAAATGCATTTTAATAAAAGATCTCTGATAACCCAGCAAAGTCAGCTTTTGAAATGCAATAAGAGATTCTCGCAAAGTTATTGAATTTTCAATAAACAAAATCAAAATTTTCTAATCCCATGAATTGTCTATTCTGCAACTTCCTTTTCCATGAAGCAATCAAACACATGATTCATTTGATAAAGAGGAAAAAAAAATGAAAACCCATTAACTTAGGCAAAGAACGTGGTATTTTTTTTCAGAAGTGGGTATTTTTTTTTCCACTTAGAAGAAGAAACTCTAATTTGGCCCAATAACAAAGCATACTAATCAAAGAAGGATTGACTCAAAGTTTCAACCAACCTCCAAAAATTGAACAAACAAAGAAAAAAGGACTGACCCAAAAGGGTGTTGAGCGAAAGAGTGGGGGAGAGGGAGATACCTGGGCTGAGCTTGATGAGATTGGTGAATGGGTGTTGATCGCCGCTGGTGTTGCCGCTGTGTGCTGTCGCTGATCCATGGCAGAGGAGTGAGAGGGGTGTGGGTAGTAGGGTAAGGGGTTTGGAAGTGATAGTGCCGAGGGGGAAGAGAAAGTGACTGGAGGGGGTAGCATGTAGGGGATGTGTTTGATTTGGGCGAGATTTTTGTTTATGTGAAATGAAATGTGAGCCTTTGGATTAAGTTTGAAGAATTGAGATGAAATCTAGGTCATTGAATTAAAATTAAAATGAATCTGAGTCGTCCTTGTACTTTCCCAAATGAATTTAAATTAAATTAAATTTTAAATTGAGAAAAGATTCAAAATTGGTCCTATCTTATTATTATAGATTTTATATTTGACTTGTTTATAATTAAACTCGTGTTGTGTTAACTTCATGTAGCGATCGCTCATTCAATGTTATATTAAATTGGCTTTATATCAATCCATTAACAATAACTTCCTGCCTAAAAATATTTGACAATTTCAAAAATCGAGAATTGATCATACCATATTTAGGATTAATCTCACTATGCACCTCAAAAGATACTTTAATTCTTAATTTACACCCTCAAACATTAAAAATCTCAATTTGCACCCTCAATATTATGAATTGATAATAATATAAACCTGATTCAAACTATCATTCAAGTGTTCGTCATAAATTAAAACACATAGAGTGCAAGTGCTTCTAGCATGAGAATTAAATATGTTCATTGTTATAAATCTTTTTCTACGATCAATTTAACACGTTTTATATATCGAAAATAAAGTTTCATTAATTAAATAAAAACTAAACCCTATCATATTCAACTAACATGAGGCACCAACATACTCTGGATTTACGCCTAAGTCAATGTTTAAAACACTTGCATCTCACATGCTTCAATTTATGACAAAAAATTAAACGATAGTCTAGCCTAAGTCTATATTGCTACTAATTCATAACATTGAAGATACAAATTAAAATTTTTAATATTTAAAAGTGTAAATTGAGAATCAAAACATTTTTCGGAGTGCAAAGTGAGATTAGACCCAATATTTATATAGCTTGTGTAGAAGAACTTTGGCATCATAGGAACCATTCAGAAGCAGGTTTTGCGCCAAGTTACAAATGCTTCTATCAACCACCCTGAACCATATCCATTACATTGCCACATTTTGTCCCAAATATGAGCTTACACAAAATAAAGACAAGTAGGAATACATGGAAGGCATATACTATATTCCATGACCATAATCCTCTAATACACAAGATCTCCATAAAACAAATTTGAAATGATATCATGTAATAGGACACCCCATCAAGCACATCTATTCTGTTCCTGCAATCTTCTTCTTTATCGCTTCTATATCCCTGGCTAGTTCTTTTCTACTTGACTGGGAACAAATAGTTATTCATCAGCAAGTATTTCAGGCACTGCCAATATCATTTTAGCCAAACAAACATAGCACCCAGTTCAATCCCCATTAATGGAGATTTGGGAGGGGTAGATTGTGTAGAGACCTAACCTTTAGCATTATTTGCACAAAATGGCTAACCTCAGGTTCGAACTCACAAACTCAAGATTATCTGGTCGAATTTTAGACAAAGCACCAGTGGTGTTCAAAAAAAAAACACAGAGGCCCCCCCTCATTTTAGACAAGTATATCAGCATATTGAGTTGAGTACATATGCTGCGAAAAAAATATCTGGTAACTTCAGAAAAAAAAACTAATTAATATTGATATACTTTTAAAGAAAAGAGAAGGATTTAAGTTGAGTCAAACCCAACTGAAATAAGAACTCGAAAATTTTCCAATAATTTCCACCTCTTTCAAGTTTCAACCAATAATTTAACCAAATATAGCTTTCTAACTTTAAACAACTTTAACTTACACTTGGACGGACACCAAATTTTTTTTTTGTGTGTGTGTGTACCAATGTGAATTCAACCTTTTCAGAATGCTAAAAACGAGTAAAAAAAAAAGGCAATATGACATAACTCCACAGATCTATCAAATGGTTTCAATAACTCACTGCAAGATATCTTGTGCATGTCAGTTCGTTTTTTGATGAAGGGCTCACTTCAAGAATATAAGATTCAGTATGTGATGTATGTGAAAATTTTCTCACCACATCCATGTTCAGTAAGCCAAGGTAGTTGAAACTATAAAAAAGAGCAACCTGTATGCACAAGAGTTTAATTTCTATTTTAAAATCTCAGCCGAAAACAGTTTTTAAATATTACCTTGAAGAGAAGATATCGATAGACAAACCATCCAGTATATCCGAGCCCTACCAACTCCAGTATCTTTGGAAGCTGGCAATGAAATTTAAGGGGGTAGGTCAGAGTGGTTCAATTAAAAACCACAATAAAAATTGATAAAGAACAAACTTGTACACAGAAAATCTATCAAGACAGGGAGTCAAAAACATTGGAAAGGCACCCATAACTTGCCTAATTCAAATAGAAGACAAAGCAGCAAGCGCTTTTAATATCAAACCACCTACCACAGGGACAGAGTTGATTGCACCAATGACAATTGAAGATAGCCAAACTGCAACTATAGCTCCACCTCCATAAAGAAGTACTGTAGACTTGTTTTCAACTGCATCCCACTAGTAAACATGACAATAGAAAGGAAAAGGAAGTTTAAAATTAACCAACTGTAAGTTTTATCAATAAGCAATGCATTGATAAACTGAAACCATATCACTGCAAAAATAATTCAGGCAAAAAGTGGTAATTTGCGAGCTTTCACTCGTGATTTGATGCTCAGCCTACCTTTGCCTTTAGATCATTGAACAACTCATCAGTATCAACAGGAGTGGATGTCTCTTCTGAAGAAGAGGCTTTCACCTGGAGCAGAGCCGACCTCCGGGACACTTAACAAGAACATGACATAAGTACACAGCTACAAATAATAGGAGAACTTAAAAGAAAAAACAAGAGAGAGCAGGTTTTCATCCTAAGGATCATGAACTGCTCAACAATGTACAAAATCCCTTTCCTCAAGTATTCTTGTTCCTTGCTGATAAAGTTATGTTGTAATATTTCAAAATACCTTCTCAACCAGTAAATTGCATAACAGAGAGGAAGTTCAAAGTCAAATCAAATTTAAGAAGGAAAAAAACAACTTCATGGTGCCTCTACAAAAAATAACACCCTTCAAAAGTACTTATCAAGAAATTACAGCGATTGTCCCAGTCAATTAGCACCATACTCGGATTGAGAGTACACTTGAACTCATCCTCAAGTGGAGAAATATGTCATTTGGTTCTCATTTTCAACAAAATCACAAGGTCGAGCAAATGCAAGATAGGTCATCTTCCATTTTGAGTCAAAGTTATCATACTTGTAAGCCATGGTGTTAAATTGATAAGCAAAACTTCCCTAAGAAATATTCTGCTATAAATTTTTAATTTAAACATCTATTTCTTAATGTAGACTTTCTTTCTTTCTTTTTTCAATACCCAGGTTTCAATCTACAATTAGCAATGCTGCCATAACAAAAGAGTACTAGAAGGTTTCACCCTAGAGTCATGCGCCTAGAAATTCAAGTTGAATCTTCTCTTCAACTCATGGAATAGTTTAACAAATTTCACTAACAGATCATTTTGCATGAGTGGAGAGCTTGTCTAAGACCTCGTCACCAATGATAGATGCTTCCACCGAAGTATACCCACTGAACCCACCCTTTTTAAATGATAGTAACATGTGACAAGCTCTTGTTTGCCAAAACAAAGAAAGTCATGTTCCTAATACGCTTGAGTTTGTGAAAAAAAAAAGTATATTCCTTGAAATTATGTGCCATTATTTATTAGAGTGACTTATCACATTTTTCAGGTGAGTGACTTGACTACAATAGCAGTATGATTCAATTGCCATAAATCCAAAAGAATTGGCAGAGTCTCTTTTCAGAATTTTTTGGTAGTTAATTGTCTACCAAAGGTTCAAATAGAAGGACATTGGAAAAATAGTTTTCAAAATGTCAACTTTCTTAAAATGGGACCGTGTATGCCTTGATATTCAGGTCCTACAAATATGACAATTCATAACTTGAAAAGGAAAGGGGGGCCACTTAGTCATGTGAGGGTTTCTGTCCATAAGCTTAGACAATGATAGGTGGAGTCATAAACAGGAAGGAGAGAGCAGACACACCAAAGAATGAGATAATTTTCATGATTTAAAAGAAAATGCTGCCTTCTACTCGTATAGACACATTGCAGGAGATGCAACATCTGCCCTAAAGCATTTATTTGGTCCGACCTTAGCCCAAGTTAGAGCGCTGCCATGCCGGTGAACTTGTTTGATGATTATGATCACATGACGATGTTCTCAAAATGGCACTAATTATAAGCAAGCTGAAAGGCAATACAATTCTTTGTTTTCACATAATCTAACCACTTGGTTAACGTTCACACGACAGTGTACTTTGCAGTCAAGGACAAACATTATATTATGTAAGCTTTGTTTGCTTCCAAATATAGCTTTCCAGTGCCTTCATTTCAGCCAATTAATTGAATTCATCACATACATCACATATTGATATCAATCAGTTCATATCAAATCATCATAAATTGGTACACAGATAAAACAAAACAGGGAAAAAAAAAGAAAGAAAGTAGAACTAGATATATACTCGAGCACTTGTGTGTGCTTTCGTATCTTAAATCAAGAGATTTCTGTGCAGAATAACTAAAACCCAATTCAAAAATATGAGTCACGAATATGATATACATGACAGTGCAGACGAATAGATAGCATAAATTGCAAGTATAAACAAATTTAACTAACTACCAATATGCTCGACGAAATGTCCCAGTGAGACTATACCTGACAACTGTTTGCAGGAAGTGGAAAAGGGCGAAGAGGACAAGCGCGGGGGAAGGTAAGGCAAAGCGGAGCAATGGGTGGTGATTGGGAGATGCCGTATCAAGACGGCAGTGGCCGCCATGGAAGTGGAAGTTGCCGCCGCAAAAACCGTTGCCATTTGGCCGCCGCACAAACAATTTCTAAAGCCCTGGGGTTAGTCTGTGTTTTGTCTACTAAACCTCTCGTCCCAGTCTTAGTTTTGTTGTTGGCGGAGATACTTATTTGTTCCTGCTGTTCTTCTTCTATCCACAACTCTCTCTCTCTCTCTCTCTACTTTCAGGCAGAAATTGATTCATGTGAGAGACACGTGGAGATGATGAGCTTGCTTATTGGTTCATTCCCTATCTTTAGAATCCAGGTTTTGAGGTGGATGCCCCTCTCATTTCTCACTCTTGCTTACCTTCACATTTGGGGACCGGTGCTTGGTCATAGTATTTTTGGAGGTTGACCAACTCTTTTTTGAAATTTGAGGGAATCAAAATACATATTTTTCACAATATAAAGTATCCAACACAACCAAATAGTTTTTTTTTTTTTTTTTATAAACGAGAAAACTCTTCAAAGTAAGGTCATTTTAGAAGTTTGGACTTACCTATAAAAGAATAAACCATAAATACTTATAATCACTCACAAGTCTAAGTATCGGTTAAGTTCAAGATACACCAGTGAAAGGAATACTCTTGACGTTTGTGTTATGTTTCGACCAAGTTTTAGATCCCACGCCATTAAACTATCCACATAAGTTATAAAATAATATTTAAGTATTCGAGATAAATAATTTGTGCATACGACCCAGTACTTTAAAAAGGATGAGCCATGTTGCATTCTATACAGTTTTGGGATGGGTAAAACTTCCACATATGACATAATTATTGCATGATATCATGTTTTATTTGATAATCATCTTAAATATATAAATTACATATAGTCACATTCTTTTGGACTATTAGAAAAAAAGGTCAAGAAGGGGTTGGGGGGGACCATGTCAAAACATAACTATTGCAATTAGGCTTGTCAAAATTTGACACGACAAAATTAATCGACACGAATTAAACGGGTTTAAATGAGACCTTAAAGGATTTGGGTGATAAACGAATTGACATGCAAAACACGTTTAATAAATGGGTTATGTTCGGGTAAGACCTGTCAAACCGTTTATCACCCATTTAACCGTTTAAATAAATTTAATATAATAATAAATGAGTAAAGAAAAAAAAGTAAAGAAATCAGTTCAAAAAAATAGTAAAGAAATCAGTTCAAAAAAAAAAAGAAACAAAAGATTTTAGCCATTGAAGCATTGATCTGCTTTTTCTTTGAATCCCACATCGACAGGGGGAATGGAGAGAAGGGACTTAGTTGCTTATAAAAGAGGTAGTGGCTATTGGCTTCACAAGTGGACTGTGGTGGGGCTTAACATGGCTGAATATTGTGGTGTGGTTTGTCACGTGGCTGACTAGGGATGTCAGTGGACCAAAGCGGGGGCGGGGGAGTATAGTCTTCATCCTCGTACCCACTTAAAAAAACTCTGTCCATCTCCGGTCCACCCCCGTTAACGGGTATAATTTTCATCCTCATCCCCGTCCACGGATAAATTTTTAATTCTCGTCCCTGTCCCTGCTTCCCCATACCCGCTTAAGCTCAAATCCAAGCCCAAGTAGCATAATCAAAAATTCTAAATAAATCTAATATTTTAAATAATTCAACAACATTCTAAATAATCTAGTGAATAATCTAGATTACATAATGTAAAAACCAAAACAATATAATATTTTGTTTAAACTGTCATTGGACCACAAAAAGAGAAACGAAACTATTAAAGAGAAATGAAGAAAAAAAAAATAAAATTGAACTAAGAAAACGATAGCACTACACTTGAAGTTTCTTAGAAAATTTTTTATTATTACAATTTATATTACAGTCATAAAGTGTTAAAAGATGAAAACTTAAAATTTCGCTAATTCAATAATTCTCCCAATTTATTAGTTCACTTTAGCAGAGAAACTTATCAATCTCCATTCACAATTTTTCTATCTACAATGAAATACAAAACTATCTTACTGTCTCTTATCTGTTTTTAGAGCATGGTCAATCCAAACTCCTAACAATTTCAATCAGTGAACATAAATAGAAAAAAGAATAATCAGGAAAAAAATTGATAAGATTACTACATAACAATGTCACTTGTTTGTTTGATTACCATATTTCTAGATTAGTAGTTACAGTAAATATGTTTAGTTAAGGCTTGTGAGTATATATATATATATATATATATCGGGTAGCGTGGGTGGGGAGGGAGGGGCGGGGGCGGGGGTAAGAATAAGGGTAAGGGTAAGCCCATCCCCGTCTTTATTCTCGTACGGGTTTATACGGGTATCCCTGTTTACGTCCACCGTCCAATACGTATAGTCCATCCCCAGTCCAAACGGAACGAATTTGGACGAATACCCATTTTTCCCCGATCCACTGTCATCCCTATGGCTGACCATTGTTGGCTGTAACTCTTTTAATTGAGGAAAATATGATTGGGAAAAAAAAATTAAGAGTGTAAAATTTGTTAAAATAATAATTTTTTTTTGTTATTTTTAAATGGGTTAAATGGGTCGTGTCGTGTTATTCGTTTATTAAACATGTTGTGTTTGTATTGAAATTTTTTATCCGTTTATTATACGTGTCGTGTACGGATTCACATGTTTTTTATCCGTCACCCGTTTAATCTGACATGTAACCATTTAATCTGACACGTTTGACACCCCTAACTGCAACCATCATCCACTAGGCAACTACTCGGAAGTTAGGATCTACCTCTACTAAATTGTCAAAACAACTAAATAATTTATTTAATGTAGATTCAACTCAAGGCGCAACATAATATTTATTCGACTAATGTTATATAGCTTTAATTTATTAATTTAATTAATTACTATTATTGTTTTAATTGTCGGTCCTAATAAATATTAGAATCTACTATATATTCAATTATTTTGATTGATCAAGTCAACAATTCGATTACTATAATTTATTATATCAACAAATAAATTAAATATAAATAATATTTTTCATTTTTGCAAAGGTGGGTCCGAGATTTTCTCTTTTTTTCTAATTTGACCGAGCAACGCGATCTTGATTTTCAAAGACGTATTGTTCACCATCCACGTGTCACTGAGAAAATGAGCCGGCCCGATAATGACCGAGTACCTAACTGATATATGCACACTATATTGAAGAAGAAATGGCTTATCAAAGACACTCACTAACTTAGTCCAGTTTTTTTTTTTAACGTGAATAGACAATAATACCCCCCAATCAAGTTTAAATTAACTTGAATAATTTCAATTAAGAAAAGATATACGGTGGATAAGTATTTTTCTAACAATATTTGATTGATTCTATCAGGTGAATTTGATTAATTTTACGTTTTTTCTTAGTTGTCTTACGAAATAAAATAAAATAAAATCCATTTTAACACCAATGAACACTTGTTATTTGAATTTAATTTATTAATAAATTTTACTTATTTAACTAATTACCGTTCTTCAATTGACGATAAATCTCAATATTAGTTAGAACCGGGTACCAAATCAAATGCTATTGTTAACATATAAAACTCAATTGATGACAAAAGATGACCAATGATTATGATTTATGACCCTCAAAACAAAAAATGTTATTTCAACCTGATTAAATACAACTGTTGAATTGAAAATAGTTTATATTTGATAATGTTCTTAACACGATTGAGCAGTAATGTGAATATAGAGTGTATTGAATGATTAAACGTAGTTCAATTTGAGCTCCAGAACTCTAAGAAATAGGATTTGGGGATGAGTGAGTGATTATACAGAGTGTTTTTAGTTCTTCAACAGTTCGGGAGTTCGACTAATTCACTTTCAAGGGAGTCTCTTATTCCTAAATTTATTGATTACTGTGTGAAGTTTACAAAGAGTGTTTTTTGTGAGACCACAATAACTTGTTCTTTTCGAGAACTTTGCCTCCTATTTATAGTTATTTATGGGTCTTGCTTGATCTGAAACGAGATCTTTGTCTCCTCTCTCGTATCGATCGCCCTTATTGTGTAATGAGATTTTTGTCAGTTGAATATATGTTGCTACAAAAAAAGGGGTATTCAGTGGGATCCAACTGTCCTTTACATCGCCTTATTTGAGATGTAGACATAGTGAGTTAAGGTTTGACTCGAGGTCTATAAATAATATAGATGAGTTAAACTCTCGATTTGAATAGCATGACCTAAGTTATCGAGTTCAATCTTAAGTATTTTTGTGGTACTACCAATATCTAATATTAAAATTCAAAATTAATTTAATGATTCTATCTTGATTTGGTCGAATTTTGAAACTCACTCATCGCTAAAGCATAATCTCAGGTAATGAAGGACAAAAGGGGCATCACAAGGCTAATTTAAAACAAATATATATCAAATTAAGGTTAGTTTAAATGAAAATAAGGACGAGTTATATATTTAAACACGTTGAGTTTAAATTTTGACAATTTTTTGGGCCAGTTAGACCATTATTAAAAATTTATCGTCCATAAATATCTTACTATTAAAAAAAAAATTATCGAGATAATCATAATCCACTGTCTAAGACACTTGACTAAACTAAGACATTTCACATTTCATGTATATTTGTGGGTGTGCGGCTCCGTCTTCCCCGGCGGGTTCGTGACACCCCAGACCTCGTTGGAACCGTCTGCCCTAACTCTCTCTCTCTCTCTCTCTCTCTCTATATATATATATATATATATATATATACATATACATATGTATATATGTATTTTTTTTATATACTTTAGAATATATCGATGGTCCAACTAACCCAACTGTCAAGGATAGATTAAACAAAACATAGAAGCGCCATAAAAACAACTCAAAAGGGTGCCCTTTTTTTGAGGTGCCAGATTAAGGTGGCACCCCAATCCTTCTTCATAGAATACACCTACCAAATATTCCATTGTTGCAACCTCAATCATCACCTGTTTTCTCTCTCATACAACTCTTATCCCTCTTTATAATCAATCGCAAAGAAACCATTCGTCAATATTTGAAGCATTCATCGAGCTGTGATCTCTTCTAATTAATTCTTCTTGCACTCGTGTGTGTGCATTTGATCATTTTTTGATAAGCTTGATTCAATAAGAAGGTTTGTGATTGTGGGTTTGACCAGGAAAGCTGCCTTGTGTTTGAAGATTTTCCTCACAGACGACTGAGAGAAGATTGCACTGTGCAAGTTCTTGTTCCATTATTTCCCTTTTTTGATACCCTTTTTTTCTGATTCATTTGGAGGGTTTCAGATGGATTACAGATGAAAGGTTCGACGAAGGGAATTGGGTTGGTGTTGATGGGGTCTAACAAAAGCTGGTTAATCATCTGGGTGATGTTCTATACATTTTTACTATCATTCGTTCAAGGAATGGGAAATTTGGATGATTTTTTTCATGATTATGCATACAAGGCATTTATAAAGCCTCGTACAGGTATATTAGACAATATCTCTCTCCCTGCAAATTTTTCTGGTATGGAAGTTTCGATTGTTCGACTTAGAAGTGGAAGTTTCTGGGCAAGAGGAGCCAATTTCAGTTTCTTTCATATCCCACCAAGGATTATACCAATGCCTTTTGTGAAGAGACTTGATATACTCTATCAAAACCTAGGAAATTGGTCATCTCTTTATTATAATGTACCAAATTATAACTTAGTCACTCCTGTTGTTGGATTTTTGACCTACAATCCGAATAGCAGCACAGGAGGAGATGGAATGCTCAATCTTAGCATCAGGGGTGACCCCATTTTGGTCCGTTTTCCTGAGATTTTACTGCCAGAAAATAAGAATCTGACCATGAAGTGTGTGAGATTTGGGACCAATGGGTCGGTCGAATTCAGCAATGTGACCATGCCAAACACTTGTGTTGCTAATGGTCAAGGTCATTTCTCCATTGTCATTCCAACATCTCACTCCAAGAAGAAAGTGAGGTTTTTGAAATGGTGGGTTATGGGGTTTGGTGTGGGAGTTCTGGGGTTGGTTTTAATAGGGTTTGCTGGGATTTTGACATATAAGCTGGTTAGCAGGAAGAGACTTGGACAAATGGGGAGAGAGTCTGAAAGAAGTGAAGCTTTGGACACAGTTTGGGTTGGAAGAAGTAGAATGCCTTCAGCTTCTGGGATGAGAACACAACCAGTCCTTGAGAACGATTATGTTCCTTGAAGTACATTTCAGTTTCCATTCATATCCTTTATTTTTTTCAGTGCAGATTTTTTTTTTTCACAATTGCAAATACTTTTGCTTTTAATTCTAGGTTTGTCAGAGGAAATTCGTTTGATTCTTTAGGTTTTTTTCTTTCAAATCAGAGCTAACAAATGTTCTTCAATACTCTTTATTAAGTTTGTATTATTGTTCATATGCATGAGTGTCTATGTTGTGGCCGGTGGCATAACTTACCAGGCGGCCTCTTGGCTCTTATGTTTGTAACATCAAATGTATAAAATAAAAAAAAGGTTAAAAGAACAACTGTTATGCACGAGATCACAAATAATAAGGGGAAATAGTAAAAATCAGAAAAATACATACGATATTGCGTGGTTCGGCTCAAAAACATAAGTTTACGAATGGAGAACAGATGCAAAATTTCACTATAAAGGATAGAATCATTTAATAGTTCTCAAAACAAAAATAAGAGAGCAATTGCTTCATTTTGTTGTGAATGTACAAGGTATACAAGCATCGAAAAAAAACTTAAGCGCTTTTTAGTTTGCGTCTCAAAAAATAGTATTCAAAAATTATTTTGGGACGAGTTTTAGAAAAATATATTTTTATGTTTTTTGTGTTACAAAACTTATTTAGCTGTATGATTCTAAAAATAATTCTACAGAATAAAAAATAGTAAACTTTGTTTGAACAATAACTCAGAAAATAATGAAATCAAAATATAGTGGTGGTAAAAGTGTAGTGGTAGACGTAGTGTTTTTCTAAATTCTGAAAAAATTATTTTAAAAAACACACAAAATATCCTTAACTTGTTCTGTAAATTTATCCACTTTTTATTCTCAATTTTCAAAAAATAGCTAGCAAAACAACTTTTTTCCTAGAAATTATTTCCAAAAGCGAAAAAATAGTTTATGAGATACAAACTAAACATGACGTTAGTTTCCTAACTGAAATTTCATAATCAAAATATGTCAAATGAGAAAAAGAATGAAATACAAGACATTCATAAAATTAAGTAGAAGAAAAAGACCATTGTATCAAAAAATACCACCCGTAAAGTTAAGTAAAGTATTACAAAAGACAAGTTACAATGATCAATCATAACTCTTTGAATTATAAAAATTAGAATCCTGAGTCATACTCTAAGGTCAAGTACAGTGGAACAGGTCATGGATTGCAGCTTGTGATCCAATTCTCTATTATCTCTCCCTAAAGAAAGAAAAGCTTTACAACTGTAGAGGGGTCAGCACAGTAGAAATTGTACCTGTTCAACAAAAAAAGCCAGTGTCAAAGCATTAGTTAGAGCATTGCTTTCTCTAAACAAAGCACGCACACGCAAAAAATAACGGAGATTCCTTAGTCTCAACCTGTCTACATGCCTTAATTTATTGTACATAGTATTAGTCCCTGGACAAATAGCACACAGACTTGAGCATGATGTAAGTGAGAAGATTCTTCACTTTTTATGTTGCTGGTACAGCAGAAATAGCCATTATCAATTTTCTGTGTGAGAAACCAATGAACGTCAAGTGTTGGTTTTTTTCCTTTCCCTTTGCGAAAAGGATAGGAGGGCGCAACTAGTCATGGACTGCTAGGGATGACTATAGTAGCCCCTATCTATTCGGGATCCAATGATAGAAGGATTATAACAAGTCCACCAGGGAAAAAAAATGGTATTGTATTGATATTTATTATTTTTGTGAGTGATTTTAACACTATTATGGTAATTATTTTATCACTTTTTATGATACTTGCGATCGATTCTAAAAATTTTAGTGGAGGATAGGACTATCATGAGATGAGAATCATTATACTATTGCCTCCGACACTCAAACAAATGACTATTTTATCTCTAAATTTTATTTTATTTTTCAACAATCAGGAATGTCTGAGTCAACTTATGCGCGACTAATCGTTGTTTCACTCCAATCAAGGGCATGTCATCCACACCAGAATTAGGATATTTACGATAAATAAGTTGCTCTTGACCTGATCCAAGAAATTACTAAAATTCAAACTCATAACGTTTGAATTTTCATCTTATCTTCTACTTATGGATTTCCCTCAAAAGGACTGGTTTCTTGCCAAACATAAATAAGTCATAGCAAAGAAAAAAGTTAGGCTCCCCTCAACTTTCATAAAAGTTGGAGGACTCTCCAATCTTCTTTTGAGTGGTTGACATAAATTCCCATCAATAGATTCAGTAGATTTTGAATTTCAAAAACATAGAAGACTTTTCGAATTAGCAAAAAATGGTACCGTGAACGAATCCTAAGCAAATTGAAGTATACTATTTGAGTGTCCTCCAATTCTTTTGAAATTAGAGAGGAGCCAAACTCGTTAAAATGGTATTATAATCGTAAAACTGCTACAAAACTAGCCCTAATTGCACACTTGAAAACCCAAATCCCATTTTCGCATGCAAATTAACTTTAATTTAGGATAGTTATATTATATCTATCAAAAAAGATTGATCATTTATTGATGAATATCATTTCTCAGCAATGATTGATAGTGTATTGTTATTCATGACATTTCCTAGTGGACAAAAGATCATATCATCAGCCTATAGGTTGGAGCTGACACAACTTATTAAGTTGAAAAGGTGGTTCAAAATAAGACCCATTGAGAATAGCATATGTAACAAGCTTGTTTGCAGCTTCAGTAGCATGTATGCCATCCCAGCTCACATAGTTGTATGGGTCACCACAAGCTGTTGCTGTCACAGTCTTCCCATTAATCACCTTGCTGTTTCCACAGAAAAGTTTAGGGTCAAAGTTGTAGGTACCACCTCCATATCCACAACATGATTTGGTACCATGCTGCAGCCCTGCTCCATAGTCAAACATACAAAATGTTAGAACCTAAAGTTAATTATTTAAATTGGGAACATAAACTCGAATAATATGGTAAATATTCGGATCTCAACTAGGGATGCAAATGAACTAAGCAATTCATGAACAACTCGAGATTTGTTTGGATAGAAGCTCCCGTTGAAACAAACCAAGCTCGAATTCAATTTTACAGCTCGGTTAATAAATGAGTCAAGTTTGAGCAATGATTTATTCTACTGGTTAGACTTATGAACATATATATACATATAGGTAATATTGAAAAAGCAAAAAAAAAAAAAAAAAGGGTATATACATACAAATTAATTAGTCGAGCATAATCTTCTTCAACACGAGTTTGAATTTGAGTTTAAGATTGAATCCCAAATGTGAGCTTTGCTCATTTAATCATACGAGGCAAGTTGAGCCCAAGCTTGTATAAAAAATTGACAAGCGGAGCTTGAACAAGATATTTGAAGCTCGTCACAAATCCAAATCAAGCTTGACCAGTGGTCGTGAATGATCCAGCACGGTTCAATTCGATTCATGTGCAGTACCCCTAACCACAACATGCTAGACATGTAGAGTAGAAGAACAAACCATGAGAGGTGGGGTGGTGGAAGAGCTCTAGCAACACAGCATGAGTGTCAACATATATGAGATTTGCATTGTGAAGACCTTGTCTGGTTTGGTGAAGAGCATCTTTCAACATGTTATTATAGTCCACCACTGCATTGTTATAGGACACCATGCATCCAAATGCATCCAGATCAGAACTGTTGTGTGGCAACTCTACCAAAAAGGCTGGGTAACAACCCACGGGTGCAAGATTAAGTACCAGAAATGTGCGTCCTCCCAACCCATATAGCACCTGGAAAAAAAACATACAATACCATAGGCAAAATATGTTTATTTATAATGCTAATTTTGATACGATATGATAATACTTGAACGAAAACAATGGGTTAAGATTGACAAGTTTTCAACACTCATAAAAAAATGACACGACCCGCTAGTACAAATGACAAACGAGTTGGGTTAGTGTGAAAAATGATTTACCTAATTTTGTCACAACAAACTTGTTTAACGAGGATTGTACGAAGAAAAATGCCGGGTTTTTTTTATTAAACTTTGTTAGGCATTATATGAATGCTTATAAACTATAAAGTTAAAGAACTTCCTTTTTGGTTTAGTAATTATATATGTGTTGTTAATAAAAAAAAAAAAATTCACAGGTACTGAAACTTTAACACAATAACAAGTGTACTGAAACTTCTATTGAGGAATGTGTGCAAGCTAAGAGTAAGGTGCACCGTTATGTGTGAGGATGATTTTACTATTATATATTTACTATGGAAAATCTAGCAATTGAACAATAGTTTGATTAATAGAAAAACCAATATGAAATTTTAAACTTAATAAAACAGAACATAATACATACAGATATGCAAATATATATAGAGGATAAGAGTACAAAAAAAGAGCTGGTCTGCGAATCTAAGAGGCGTGTGATTACTGTTTTAAAATAGTTAAGCCTCCCAACGTGAAAGTATTGATGGACACTAGCAACTCTAAGATTCAATCTAAACGCTCGCAGCAGTAGCACCTCCTCAATTGTCACATTCACTGGAAAGTAGGGGTAAACCCGACTCGAATCGAATTGCCCAAAATACAAAAAAAAAAAACCAAGATAATAGGAAATAGAGAGCTTTGAAAACCTTATAAGACTACACTAGGTGATGGTTGAGACGTGAGGTCTCTCGTCTCTGTTTGAAGAATAGAAAATGAAAATTAAGAGTGGTGTATAGCAAAGGACAGCTGCAGTTGATTATAAACAGAATAGATCCTTGAATTATTCTCTGTCCTTATATAGCCAATTGGTAGTAACTACACTTATTCAATATTAGAATGTTAGGGTCTTAAAACCCATAAAATATTATCAATATTTGCTATTACTTATAAAATTGTAATTGATAATTTGAAAACTCGAGATTTAAGTAGACACTGGAAATCAGTAAAAGTTTTAAAAATTTCCTTATTATTTCAACATGTGTCAAGTGAATTTTTAGGTTACAAGTGTAACCTATAGGTGGTGCGTTTGGTTGATAAAGATGAGGTTGGTTCACGGCAAGTGTTAATCAAGATACAACACGATTAATAAATAGATTGTGATAGAGTCAAAACACTTGACAAAATTAATTAAATGACTTCGGTTAAGGTTTTTTTTTTTTATTATTCAATGGTAAGAGGTGTCCGAGTCAACTTGCGTATTCCTCAATCAGTCCTCTTCTCGATCTGGTCAAAGGTAGGCCATCTACACTAGGACTAAGGTATTCATGAGAAATAAATCTCTCATGACCTAACACCTAAAATTTTGTCAAGATTCAAATTTAGGACGTCTGAATTTACAGCTCATTTTTGCTATTACTTGAGTTACTCTTGAAATTTCGGTTAAGATTTATTAGTACTTGACACGAGCTCCAAATAAAACTACCTCATGACACTATTAATACCCCTACTTGATGACAAAAGTTTTGGTTCTGGGAGGTAACTGTCCACATAGTGCCTGCCCACAAGATTGAATACATAGGAAACACTCACCTTAATGGTGCTAGCAATTTGAGAAACCACTTGAGGAAGAGATTGCTTCACTCTACCAATACCAAGAGATGCTAAGTTGGAGGTAAAGTCATTCTGTCCAATATAGAATGTGTAGATTGCCTTTCCAAATATGTCCGGTTGAGGAAGATTACTCGCACCTAAAATGAAAAATAAAAGACACGTACATTATAACAAAGACAACCTTTCGTATATCTCTCAAACTCGACATAGAGCAAAGTCTTGTGCATTCACTACGACGACTTTTTTAATTAGACAATGTATATGAATCATGAAAATGTTGCACCTTTGTGACCTTTAGAATGAAGCTCATCAACTTTGACCTTGAATTCTTTCATTTGGTTGAGCTGAATGGCAAGAGAAAAAGGACTAATCCCAGTGACAAACAAGGATGTGTTTGGTAGGAGAACTGTGGATGCTAATGTTGCAAAGTTGGCTCCATGTCTATAGTCAGATCCAATTGATTGCAGGTATGGACTCAGAAATGGCAACCCTAAAGCTTGAGCTGCATTGCAAGAAAGCAACAAAATACCAGTTGTTTACAAATAATTTCACCAAGAAAATTCTTAACTATCAATCTTAGATTCTTGGTCATGCTCGGCTCAACAAGTGTTTGCTAGAATCAAATTGAACTTGATTAAAAATCAAGTTTGATTTTTCAGTAAAAACTACAAAAATTAGAACATACTAAAATAATTAGTTTCAAGACCAAAATTTCTCAATATATGCGTGATCAATCAGAAAATCAAACCCTAGAAGCTTAAATTCTTCAATGGAGAAAGGTTGAGAAAAGTGTACAAGGCTTGAATTTATATGGAGATAGATTTGAAATTGTTCATCTTTTGAATAAAATTATCCGGTAATAAAATTAAAATTATTTATAAATAGAAACCTATTTAGATTTTGAAACTATTTAATAGTGAATCTAAATGATTTTTTTTTTTAATTCAACGGTCAAGAGTGTCCGGGCCATTTTACCTATATTTCGACTAATTTTCTCCCCGATCCAATCAAAAGCAGACCATCCACACTAAGATTAGAGTATTCATATGGGATAAATCTCTTCTTTTCTAATCCAAGAGTTGTTCAAGATACAAACTCAGGATGTCTTTGAACTAAAATGGAGCCAAGTTTGAAAGGATCCTGACCCATTCTACTATTGATGTGACGCAAGAAATTAGGGGACCAAGAAACCAACACTAGAGGCCATTTGAAGGTATCAGATGGGGTAGCTAGACGATTCACATATTTCCAAAACTCTCATATACTTGAACACAATAATTGTTAAAGCTTTTCTCTACCCCCCCCCCTAACTTCATGATTGGAGTATCCTCGATGAGGACATTGACCTACCCATCTCTTCACAGCTGGGACTTTTTGTCATCTAACTATGATTTGCACACCCTTGAGAAAAAAAAAACAAAAAACAAAAACGAAAAATCAAATATATTCTTTCTTATAAGTGAAAATTGTCCGAATTATTACATTTGTCGGTGCAGTATAAGGTCGATATACGAATATGTATCGGGCCAACCAAGACATTAGAATTGGATTTGAAATCTCGATGGTTACAGCTGCAATTCAAACTATAGTGACAAATGCTGTCCTAAAAGGAAATGAATCTGGATTCTTACAACACAAGAATACAAGAAGGCATATTTGTTTTAGTAACTAACGTGCGATTTTACTTTCAAATAAGGGTTTACAAGGTTCATGTAACATATTCGGAGTCTCGAGGTTTAGACGATTTTTTATTATAAAAAGAAATGACAAAAAACAAGTAGAATTCATAATAGCCAAAATACGTGAACATAAAAGAAACTTCAACACATATAATTAATTTTATGATACACCTACATGCACTTTCCTTTTTTTTTTTTTAAGATTGAAAAATAAGGGTTAATAGTACTTTTAATCCCTAAAATATATATTTTTTGTCGGTTTAGTCTTGATTGCATCAATTTTGTCAATTTAATCTCTAAAATATTTAATTCGTATTATTTTGGTTCTTATATAAGCCAAAAGGATCACGTGTTGAACATGTAACACCATTTAAAAAAATGACTCATAGTCATTTCTGTTAAAAAAATATGACGAATTATCTAATTAGAGACTAAAATGACACGAACTAAATACTTAAGGGACCAAATTAATAAAATTAATACAGTAAGGACTAAATTGAAAAAAAAATGCATACTTTACATACCAAAAACACTATTAACCCAAAAGAAATTACTTAATGGTGTTTTGAAGAAAAAAGCAACTCCAAGGAGCAAATGTTATGGTCATTTTCATTCTTTCAATGAAACGTGTTAGTTTTCAGGGAATATAATTAAGTAGTAATGGGAGATAATTACCCAAGAAATCGATCATTAGCCTCCCATCAGTGGCTCGGCCAACAGGTCTCTTGAAATAGGTCATGCCATTGGGTGGTGCCTGTGCCGGAAAAGCTGCCCAAAACCCGCCGGTGTCGGAATTCGAGTCGCCAAAGTTGAAGATGGCCTCAAAAGCACATTTACCATCACTCTTAGGCACCAAAGTAGGCATAAGCACCACAATGAAAACCAAATAGTGCCCAAAAATGGCACAGAGACTCATTTCTGAGAGGTCAGTTCGTTGCTCACTTAGCAAGTGTAGAGAAATATCATGAAGAGAGCTTACGGTTACTGTGGATTTTTTACAATTGGTTTATATTTACATAGAGGAGAAAGCGACCAGACACATGGCTCTCTGCATTTGTCGACACCAAGTAAAATTACGAATAGGGTAGATGCCAGTTATCGACACCGTGGATTAGTCTAGTTGGTTTTCAGTGGAGAACGGAAGTCCCATCCTTTTTCGGTGGTTATGAATTCGAACACTTTTGCAGTAATAATTTTTGTGAAACGGATATTGTTGAAAGGGCTGGATGTCCAACGTGTTTTCGGTGGTGCTATGGTGATCGATTCGACCATTCCAAATTAATAGGTATACTTCAAATCGGATATTCTACGACAGATAAAAATTTCAAGGTAATATCTGATCACCCCAAACCACCATTTTCGATAGCAAAAAAGGAAACAAGCACTAGTGAGATCTAGTTTGTTACCATTAATCACACAATCATTTATTCACACGATTGCTTATTTACAAAATCATAGACAAAAAATTGATTAATAATACGTGAAAAATAAGTACTTTTTAATTTATTTTTTTTCATTTTTGATGGCCTTGTATTAATTTAAAAATCACATGATTGATAAACAAGTCGAGTTAATATTATTTTAGACTCGAATTTGATATAAATTTAAGATGACACAACTAGCAATGGATGAGGGCAGATAACAAGCTGATAGTAGTTGGAAGTAGCATTAAAACATGAAGTTAAGGCTTGGTTTTTTTCCAGCTGATATGCATTTGTAGTTGGAATATGTACAAATCCATCTTTTTCATTTAGGCTGTTAGCGCAAAGGGAAAGCCAAAGTAAAGAAACACTTTTTTTTTTGTGGAGTTGCACATCCATCCTCAATACTGAAAAGTAGTTCTTCAGTACCTCAATCATACCGTGGTTGTACTATGGAGTTGCAAAGCAAGACTCAAAATGCCATTATAGCTAGCAGGGATAACCCAAGGACTGTGCTAACTGCTAAACACAGACACAAGGAAACGAAGCAGGCAGTTGAAGGACTTTGACCTCTTTTCACTTATGTGTTGTTGTCTATCACGTAGCATAACAGATGTGGAAATAGGCTCGTAAATTGTGTCTCGTGCCAGAAAATACTTTATCTATTTTTGATAAAATCCCAGCCTGACACGGGTTATAGAATGGCCCATCCCTGTTCTAGGCTGGTTTAGCCTAGCCCGACCCTAGACTGAGTGATCATTATTTTTTATTTCTAATATAAGACTTCTTCTTTTTTTTTTTTTTTTTTCTTTTTCAGTCATACACTATTACAAGGAAAATCTACAACAAGGCTCAAACCCGACTTTTAGATCTAACATCGGGGCAGTGACCAGTAGGCCATCCTCTAACCTCGTATTAGAGTTTGAAATATCAAGAAGTATAATAAAAATATGAAAAATATTGTTTCAACTTAAAATGTAAACTTGATCAATCATAACTATTAAATAGATAATGTGTATTAATAAATATTGAAACTCACAATAAAATCAATAGCAGTGATTAAGTAAGTTTATATTTTAAAATCATAAAACATTGTTCTAAAAAAATTTCAAGTGATAGGTCTGGGCCAGGTGAATATGGCCCATGGACTAGATTTTATGTTGGAAAATTTAGAGGTGGGTCCTTTTTTTTTTGGATTTATTTGATGATAAGTTTATAAAGAAAACTTGTTTAATATTAAATTTATTTTGAACTCTATTGTTCAAAATACCCTCCGCAATTATATTTAATTAAAAAAAATTTGAAAATTAACTCCTCCTAAATTTTAAAAGGACCATTTAAACATAAAAAAAATTGTAATATTCAATATTAATATTTTAAAAAATAATAATAGTAACTTGTTCAACAAAAATAATAACATATTCAATAAAAAATAAATAAAAATATTAACATTCCAACTCAAAACTAGAGGATGAAGCCTCAAATTCTTCGACATTCGAAAAATTAACATGGAAAAAGTAGTAACATGCTCAATAAAAAAATAGTACCATGACAAATAAAAAAAATATTAACATAATAAACAAAAAAGAGAGTAACATGAAATATTGAACAAAATTGGGGATTATTTACCCAAAAAAATCAAAATTAGGGCAGTGGAGCATAAAATAGTAGCATGGCGAACAAACCTTGTGTACTATTTTAATCTTTTTTATTTTTGGTCTATAGCATAAAAGAGTTTTAAGGAGGAAAAATTGTGGCAGTGGAGCGATGACGCATCGCATAGAAAGAAAGAGAGAGAAAGGGAGAGAAAATTTTAATTTAAGAGTGAATTAAGAGATAATAATTTTTAATATAATAAATTAATTTAAACCTATTTTCAAGGTCTTTAAAGTTTTTATAATTGAACGGAATAATGCTGTTAAAAATATTTTTAAAATTTTAAAAAATAATATACTTAAATACCTATTATTAAAATGAAAAATAAACTTATCACTAAATAAATTTTTTTAATAAACTCAAATTATTATAAGCTCGATAAGAATCACTGGACCCCAATTTTTTCCTTTATGTTGTCGCCACCGGACCCCAGACCATCCTAAGCCCTCCCTTCAAATGGACCTGAACATTTGGGTTCAGTCCACGATGCGAGATCAAAAGAATTTTCTGCCGAGTCATAGTAAATTCCTTTTTCTTTCCACCGCAAAAAACGCATCTGCGTCTGTCCATTTAGATCTAACGGCCACTATTTCTCCTGACCTGTGGACTCCTAATATGCTTACGTCACACACCCTATCCGTCCCACTTTTCCACAAGCGCCGCTTTTTTAACAGTGCAAGCATACCCATTTCCCCAACCAATAAGTGCCCAGCACGTCGAGATGACCACGTGCATCACGATGGGGACACAAGGGCCATTGCAAAAACACTAGAAAATAATACAGAGAGTTGATTGTACAGGAAAAATCATACCCATTAGATATTACATCAACAAATAAATAAATAGAACCCACTATTTTATATAATACTAGCAATGTACTACATATTTTATACGTGAATAATTTTGATATATATAATATAAATAAAAAATATTAAATATGTATATACCTACATTAAATATCATATCTAGTTTATCAAAAATCATATTTTTATCGCTCATACTATATTATAAAATTCAAAAAATATTTTATATTCTTAGCGATTTGTTGTTCTAATTATAAGAAAAAAAAAAAAAATAATTCATTTGAAATTCGTTTGATTAGGTTTCAACTAGAATGAAATAACAATAATTGTCAACATTCTTAGGCCAATAGGGATAAAATATAGGATTAATAACATTTTAAATATCAAAATTATGCGGTTTTTTTTTTGTTGTCAATTTCATCTTTAATATATGAATTTTATCAAGTTTGTCCATAAAAATATTCAATTTTTGTTTAAATAGTTTCTAACCAGACGATCCATTAAATTTTTTTATAGAAGTGATCATATGTCATTTCATCATTTAGTATCACATGACCATCACATGATCACTTTTGTCAAAAATTTAATAAATTATTTTTGTAAAGATCATTTACACCATTAATTTTATAGACCAAATTGATACAATAAATACCAAATTGATAAAATATGTATATTCCCACGGGCTAAAAGTGCAATTAACCCTAAAATATAATACACTACTCCATAATATATATATTTTACAGGAATGTTAAAATTCTAAAATCCAAGTTTTATTTTAAAATACAATATAATTTCTTTTTATAAACTCTTAATAACACATGAAAATTTTAATGCGATTGAAGAATTATGTTGATTTAACATAAATTTTTTTTTTAAAAACTACATAAAAGATTATTTATTATCTTAAAAATGAAATGGTTAAAATTTTAGATAAAAAAAATATACATATATAAGCATAATGTTATTTTTATATTTGAAATGAGTAATGTTAGATTGATGAAAGTTTTAAAGATTTTTTAAACATTTTATTAAAAACTATAGTGATGCATATATTTTCTAAAGATAACGTAGTCAATTAAAAAATTTCATAGATACTAATATTTATACATAGTGAATAAAGAACTAAAAGAAATATTATAGGTAATTTGAAGATTTAAGCGCATAAGTATATGATGGTAATTTAGATATTTAACTACGGAATGATAGTGTGGTATTTAAAATTATTTATAAAAGTAAAATAGTTAATCAAAAAAATTTCATTGTTAGGTACTTTTATTAGTATTATAATTGGAAAAAAAATACATATATAGACATAAAGTTATTTTTTTATTTGAAAAATGTAATAATTTATCGATAGATTTTTTGAATACGTTATTGAAAACTATAAATGATACATATATTTTTTTAAGAGTTGCGTAGAGAATTAAAAATTTTCATAGATATTGATATTTATACAAAGATAACAGAGAATTAAAAGAGATGTTAGAGGGTAATTTAAATATTTAAATACATAAAGTTGTGATTGTAATTTAGATATTTAACTATGAAAAGATAATGTGGTATTTAAAATTTTTTATAAGAATAAAATAGTAAATTAAAAGTTTTTCACTTATGATACTTTTAGTAGTAGTATAGATATAAATAAATAATTACTCGGGGTCTATTTTATCTGTTTAGTTATATTTTTATTATATAGTGAGATTACTTACCAATGATAATGTGATGCTATCATTATATTAAATATTTACTTCTTATTCAAGATATAAATTTGTTATTGTTTTGTATCGGATTAAATTTGTGTTAACTTTAAATTATATTATGTTAAAATTTTATTTTATAATTAATTCATTATAATATTATAAATAGAATTCAGTAATCTTGTGAGCATAAATTTATCATGATTAGAGGGATTAATCTCATTTTGTAGAAAAGATTTCAATTTTCAAATTACAAGCTTAAGTGATAAAATAGATGTAACGTAACCCAGTTCTAAACTTCTATTCAATTTAAAAATAAAAATCTTTTGTACAAGATACGATTAATTCTTCTTAATGATATAAAATAGATGTAATGTAGCTCAATCTTAAGCATCTGTTTAATTTTCGTATGTGGATGATGGTCTCCACATTGTGGGTGTTCAAAAACAAAAAGGTTAATGGAGGTTTGGGGCAGGGCTGCATTGTATCTGTTTTATGAAAAGAGTATATAATTTGTGATTCAAAAAACTTTTGGGTACAAATTAAAATTAGAACATGTTTTAGGATTCCAAGTGCAATTAACCCCGGTTAGAATCGACTAAAGATTGTGAGCTACACAACAACGCAACCTCCGCAGCTTAGGTAGGTCCCACTGGCCCTAATCGATTTGGGTTGGACACGTCGTTGTCTGGACCACAGAAAATTCACCGACACCCGGTAAAGATGGTGGGGCCCACTCCAACTACGTGTTGAGATTATTTTTCTATCCTCGTTTGCTACTACTCTTATTGTGTTGAGCTACTACTCTTATTGTCAAATCACGTGGTCCACTGTAGTCCGTTGGATGAGATTGATGAAAAAATAATAGCGTCAGTCCGAATTGGGTCCCAGTACTTGATTTGTTTGGGGAATTAATTATCGATTTGGTGACCCCAGTGCTTTACACGTGGTCCTGGGGGTGACCCCTGACTAGGAAAAGTGGTGGGATTCAGTGGTCACAACTCACAAGGAACGGTCGGGATGCGAGGTGTGTGTGGTGTGCGTAGAGTCAATCGAATGCGTCACACATGGAGGGCTCCCAGCGTCGATTAAATATTGAATGCGACGTTAATATCACATCATTACTATATATTAATGTAATAATTTAATAAAAAAATTAATAAATAAAATAAATGCTACTAATTTAATATATTAATGAATAAATATGATAATTATTAAAATAATAATAATTTTGAGCAATAATTTAAGTGATAATAATGACAAGTTATAAATCGAAATATTATGAGTTCATATCTTGCCACCTTCTTCAAGATAGACTATGAACGATTTATCCCTCATATATATTTTAATACAAACGTGAATGACCTTTGACTGAACCAAAAAAGATATTAGTCAAGGTGCACGTAATTTAGTTCAGACTTTTCTTACCGTTGAACTAAAAAATAAAAAAATAATATATTTTATTTTATTTACTTGCTATTTTTTTATGAATAGTATTATGTATTCCTAATTTGTATCCCAAATCAAGAAGGATCATTGAATCAGTGAGTCCCATCAATTTTTTTAAATAAGACCTACTGATTCAATAGTCCTCTTTGATTTGAAATACAAATTTGGGATGTATATCATTACTTTTTTTTTATTGAATTGTGATAGTATGTAATATTGATTTACTCATTAATTACCCAGTTAACTAAAATTAAATACAAATGTATTAATTCTGCCTCGATATAAAAACGAATTAGCTGGCCCATCTCGGATTTGAAAGGTACTATGCATTGTAGTTAACTCCTAGTATTTAATTATTTTAATAAACTCTCATTTCCCAAACTAATTACTATAAAGGAAAATGCCCACGTCAGCCACATGACGGGGTGGAATTAGCTGGCTGGCCCATAAGAGCCCCAGTCCGCGACGCGTAGATCGAGTTGGTAGTAGACACGTGTACGGCAGAGGTGACGTTAGGAATAAATAAATCAGAATTGGCCTGCGCGACAATCGATGTGCCAGCTCAACCACCACCTCCGTAAATAGACCGTATACTATACGGTCGTTTGTACTCGAACACGTGTATCGTGACGTGGATGTTGCCTTTCGCGCTCCTTCTCTTCTCTCCCCTGCCGTGCCCCCCTGAGTATTCTCTCCCTCTCCCTCTCTCTCCCTCTCTCTGCAAGTTTCTCACTGTTCTCTTGCTATGTTTTCTAGAGAGAGAAAATGCAGAATTTGATATTATAGTTTAGATTCAAAGATTATGTACGGATAAATTGGTCTTTAACATCGAAGGTAGCTGAAAGCCGTTGAGCTTTTCTACTCTTTTTTTTTTTGGGCGTCAGGAGGAGATTTTTGAACTTTTGAGAACTGAAAGGTATGTTAAATTTGAGTTTCGTTTGTTGAATTTATAGCATTGAATGTGATGTTGATCTCTGCAAATTTTATTTGTTTTTGCTATTCGTATGTGTATGATGATTTTGTTGTGAATACATGTATTCGTGTAATTCAAGTTATAGTTTCGCTCTGGTTTATGGAATAGCTTCATCAATTCTAGTGCTTTTCTGTGTCCAACACACACACGCGCACACCAGAGGCTGTGATCAGACTACGAGAAAACGATTCAAGGCATGAAAAATTCTATTTTCGAGAAAAAAAATAGAGTTCGTAATAAGACAACGCATAAAGAACGGCAACAAGGTAGCTGATTTCGATTTTTTTCCCCCTATTGTTGAACTTCAGGAATTAAAGAATATGAGAAAATTTGGTGCCCCCTGCAGAGGATAGTTTTGTCTTTAACTTCCTAGGCGCTTCCGGATTGAGAAAACTTGGTACCTTGTCTGTTGCCGTCTTGTGGGTGGGTGGAGATGCTACAAAGACAATAATAACCCTATTCTTGGCCATTTTTGACTTTTTGAGTTCGAGTTTTAATATTTATTATTTTTATTCTTTGTGGGGTTTGCGGTTGGGGGTTCAGCAAGGTTAAAACTTGTTTGTAAGTAGATTATATATTGTATTCTAGGTACCGACTGTTTTTTTTTTTTTGATCCAAAGGTGGCGACTGTTCAAAATTTAATTGACGTGGGGCATATGGATCCTTTCCCCTCCCTTTCTATGTGATTGAACTTAGAGAGCTTAGAGAAAAGCTGCTAGTTTTTCCCCCTTTGAGCATGATCTTTTCATCAATGAAGTGTTGTACCTGCTGCTCTCCAGTCACTTGTTTTAGGTAAAACTAAGGTATTAAGGTAGTTTTACATGTAAACTTCTAGGTTCATTATATTATATATAATACCATCCAACTGCTGATAAATCTGACCTTTTTTGGATTACTCTTCTCGTTTCCAGTTTCTGTTACTGATCTCAGAATTTCACTGTAAAAGAAAGAAATTATGATCCCAAATTACAATGGGGTCATATTACCAGATTTGGTATATGTTGTCATAGCATCATTCTTTATTATGATTATCAATGAAAAGGACAGGGTTACATGTTGGTTGATCATCAATATAATGTTCTCCATTAGACTTTGCACCCCACAATGTTCCGTCATCTGTTCAATGTTTCCTATTTGCTGAAACAATGACGTGCAAAATCCAGTGAATTTTGGATCCCTGTTCACCATTTCCCATTATTTCTTTGGACTACTATTAATTGTCCACAATATTCCATTTATTCATATCACCTCTTTTTTCAGCTTTGAGTATATTCTGAGATCATGGCGTCTTTTTTAAAGAAATAATTTGGAAGAATTGTGGTTTTTTGTCGCAATTTGTTCACATTGTAACTCTTTTTCAGTCACAGCTTGACATGGATGGCTATCCTTTTATGCAGCTGAGTAAGCGTTTAACCAGAGAGATTGGATAGGTGGCGGTGAAATCAGGCATCATTTACTAAAATTAGTTTAGAGCTCCTAGTTTGGTGCTTGATCATGGGAAACAATGAAGAAGGAAAGTCTTGTAAGCCTGAGAAACCATCTTCACCTGCAGTGGTAAGCCAATATAATGCACACGTCCTTTGGCAGAGCTGAAATGCTGTATGACTTTCTTGTCTCTCATGAAAGAATTGTCATTCAAATTGCAAAAAGAAATGTAGGCTAACTTTTTGTACAAGCATACACTATTTTTATTATGTTGTCAATCATATAATTTCCATCATCCCTTGAAGTTTTTTGGTTCTGATTAGTGGTCTATCCTTCTACATTTGCAGGATCAGAACCAGACTAATATTCACATGTATCCTGATTGGGCAGCCATGCAGGTTATTCACTCTATTCATGCACTTATTCTCTCTTCTTTTTTTTTTTATGGATTCAGTTAAGTAAAACCCATGGTTCAAGTTGCCATTTGGAATTTGTTTGGTGTAACCTACCTATTTTAATCAATTTGCCAGGCATATTATGGGCCCCGAGTCGCTGTACCGCCATATTTCAACTCAGCTATTGCATCTGGGCATACCCCACACCCTTATATGTGGGGGCCACCACAGGTTTTGTTAAAATCCTCAAGAAAATTATCTTTTTGCATGATATACATGGTGGTCTCTGAAGTATGTGCTTAGTTTTGCCTTGATTCCTCAACTTTCAACTGTAAATTGTTCAATCATTAAATTTTGTCAAAGGAAATACGTGGCTTGATGATTGCTTTCACTTGTCTATGTCCATTGACTATTTGGGTGGAAGTGAGATATGGATTGAAGTGAGTCTGAACGCATATTTCAGGGACCATCAGCACATTTTACTCTAAATGATTTTTTTAAAGCTTTTGTCTAGGTTCTGTGTATATAATTGTGCTTTAAATCATACCACTAGATCACTTGCTGGAATGATTTTTAACTTCCTGCTCTCTGTTCCTGTAGCCTATGATGCCACCTTATGGGGCACCTTACGCCGCAATCTATGCGCATGGAGGTGTTTTTGCACATCCTGGAGTTCCTCTTGTAAGTCTATGTTACATGGGTTTTACATTGCTACTCATAATAGAATCTTTACTCTTAGAATGTGCTTGCCATAAGAGTGAGTGAGCCTAATTGGACTTCTTTGGAGGTGTGGACCTTCCTGAAGTCTAATATGGGTACACATTTGACCTAGGTTGTTTATCATGCAATGTTATTTATTTTCAGTAACAGCATTCCTCGTCCAACCCCACCCTCTCTTAAACAACCCCCCATGCTCTCTTAAAAACAACCCCCATCATGCTAATTTGCGTATTTTTATTTTTTAGTGCTATTGTTAACATAACGAAGTGAATGAGAACTGCATCAATGAGGAACACACAATTGTCTTTTTATAGCCACATTGGCATGAAGCCAAGAATAAATTTTGGCACTAATTTCTAAGCGGTGATGCAGGCTGCTTCTCCTTTGGGCATGGATACACCTGCTAAGTCATCAGCAAATACAGATCAAGGCTTAATGAAGAAGTGGAAAGGTTTTGAGGGGCTTGCCATGTCAATAGGCAATGCTAATAGTGCTGAGGGTGGAGTTGACCATGGGCTTTCGCAGAGGTTTGTTGACAATTTTTTTTTTTTTTTGTAATTTGCTTTTGTGTAACATAGGGAACAGTCTGGTACTTATTAAGAAAAGGGAAACTTGGATTCCCTTCCTCCACGAGATGTGTTGTGCCAAGTTCAATGGTCTCTTCCTATTAGCACTCGTGAGTTAACTTTTTAACTATCATGTCTTGTGGACAGTGGGGAGAATAATGGTTCCAGTGACATAAGTGATGAGAATACAGCAAGGGTAAGGGTATGCGGCATGTGCCTATCTTAGTGCTTATTATTACAGTTTTCAGTTTTTTTGTTTTTTTTTGTATTACTATGGAGAGTATATTAAGCCTTACTGGTTTCCCATTTAATTTTAGGCTGGTCAAAATGGAAAGAAAAGAAGCCGTGAGGGAACACCTAATGCAGGTAATCTTGGTTTTCTGCCAAGAAATATTTAATTGTTACAAACATTAGTGGACTTGATATACAATTTTTGAGGGTTTTTATTTGCTAGTAGAACAGACTCCTTTCCTACTTATACATTGGTGGTATAGTTGCTGTGTGAAGCAGATCTCAGACTGCAGTGATAGGTCCTGGCTTTATGTAGCACTGGCGCACTACTTGGGGCACATGCATTGCTTCCAAATGGTGGTTATGATAGCTGAGAGACATCTCTCACATGGCTGATATATAAACAGGACCATATTCTGCTGATAGTTGGAGCATATGTTTACTATATTAAGTTGTCAAATTGAGACATCTTTTGAGTATGAAGTGATTCAGCACTTCAGCCTCTGATGAACCTTTCTTTCAAGGATTAGTAACACGATTTTTTGCTGATGAGCAAAAAGGAGTCCTGATTTATGTCATATTTGTAGCGCTCATTATTAATTTTCTTAAGAAGATACGGTTTGTGAATGCAGTGGTTTGTGTGAATGGCTAGTTCAATTAATATAAATGACACTCCTTGTGCTGCTCGTCTCTAGAAAATGAGTTGGTTCCATATGTTATTTCCTTGGTCGTCATCATTTCCATATGTCCACATGTGGTGCAAGATCCATAAATTTCTCCGTGTGTAGAAATTTCCCACCGAGGCTAGTGACAATGCATGCAAAATGTCCTGCGGCATCCAGACTCTTAATGATTTGTTTCATTTTTTCCACCTACAGCTGGAGATGGTAAGACAGAGATGAAGAGCATTCCAATTCCTGGCAGAGAAGGAAATGGAGCTTCCGAGAAGGTGATGGCTGTTACAGTTACCGCTGCTACCACTGCAGGAAAAGTGATGGGAACTATGCTTTCTCCCAGCATGAGCACTGTATCTGAGCCAAGGAATCCTGCTAGTGAGAATGTGAAGACCAGCCCAACTAGTGCTCCACAGCCTACTCCTGTGATCCCGAATGAACCCTGGTTAAAGGTATATTCTGCATATGTTCCTCTTTTCTTCTTATTGTTTCTTTACCTTCTATATCACTCATTAAGATATTTTTTCGAGATTTGTAAGGACTATAATGGCCCACTGAGAATAATGATTAGTAGAAAGGCTGCAGTGCCATGAAAGTCATTGGAACTGATTAAGTTGTCGAGGACAATATTTTGGATCTTGGGCACACTCAATTGGCCTCATACTTTATTGGGGTCCTTATATTTGAATTGCACAATTGCTACATTGACTCTGACTTCAACATTGCTATTTTGATTTAATTCGCAGAATGAGCGAGAGTTGAAAAGGGAGAGGAGGAAACAATCTAATCGAGAATCAGCAAGAAGATCAAGATTGAGGAAACAGGTATAGGAACCATGTAACATGCTATTTAAATTTCCTATCATCAATTTAAATCTGTGCTTTATTTAGGTGGGTGGGCTGGTAAAGTCTTTCCCTTCAATTACACCTTTTTGATCTTTAATTTTTCCACCCAGGCTGAGTCGGAAGAACTTGCAGTGAAAGTTGAATCCTTAAATGCTGAGAATATGACTCTTAAATCTGAATTTTGTCAATTAACAGAGAATGCAGATAATCTGAAGCTTGAAAATGCTAAGTTAATGGTATGAACTTTCTTCTCTTTGGGTGATGTTTTGGTCTTTCTGGTGTTCTTATTGTCTCCTATCTTCACCGAGCTCATAGATTGATTTGAATTCAACAGGAGAAACTGAAAAATGCACAGCTAGTACAAAAGGATGAGGTGACTTTAGTCAGTACTGAGGACCTACTTGTGAGAGTTAACAATTCTGGTGCTGTTAGTAGAAACAATGCAGAGGCTGATATGTATGAGAAGAGAAACTCTGGTGCAAAGCTCCATCAACTCCTGGATGCTGGCCCTCGGACTGATGCTGTCGCTGCTGGTTAGAAACTTGTCATTCCTGCGCGTCAATTATGTACTTTTGGGGTAATTTCAAGCCAAAATTACTGCTGAAAATGCCATAGGAATGAAGAAAATTGAACAGGATTGAAAACGACTTGACTCTAATTTTTAGTTAGTTGTAATTTAGCTATCTTGGCAGAACTGATGGGTTTTAAAATTCAGAGTGCCAGGAATAGGCACTGATATAGTTGATGTAAATTGGAGACACTTGAGGGATCTTGTTTATGGAATGTAATGTGACCTGTATATCTGGATTGTGTAATTAGAGCGCTCTAATATGGACCTATTTACTCCAAGAATTGTCATGGACTTGGTCTTTTTAGTGTAGAAACTCGCAGGCATGGGAGCTGAATCATCCTAGGAAAAGGGGAAAACAAGGAAATCAATCCTCATGATTTACACGGGAAGAATGCGTTCATCAAGATGAGCGGAAAGGGAAAGGGACCACGCTCAAGAGTTAAAGAGGCAAGTTGATAATCAAGTTGCATTTGGCCTTCAGTTAGAATGAGCCTCCGTGACCCTCTCCTTTGTAGGTTTCTTAGTTTTCACTCTCAAGGAACTAGAATTATTCTCTTTTGTAGATTTCTTAGTTTTCGCTCTCAATGTACTAGAACTAGTACCCACTCTTCTTTACCGGAGGCCAGCTAAACATTGTTTTTGAATGAATATTGATGGGCCAGGCCCAGATGAAGCCTAATTCAAGTAATGGGTCCGGCCAAGATGAGATCCAACTCGGATAGTGGGGTTGCCCGAACAAGGCCTTGTTCAAGTAATGGGCTCAACCCAAACAAAGCCCAATGGGTTCAACTTAGATTAGACCCAGCTCGCCTCATTACGGAGTCAAGGGAGCACAGTTAGCCACACCATCCTAGAGCCAAGAGGGAGTCACGTCATGCCTTCTTAGAGTCAAGGATTACGTCATTCTAGAGTTAAGAGTTAGCCACATCATCCTAGAGTCAAAGAGAGAGTCACGCCATCCTAAAGTCTCCGTCATGTTATCCTGAGACCTAGTCTACAAGTGATAAAGAGATCTTCACACTATCTACACGCAATTACTCCGTTCATTGTAAGAATAGTGTCACTTCTACCAAATTAGCTTATCTGTTATGGTTATAGCGCCTCAATTTGTTAGAAAACGCCTATAAATTGTAAGTCTCATCTACAAATGAGAGGCATCTGACATCTGATGTATTGTATCTTATCTCATACCTAACTCACTTGAATTCTCCACACACTCTTAAAACAATAAAATACCCTCGCAACTAAAGACTTTCAAAGTAGAGTAGGTTATTCTGACCGAACTATTTTCTTTGTTGCTTGTGTTGAGTTTTTCATCATATTTATTATATTTTATTAACCATATTAATTACTCGACAAATGGTGCATAGAATTGGTTTGTGCATCGTCAAAAATAAACTAGGATGGATCCTACTCAGAATTGCCGAGGTGGATTCAACCCAAATTTCCATACCCAGTGGATTTCAAATCCACTAAAAATTGCCCACGGATCCATGGTAGATCAACCCGAATTTGAATTCCATCTTATTTGGGCCAAAAACCTATTGTGGAACTATCCACGAATACGATCCGTTCACTGACCTATCTCCAACTATCCCCTGAATTTTGGTGTGAGATTCATGGTCAATGGAGATTATTTTAATTTGTAAAGCGCATCATGGGCATGTTAGCATGCCATAATGCAAGATGTCAAACGTGCACTCACATGGGACAATCCCACCCCTTCATAGTTGGATTCTCATCCGGTGACCGATTTCTTGACGGTCTCCTTGTCACGTGATATTTCTCAACCCCGGGGTTATAAATATCAATTTCAAAATTTTTTAATTTTTCCTTTTAAAGTTTCTCATATCATAATAATATCTGTTAGAGGAACCTTATAAAATTATTCTTTTTGAGTTCAACAATTTAACAATACTATGAAATACTTTCAACCACACGATTCACCAATCTAATTCAATACAAAAATATATCAGGAATGCGATTAACTTAATCGATCATCTCACTATATTAAATATAATTTTTTTTTTATTTATTTGATTATATTATTTAAAATTTATTTTTACCCATGTTTTTAAAAAAATATCGACAAAAATATGTAATTCCACAAATTTTTTCAACATGTATGTATTATTGTGTCTCAATAATGTCTAAAATAAAAATTATGTTAAATAATAAATTAATTAAATATTAAATAATTAAATATGTAATAGAAATAGGTGATGAGATGATTTTTTTTTTTTGGGAGAAATATATATGAGATAAAATTTTAAACACCAGTCTATTTTATTATATAGATTTAACCAATTATGTTATGATGATTTTAGCCCGATATCACTAGAGTTTGAAATAAGTAGTTCTAGTACTCTTATGTTAACTATGCATTAAATAGATTATGGTGGTTTAGAGGAGTATCGGTCCAATTTCTAAGTTTGAAGATGAATGTTCGAGTTCAAATTGAATTCGGTGGTTGACTGCTATACTAGTCTAATTAGGTTTGTTTTTACGAGGAATAATAGATGCAGATGCAGTCAAAGATTTCGTGATCCCACCGGTAAGAATTTATTGTGGTGATCTTTAGATCCTCTTCTTTAACCTCACCGTTTTTTTTACCAGCAAAAAAAAAAAAACCATGCATTAAATAACAATCTCCCCCAAATGAGCAGGAACTTGCTGCAGACTTGCATGTTGCAAATGTAAAGCATTTCAATATTTAAAGTTTGAATGATAACCATGTGAAGCCATGAGTTTGACCGATATAATGACAAAAAATTATCATCCGTTGGTCGGATAGGAATGATAATGAGTTGTATTGTGTTTAAATTGTATTATGTCAAGATTCGTTCAATTCATGCATGTTTCATTTTATTTTCGTGTATGATTGTATGGGGATTGTGTCAAATTTTTGTCGCGGTATTTAACGAATTTAGGTCATGTTTAATCAGATTTAATGAGTATGATAATAAGTCCATCTATGTATTATTAAATTCTTTTAAAATCAGTCTAAATTCAATAACTCTATATTCATTTTATGTCATGTCCACGCGTAGAGTCTAAAAATAGACGGTCTTACCATTGAAATTAGAGCTAATACACAATAATAAAAGAAAAAATTACACATATTAGACAAATTTGAAGCATATAATAATTAGATCTAAGTTTAAAATATTACACATGTTAAATAAATTTGAAATATGTAATACTTTGAGCCTCGAGTTAAAAATATTATAATTAGATCCTCCAATTTAGAATCTGAGACAACAGAAACTCGAATCTGTGGGCGCCCTCTATGAACAATAAATATTCTACTCGCTGGCCTCCTCCTTTGTCCACTCTACTCTAAGCGGCCTTCTACTCGAGAATTAAATATGAATTGTCTGAATCTCAAACCACCTTTCCAAGTTTTGAGTCTTTTGACCGTTTGTACAACTATATGTACTTCACGTACATGTGTCCATGTAATTGTTTTCCAATACTTCGAACCCACTCCTAATGGTAGAGTTTCTTCTTCTTCTTCTTCGATTTATCCTTTTCGTTGGTGGGTATTGTTTGAAGTTGGGTGCTTCAATCATAAATTTACGAACTTCTTCTTTCTTGCTTGGTCGCTTGTTCTCCAAGTGGGTATCGTTTGAAACTGAGCACTGCAGTGTCTTTGCAAAGATAGCTCTTGAGTGTATTGAGTTGGTTTTCTTCTAACAACCTCTTTGGCTTTGAGATTTGAATTAGCATTTGGGAAATTGGTTTTATTCTTTTTCCTTAAAAGTTCGAGCTTTCTTGGAAATATTTCATAAAATTTAGGAGCGCTTTAAAAGTTTTCTAGGATTTGAATTCCTGTTTCTTTATTTTCTTAAGGTTTTAGAGAATGGGTTTGCTGTTAAACGTTAACGCGTTTTTTGAGTTTCTGGGATTGAGGGTGTTCTGGATCTAAGGGGCTGTAATGAGGGTTCAGATCGAAAAAGTTGAATAGGTTGGTGGATTTTTATAGTTTGATTCACGAGGTAACAAGTATTTCAAACTAGCCACGTCTGTGTTTACTGCTTGTGTTTTCAAACTTTGATTAGGGACTTCTCCAAGTAATTTAGGGGCGTTATTTGGAGGAAAGAGACATAGGTTGCTGATTTGGTTTATTGTTTTGAGGAATGGGGCATTTTGCAGCAGTTTGGGATTATAAGTCTAGTATTGAGATAACAAAGGACTGGAATGGGATCGATCAGGTCTGGCTTCGGAACCCTCAAGGGGCTTCTGCACGGGCTAGATCCTTTACATAATTCCTTTTTGAATTGGGTCCATTGAAGTGATGAATTCTAGATTTCCTTATAGCTTTGATCCATGATTGGAAAATTTGTATCATGCATATAGTTTTGAGTTGGTTAAAGTGTATCATGGGATATGTTAAATGATTTCTGTTAGGTTTATTGAACATGTTTCTGTTAATTTGTCCAGGTTAGCTTGTATGGAGGACAGGTTACTTCATGGAGGAATGATCGGGGTGAAGAACTGCTCTTCACCAGCAGCAAGGTGCGGCTTCTGATTATTACAATCTTTTGATAGCAATTTACTGCTCTGTTTTTCTGTGTTTCAATTCAAATTTTCGTCTATTAATAAGGTCTTATACATTAACATGATAAGTTTTAGACCCAAAAATGTAAACATAATAATAGTGGGAGTAGTTTTGAAATTATCTGCTTTTAATGATTCTGTCATATTGTGTATTTGCGGACTCAAGATAATTCATCTAGCTGGTTGAAGGTTTAGCAAATGAAGTTGTATGGCTGAAGCCTTTTCTGGTCGAAATGTTCATTGAACTTCATTTACTGTTATTATGCCATGACAATAGACATTTACCAAATTTAGATGATCTTCCATAAATCTACTTTTGTGAGAACAATAAACTTGAGAGATGTTCTTGAATGTGGTGCTTACTTTTGTAAGATATGTTCACACATTGTAGGCAATCTTTAAGCAATGCGGGGAGGAATACCTATTTGTTTCCGCCAGGTACTCCCAATTGTCATTCTGCATGTTTATTATTTTTTGGTCTTCTTTTGAATATTCAGTACAATACTAGTAATGCTTTCATTTTACTGATCTTTATGCCAACAATTGTGCTGTTTGGAAACTGTGGATTACTTGAGCAACATGGGTTTGCAAGGAACAAAATTTGGACCATTGACGATAATCCTCCACCTCTGCACCTAAATGAAACCCATGGCAAATCCTTCATTGACTTGCTCCTCAAACCATCGGAAGAGGATCTGTAGTGCTGGCCACATAGGTAGAACTTAATGTGTTATAATTTCCCTTTGACTTTTTTTGTGGAATTAAACTCCAGCAGAATCAAGACTATGGTGGCTGAAGTGACTCCCTCGGATGACTGCCCATCTCTAGCAATTAGTTTAATGTGAACTTTCTCTCATAGCTTTGATCTAAATCAAACAGGCCAATTTCAAGTAACCTGTACCTGTTTTCCCATTTCTTTTATGGGCTTATAGATAAATCATTTGGGTGTAACAGTATGAGGTGTGTGATTATCCAGATGAGGAAGGACCTAAGTTTCTGATTTAAATTGAGAAGGAATACTTTTATCTGGTATTCTGTATTCAGATTTTTTCCTTAAAAGTGTTGGTTGGGTTGTATGCAAAAGAAGTGTAAAAATCCTTGTGGTCTCAAAAAAGTATGGAATGTCCTCTTTCTTTATCTTAGAACTTGAATTCTTTGCTCTGATTTTTTCCTCAAGATGTCAAAATAGACTGAATGAGTACATCTTTGTTGAATCCTTTTCATAGAATATGGTTTCTAACAGTGATTACATGTTCCAGTTCATAATCGCAGTATCTTAACCTGTTAGGGTAATTACACGTTGCCGATGAATTCGTTTTCTCTCGCTTTTTTTCCCACAGTTTTGAGTTTCGCCTTCGGGTCTCTATTGTGTCAGATGGAAATCTGGTCCTGATATCTCGAATTAGAAACATCAATGGCAAGCCATTTAGTTTCTCATTTGCTTATCACACTTATTTGTCTGTTTCTGCCATAAGGTATGCCATATTCTCTAATGAAGTTTGTTATCTGGAATATGAAGTGTTTTTGTTCCATAATTATGTATGTAAATCTCAACAGTTTCAGATCAAGATAATTCTCAACAGTTTTTTGCCAAATAGAGTCATGAACTGCGAACAAGATAACCTTAGTAATACACTGAGTCGTGGTGGAGGATCATCGTAGTGGCATTAAAGTACTCAGTTGGCCTTAAAAGTACTAAGTACCACATTCTCCCATGAGGGTCACTGGACAGGTTTTGTTGTGCTCAACCAATTAATTAATTTGATTTGTATTTTCGGTTTTGCAAACCATCAAAAGTTATGTCCCTTATAATTGTGTATCTGTGACATATGAAGTCTCTACATGTTGCTAAAAGGATATGCTTGTGACTGCAAGGAAGAAGGTTGCCAATGACTTCCGAGAGAAGTTTATACTCATAGGGAACAGTCTGTTCCACACTGTTTGTAATAGATGTGGCTTCTTTTGAGGATATGTGATTGGTTCTTTTCCTACATGTACTCTATTGACTTTGGAGTTAACAATTCCTAAAAACAAACTGTATTTACAGTGAAGTCAGGATAGAAGGACTGGAAACACTAGACTATCTAGACAACCTTCGCCAAAGAAATCGCTTTACAGAGCAAGGAGATTCTATAACGTTTGAATCTGAGGTAAATCTTCTTGTGCAATTCAGTTATAAACTTTATTTTCTTTCCATTCCTCAACGATATTGGTTTTGTTCATTCCTAAGGTTTTCGGTTGAGATGAACACACTGGTTCAAAAGGTTTTATTTTCTTTTTCTTGCAGCTGGATCAAGTTTATCTTAGTTCCCCAAATTGCATAGCCGTCCTTGATCATGAAAGGAAGCAAACATTTGTAGTAAGAAAGGAAGGGTTACCTGATATTGGTACGTTTCCTTCCATTAGTCAAGTTTCCAAGAGGTCAATAAAAAATGGAAACTTCTGATTGATAGGAATCCCTTGCATTTTGAGGAAGAAATATATGCACAATTGCTCTACACTTTCTTTGATTGTTTTCATTGGTTAATAAACATCCAAGCGAACAATTTTGCAAGACCAACGAAGAATAATATAATTGTCATCATTTTTGATATGTGATTATAATGTTTCATCATCTATTTATGCCTTGTCTTCTCCTTATGCTCAGTGGTGTGGAATCCATGGGAGAAGAAGTCTAAATCAATGGTAGATTTGGGGGACGAAGAGTACAAGCAAATGCTGTGTGTTGATGGGGCAGCAATAGAGAAACCTATAACTTTGAAGCCAGGGGAGGAATGGACAGGGCGCTTGGAGCTTGCCGTTGTGCCCTTGAGTTTTTGTAGTGAGGACCTTGATCCCCATATGAGGTTTTTCTAAAGTCTGTAGAAAATGAGCAGAGATGGATGGATTCTTGCTGTTTTGATAGCTGGTCTGTGTCTAAAGTTAGTTCTTAGGTGTACTTTTCATGTTCAACAGAACAAATGTAATCACCTATAACATATAAGTAGTCTGTAAACTAGCAAAGCCTATGTTTTAAAGAATGGCTGCTCTTCTTAGGTGTACTGATTTTGGGTGAAGGAATGAGGTCTATCATCTATGTCTTTGAAGTATGGCTTCTCGTTTTTCATCCTATACTTTTGTTTATTGGAGTATGGTTTCTGGTTGAGGACTTGGGATAGCAAATCTACCTTTCAAAAAGAATATACCAATTTAATGAGCAAATCTTTTGTTGGACTCTCTTATTTCTCCTCAACAAGTGGTGCAAAGCTAATTGTTGATGATCTTGATTGAGTTCTTAAGAAATAGTTTAATGGTTGAGTTTGATATTTGATAGTATAGAGATTTTAGGTTCAAATTTCTTTTACACATCCTAAGAGTTAGTCACTCTTGTTTCTCATGAACATGTGTTTATTCCAACTCATCTGACGGTGGTTGTCACTGAATTTTGAGAGAGTTGTCGATATAAGTCTGAACATCCTTTAATCAAAAAAAATAAAAATAAAAATAAAATAATGTGGTTCATATTACCTTGGAAGAGGAGATTATGATTATCAAACACCACCAGCACCAAAATGTAAAATTGGGAGAGTTTCCAGGAGTTATGGTGAGGTTGAGCCCATGATAGACATGGCTCAAGTGGAAACAGCACCTCGGGTTTTACAATTGGGTTAATCTCAATTTATAATATTAAAATATAAATTAAAAATTTTATAAATTGAAAATCAAAACATATTTGAGTGAGATTAACCCTTTACAATTATTTAGGTGGGACCCATTCAGACGACTAACCAATCAGAGTTGCGTTTAGCAACGCTCCTCATCAAATCAGTGCCGATCAAAAAAAGAACTGTCTGTGCAATATATTATCATTTCCAAACCTCTCTCCCAATCTCTTCTTACGAATCAGAATCATTTCCAAAAAATAAAAAAAAAAAAAAAGTCTTCGAATTCCAATTTGAACGAACGATTCAGGTTAGGCAATACAATCCGATCTTCTGTATCGAAAATTTTATACATATATCCGATTTCTTGTTGTTGATTTGGTATTTTTTGTGAATTTCTGCAGGATTTAATCTCCTCAGATCTAGGTTGATCTACTCGATTTGCAGAGTCGTTTGTTGGATGGCGTCGAAACGGATCTTGAAGGAGCTCAAGGATCTCCAGAAAGACCCTCCTACCTCTTGCAGCGCCGGTATCCATCATCTACTCTCTCTCTCTCTCTCTCTCTCTCTATTTACGCCTTTGTGGTGTGTTCTTATGTGAATCTATGTTGATTTGATGTGTTTACGTTTGGTTCTTGGTTTTAAGGCTCGATCCGTCACGTTTGGATGTAGACACACAGATATGTCTGCACCTGCGAATCTACTTTCGTATGTGTGTGTGTATGTACATTTGCTACAGAGTTGATTGTTGTATTTTGAGATTTGGTCTTGTTTTTCTTTCTTTATCTTCTTTCTTTATTGAAACCGCCTTTCCTTGTATTCAATAGAGAGAGAGAGAGAGAGAGAGAGAGAGAGAGAGAGAGAGTCCTAAACTCCAACTATGATGAGTATGGAGTTGGTACGAGTTGATCCAATTGAAGCAGAATCTGAGTGGTCTTTGTTTCTTCCTCTATAATTGTGATGGGTTGAGCTATCGCCTTGCTCAATCGGTCGGCCTCTAATTGATCAAAGCAAGAATTCATAGCGAGAAACAATATGTTCATCTTTTTCATCATCCTCTCTTGCCGATAATTAATGAGTGGGCTTTCGCTTCAAGTCGATCAACTCGGTCTTCCGTGCCCGACTATAATACCAATACCAATTGTTACGTGCACGATTTTGGGTGATTTGTAAAACAATGAAAAAATAAAATTAGGAAAGAAAATTGTTACTTGTATGATTTTGGGCGATTTGTAAAACGAAAAAAAAATAGAATCAAGGAAGAAACCCACTTCGAAGGGTGTTAACCTCCACTGGCTCAATTCGAGGGGAACCGAATTTTAAACAATTCCACAAGAAATTTCAATACAATATTCAACATGCCCATTTCATTAATAATGATGTCTTTAAATACATAATAAAGATAACTATATAGATAATTAACACACCCCATTACCCCACTACTTAGATAACCACCTAAAAAAATTACTCACAAATACTCTGTCACTAATCCACTTATTAAAATAACTTTCTAATAATTACTTTTAATATTATATAAAAATATTCTAAAATGTGCACACAACATTCCATTCCTCTTTAAAAGAACTTTGTCCTCAGTTGCATTTGCAAAGTAAAAATGTAGGCGGCCAGCCAACTTCCATAGCCTTGTACCAAGTAATGTGATCAATAAACTTCCTTGCTTCAAGTTGAGGTTGAAACTTTGCTTCATAAAGGATAAATTGGATTGAACCAAACTGCAACAATTCTTTAAACAATTCCCACGTGAGCAACTCATGTTCTTGCAACTCTTTCTTGAACCAGTCACATGTGAGCACCTCTTTCTTTACCTTTGGTAGTTGGCACCGCAACTGCACATCTCCCTCAACATATTATGTTGCTAACTGAGCCTTAGCATCATTGGTTTTGAAATTTTCTTCTTGAAGGATTTTTTCAACTTTGTCGAAGCCCTCTTTCATGTGTAGATTTTGCTCAATGAATCTGTTGAACCATTTTTGAAAATCATCATGCATCACCTTCAAAATTTCCAATGAAGTAGCCTTTAATAGAATCACCGACTCTGATACCAATTGTTACGTGCACGATTTTGGGGGATTTGTAAAACAAAGAAAAAATAGAATCGGGAAATAAAACTCACTTTGAGGGGGTGAAAATCTCCAATGGCTCAATTTGAAAAGAACCGAATCTCCATAACTTCTGCAAGAAAATTCAATACAATATTCAACATACCCATTTCATTAATAATAATGTCTTTAAATACATAATGAAGATAACTATATAGATAATTAACACACCCCATTACACCACTACTTAGACAACTATCTAAAAAACTACCCACAAATACTCTATCACTTACCCACTTACTAAAATAACTTGCTAATAATTATTTTTTACATTACATAAAAATGTGCACATAACAGATGAGTCGGAGATGGACGTACTAAGAAAGAAGCGAGAAAAGACCAGAAACTAAGTATATTATTTGGATAACTTACTTGATCAAGGACTTACATCTATAAAATGGTACAAATTAATGTCATTTGTTTTTGGAAATAAGAAACCAGCGAAAAAGGGGGGATTGTGTCTTGTAATATAGGGATGGTTACCCCATAAATATGTTGACAAACCAAGTTGGGATTTTAGACTCAACTCAACATTTGAGTCCGGGTATTGCACCCAATCATTTTTCTCATTTATGCTATTCAATAATGGATTGCTAATACTTAGGTTGTTTTATTGTCTGAAGATAAATTCTATGTTGTGACAAATATTTTGCCTTGATATAAATTGTCTCATCCGATTTATGAAGCAAAATGGTCAAATTTGATGAGAAAGTTATAAATCTGCTTACATTCATTCTATCTAGAAAGTCATATGCTCATGACAAATATTTCCATTTTTTCACTTTCTTCCAAGGCTGCATGTTTTGGTCATATCGTCCTTATCCTGTTTGATCTCTTTATTGATTGTATTGCTGTTGTTGTATCAGTTAATTTCAACTACCCACTTTATTTGATATTATCTTTTGAAGTCTAAAACTTCCCTCTGATTGCATGCTTTAGAGTTGATAGAAGGGTCTGAGTTTCCAAGCTTTCCTAATTACCTTAATAGATCAAAATTTGAAAAATCCTCTTTTGATTATTTTGAGGTTTTCGTGAGCAACATACTTTTTGGATTAAGGTTCTTGAAAGACATGACTGAAAACATCATTCCAGTCATGCTTATTATTTTGTAAGCAATGGGCTTAACTTATGTTTCCCTGCATCATAAGTATAAAGGATCAATATTTTACCACACGTTTCATTTCTTTTCCTTTTTTAATATTATACCCTTTACCTACTAGTTTACATTTGTATTAACGAGTTGATTCCCAATGACATTATGGCCCATTAAATTATTTGGGTCTTGTTTGGTTGCAATATATAAGGGCGAGATTGGACAAATTAATCATGTACCCCTTCTTCTGTGTTTGGCATGAAAAATAGGTCTGCAAATCTAAAAAAAATTCATAATTGTAAAGTTTCCTTGTACTAATAATAGAGGAATTGCCTTATAGTAGTAATAGGGGATCGGGATAAGGAGCCACCACCACCACACTGCCTCATGAGTTCTAAGCTGAGAACAGCTACTTTGTGCGGACAATGCCAAAGGTTAGGTCTGTAACCATAATGGGGACTAAAATGAGTGTTAGTATAGTAAGGTTATCCCAAATCTCTCCCTTAACCACATGTGGGGGATTGGCTTGTGCAATCCAATCCGCGGATCAAATAGACTCTTAGTCCTGTATTATCTCATGGTACTTATTCTTTTTTAATAGATATATGACCTTTCATTTGCATTGAATGTATAAACAGGCCCTGTGGCTGAAGATATGTTTCACTGGCAAGCTACAATAATGGGTCCACCAGAAAGTCCTTATACCGGGGGAGTATTTTTAGTGACTATCCATTTTCCCCCTGATTATCCTTTTAAACCTCCAAAGGTATGGCAAGTTCAAATAATTTTGTTGCAATTGTTGGTTTGGCCTCACGATATTATGATCTCTGTCGATATGAAGTTTCTTGGATCACCATTTTTGTTTTGGGTTAAATTTCTGTTGCTGCACATAATTTGATTAAGAGCTCTAGGCAGATATTTGATGTACTTTATTCTTACAAACATTGAGAAAGGAATTCTTTCATTGCACTGGTGGGGCATGTCCAATATTCAGATCTCCCTGATAGCTTGCGATGTCTTAATTTTAGAGTTGTCTAGGAGGCGTAAAACTGCTGTCAATGGCACTATCCCCATTTGTCTGTTTAGTTCGATGAAATACACGTGAAAGATTTTAAAGTTATTCATATGTTCTTTCATTTATTATTAAATTTTTTGAATATAATGTTAGACGAGGGGAGAAATACTGTTATGTTGATGGGTAATAGGTCGAAGGGATAACTCAAGAACCTTTATTTTTTGCAGTGCAAAAAATGGTAGACTAGATGTGGATGACCCTACGCAGGCAAGTACCTCCTGTTTGGTGAGAATCAACAATAAGATGGGCTTAGATGGGTAACCACAGGCTCTTCCTCTAGCCTTGAGTCATAGCTTGACCTTAGCCCTACCTAAGGCGAGTAGCACCGGTGACCCTTGTAGGATTAGGGCCATCATGGGGCTATAATCTTTACACAATTGAACCAGAAAAAAAATATACTCTTTACATGATTGTCCCCGAGACTCAAAACCGTGGCTACCTTATCTCCTTGGAACTTTTACCCGTGATGCTTTTTCCATGAAAACCACAATCCCTGGACCCTAATGGTGGCTAAAGAACCTTCAAACTCCACATATAGAAGAACCTTTGAACTCTGAAGAATTAGAATCAAAATTTAACAGTCAGTACAGTGAAAAGAATTCGGAACTTTAAAGGCTTGGTGGGCCTCAAGATAGAATACCCTATTCCTTGAGAACCATGTTTTGTGGTAAAATATACTTCTCAGTTGCATTAAATGGGAACTTTAAATGATTTTATTTTTTCTACTCAGAAGAGGGACCAATGAAATAAGTCTTTGCTCACTGTTTTTGCGGGCATGAAAACATGCATACCTGCATCTTAAATCAAAGAAGTTGTGAAAAAGCTTATAAGCATTGTGATGTGATTATCGGTTTAATAGAACATTGTACTCAATAAACTACATTTAATGGCTTGGGTAGGTCTTTTCAGTTTGGGTATATATTAAAAAAAAAATTGATAGTGCAGATATCTGTATTTCGTGTACTGAATATTTGTTATGGCTTAACGATTTAGAACTGCACGAGTCTTCAATTTGTTTGTGATTGTATCTTACAGGTTGCATTCAGAACAAAGGTTTTTCATCCAAACATAAATAGCAATGGTAGTATTTGCCTCGATATCTTGAAGGAGCAGTGGAGCCCTGCCCTAACTATTTCCAAGGTTCTATTTTTTCTTAGCTGCACAGCTTGTTTATCACATAATGGCTGATTAGATTCTCTATTTGTGAAGAATGGAAATAAGCCATGCCCAAGTGAATTATAGGATTGTTCATCTGGAGTTTCATTTGCCCATAGCCCACAGGAAAGTTTTCTGATGGCTGCCATTCACATGCCTAATATTGTCATTTACATGATGAATGAACCAGTTCATAGCAATTTTTTAGATCATAGAGGGCATAACTTGATATTAACTTTTTACATTTATCAGATTGGCTAAAATCTAGTGGGTTTCCTGGCATAGGCACATTGCATTATGGTCCACATCTCCTCCCCTCCCCTCCCTTTCTCGATGTTGCATTATTTGAAATGTACATTTGGCTTATATTTCAAACATTTTTTCAAGTGTCGTTGCATGCCTGATCACGAGAAAAGTGTTGGTATATCGCTGCACCAGTGTGGTGCCCATGCCCAAAATCTGGGTGACTAGATTTTAGGCAGCTAGTTTGAAGGTTTTCTATTAAAGATCATTCACTTTATATCTCAGTCAGGTGCCTTTAACAGGCCCTGATTAGATCTGAATCCTCAAAGTGTAGGTCCACCGGACAGCCTATGCCTATCCAATGGGAAAAAGGACCATGGTCTGCATCGCGATCATCTTAATTTTTGGTAGCTTGCCTTAATAAAATGGCCAAATTTTTTCATAGTGCAGCTTTTGAAGTTGTGAATGGTTCTTACCTCTATTTTCAGGTGTTGCTTTCAATCTGTTCTATGCTAACGGATCCAAACCCTGATGACCCCCTGGTGCCTGAGATTGCTCACATGTACAAGACAGATAGGGCCAAGTATGAGACAACTGCAAGAAGCTGGACCCAGAAGTATGCCATGGGCTAGTGTGCTTTGTCGCGAGCACTTCTATGGGTTGGCCTTTGTGTAAAAAGAAGTGTTTGTGTCCTCTCTTCGACTTCCGTGATTATGAACAAATTTAGAACTTAACAAAATATTGTCCTCGCGAAGAACGTACATGATGCTCTAGATTTGTTTGTATGGAAATTATGTTTGGACAAAATGTCTATTGGATCTTATTAAATTGTGGGATTCTTATCAAATGCCTAGCGAGAGACGTCACTACATACCTTAGCCTCGGGTTGAACTCCGGTGTTGAGGTTATTTAGCGTTTTTCAAATGTGCATTATTTACAACTTCAAACTTTTAGTTAACGATATTTAATTACCTTTCTTTACACACCTATACGGCTATACTTTGTTTTGTTCAGAAGAGTACAGTTGTTTCTCTGGTGAAGGACACAATGAATCCAACTGTTGACTGTTGACTGTTGACTGTCGACTGCGCTTTGTATCTGTCTGACTCATAAATACCTTAATTTTGTCATAAATGACTTGTCTTTGATTAAATCAAATAAAAGATTAATTAAAATATATATAAAAATTGGTTCAAATATCTTAACCGTTGAAATGGGAAAAAAAAAAAGACTCAGATATTCATTAGGATAGCTCATGGAGCAATCTTAGGGAGCAAGTTTAAGTAACATAACGAAGAGTTTTTTAGGTTTTTAGAGTCGATGCTTCCTAGCTTTCTGGTTTTATCAAAAGAAAAAGTTTTTACATCACAATTCGAAGCCCCAGTTCTGAAATATCTTTCACATGGAAACCCTCAGCAATAAAAGCTTTTAAATTTGTACTATTAATAATGGCTTCATAGAACATTTTGACCACTGTCTTGTATGGACACTAACTTTGTCTTTGGACAATTTCATGAAGCATCAATTCTGACTTTTGTCAGCAAAATGTAGTTTCCAAGAACTTGCTTGGTATATACACAGACACTACATAATCATAGGCTATTGCAAGTTAATTCCACTTCAAAATTAACTAGAAACTTATTTTAATAAAAAGAAATTCAATGCACGAACTTCATAAAATTTGAATCTTTGAAGAATTTAGATGTATACAATCTTATCTTACAAGCAAAAAAATAATTTTTGAAAAAAATATTCAAATTTATGATGCTCATGTCATGATTCTGAATTGTTATGGAGCCGTTTATAGAGAATGATTTTATGGAGGGTTTAATCACAATAGATTGGGTTGTCAATGTAACGATGTGGTACGCTTACTATTGCACATTTTATTAGAAGAAGAACAATGATAAAATGATACTATACTAGTATTATCCATAAGTAGGATGATAATGAGACCAGAATAAGATTAGATAAAGACAACTCTAGAGGAAAATGAACTAAAATTGTATACTTCTTTCACCACCTTTGCTATCTTTAATAAATTTGTGTAATCTTAGAAATAAGTACTATGATAATGACATCATAGTAAGATGAGCTAAAGATAACCATCTAGTGAAATGAATTATAATTATTTTTATCTCGAAAAAAGTATGATGAAAGTGATACTTTTATCATCCCTAATCAGGAAACTAAGAAAGTTATGACGAACATCGTACGTGAAAAATAAGTTCAACATAGCAAAATAAGTTAAACAAGGGCGAAAAGTTTAAATCACATCGTAAGGTGAAAAATAGCATCAATCCATGGTAAAAGATGATTCATGTAATCGATAGTAAAAATATTAAATGAAGATTTTGTTGAATCACAGTTAAATTAATGTGGTCACGTGGGGAGGAACTGAACAGTAACAGGACATGTGACAATGTTTTTTTTTTTTTTTTTTTTTGTGGCTGGCATTGTTTTTGTTTTTTCCGATGTTCATTTGGGGATCTGGACGAATGTTTTTCCTTTGCTTGGGGCTAAAGCTTCGGCCGTGCATATCCCAAACCGATTCCAATTCATTTATTAATATCTCTGACTCATTTCTTAAGTATAGAAAATGTCAATTTGAATTAAACAAAAAAATATTATTTTGAAACACCGTGTGTGTGAATTAAATGTTCCAAAAAAGAAAAAAAAAACTATGTGAATTAAAAAATATTTTCAAAAATATAATTTCATGGTAAGGGTCAAGTAAATTATTTATGAAAAATAATGTTTGAAAATTCATGTAAAACGGTGCAATTTTTTTTTATTAATAGTATAATTTTTATCGAACAATTATATTTTACTAAATTTTTTATACATTAAACAACTTGGAGTCTCATTTTCAAATTCACTGTCCAACTTGGGGCGCAAGTATCTGCCATTTTTGATAATACTATCCCAACTAACTTTCATACCAAATAAATGATAAACCTCATTTAAAACATGAATAACTTGCAAACCAAGCCAAGCATACTAATATAAGATATTGTTTTGACCGGATCGGATATAAAATTAGTCAAAAGATGCGTGTAAATTGATTCGAACATCTCTGACTGTTAAACAAAAAAAAATCAAGTTGAATAAAAGGCAAGAAGTATACTAAAAATGGGTAAGGCTAATGTACCTCGGCTTGGCGAGTTCCAGCTGATAGCTTGATAAGCAAATTGGTAGGCAAGTGTAGAGGGGTAAGACTGGTTCACGGTCCCCACGAAAATTGGAGGAAGTTGTTGATACTTGGTTGACAAGCCAAAATAATAGTAAGCGAGCATGCCGGGATTAATTAATTAAGTAAACGAAAATTACTGAGTTTAATCTCTTTCGTTTAGTCAAAACCACACTGGCTGACAGGTCGGTGACCAAAATGATTTACCACATCTTAGCTCACGTGACTGCCACATGTATGCTATGCATTTTCCCACTCGCAAAACCACGTGTTTTCACCAATGTACGCTCCGCTCCTTATAATTGGACCGTGACATATAGATCCAGTATTGCGCGTCGGTGTAGGAGTGCGGTGACCAAATATCCCGTAACAATAGTTAAGTAAATCCGGATCTCCGATGGTATGCGGCGAGTCGGGATCTCCGGTCAAAACCACCACTTTCCAACAAATACATCTCCCACCTTAAAAACAATTAAAACCAGGATAAATTATACTTCAACTCTCTTAATTATGGGCTATATTTTTTTTACGGAAATTGCCAATGTTACAAGACAAAACATCACTTTACACTCTAAAAGATGTTTTAACTCCTTATAACATCATATTTGAAGTACATGAACCGTAAGTGATTCAATCGTGAGTTCATATATAAATTTATAGACTGTTGACGTCTCATGTGAGTTGTACATGATAGACTTAATCTCTATTTGACTAAAAAAACTTTATTTTCAATATATAAAACGATGTCAAATTGATCACAACGGTTCGAAGCATTTGTAACTCATGTGCTTCAATTTATGACAGAAAAATTAAACAGTAATTTGGGCGAGATCCACATTTCTATTAATTCATAATATTGAGGATGTAAACTGAGATTTTTAATGTTTGAGAATGCAAATTAAGAATCAAAATATCTTTTGAGGTGTTAAGTGAGATTAGCTCAAAAATTAAAAAAATCACAAAGTTGGGGGACAAAATAAAATAAAATTTTGTCAAATATACTACATTTGTCAATAATTGGGGCAATATAACACTAATCAAATGGTTTAAAGTGTAATGTAAAAAATATGATAGTTTAAGAAATAATGTAAAAAAGTTATAGTTGAAAGATTCAAAGTGTAATTTTTTTTCTTAAAATTAAACTAATGTATTGAACACAATCCAAAAATAAAAATCGAAATTAGGAAAAAGAAAAAGTGTACAATATATAATTGACCCAACAATTAGGGGATCCTCCTGTTGCTATTAAACAGTGATTCCAAACCTTTCTCTCTTCTCTGCAACTCCAACTCCAACTTAATCTCTTTCTCTTTCTCTCTCTCTCACACAAACACACACCCCTTTCTTCTCCGAAATTTCTTTGCTTTTCTCTGAGTTGTTAAAGTTTTGCTCTTAATGGGCTCTTAATTCCTTGTCAGTTACCAATCCTTGAAGCTTTCTTCTCTCCGTTAGTCGTTTTTTACGGTAACTCACACTCATATTTTTACTCCAACTCTTTACAACAAAGCACTAATTACCTGCTCTGAAGGTTTCAAAAACCAACTGTTCTCTCCCTCTCTCTCTAGTGTCATTCTGATCCATGTGAATCTTTGTAAAACCACCCAGAAATGATCCGAAACGTTTCGTCTCCAGTGAAATACACAATCCACAGGAGCCTTACCTCTTCTAAGCTGGAGTACCCACCGGCGGCGAAGCCCAAATCTCTGACCAACCATTGCTCTGTTTACGAGAAGAGTCCCAAAATGCCACGCCTTGTTCGGGTTTACGTGACTGATTGGGACGCCACGGATTCTTCCAGTGATGAAGACGATGGACCCTTGAAATTGAATTATCAGAGATTGAAAAAGCATGTTCATGAGATTAGAATTGAAGAACCTTGTTGTGGAAAGGCTGTTGGAGAGAACAGAAATGGAGTGGTTAAAAAGAAGCCGAATCGTTCGAAGAGATTGGAGAGTTTAGGGGGTATTAAGCCACGCCCTAAGAAGCAATGCACGGCGGCGAATGGGAAGAAGTTTCGTGGCGTTCGACAACGGCCGTGGGGGAAATGGGCGGCGGAGATAAGAGATCCGACGAGGAGGGCTAGGGTTTGGTTAGGTACTTACAACACCGCCGAAGAGGCTGCTTTGGTTTACGACAAGGCCGCAATTCAAATACGAGGTCCAGACGCTTTGACCAACTTTATCCAGCCTCCGGCCAGAGTTTTGATGCCACCAGAAATCAACGTCACGTCAGTTTCCGACTCCGATTCCTGCAAGGAGTCGTGTGTGAACCTTTCTTCTCCGACCTCTGTTTTGAGATTTAACTCCGGTGAAGAAACAGAGCTACAAAACCAGTCGAGGGAAGAGAGTGATCGAAGAGCAGTGGAATCGGCGGTGGAAAGTACGAGTTTTGGGGAGGATTGTTTGGCTTTGGACTCATATTTCTTGGATGAACATGAGTTTTTCCATTTCCGGTCACCGTCGCCGTTATTCTGTGAGGAAATGAGTGTACCGGATACTGTTTTGGGAGGAGATTTCGGCGAAATTCCGGTGCGTTTAGACGATGATTTCAGGTCTTGTACTTGGGACGTTGATGATTTCTTTCAAGACCCTTTGACGTTGGTTGAAGGTTGATTTTCTCATAATTAGATTTTGGGCATATAATCTCTCTTTTGTTAAGAAGTTTTGTGAAAATTTTGGTGCATATGGTATTGGACATCTAATTTATTATTTTTCAATTTTTTTTAATGTTATATGAAACATTATTATAAAAAGATCGCTTCTTCTACGTTGTCTCTTAGTTTTAAGCAAATTATATTAAGTTAGCGTCGTGTATAAGTGGTATTTAATAAAATTTTTGTTTCTAAATCACGTTTGTTTGTGTTATCCATATATTTTGTAATTCTAGAATATAAGGTCCACTTCGAGTAGAAAGGCATGAGAAGATCATGCTTATTATTATTTGTTTACTAAGTAATTGGGTTACTAGAAATGTTGAATACTTAGGGAGGTGGGTCAATTTGGATAGTGGCCATTTCTACTTGACTTTGCATGCTTAGAAATGTGCAAATTAGAGTAACTTGGACACAAAAATGTTTAGTGCACATGGGAAACTTGGGTTTTCATGGTTTAGATTGATATGTGTGTGTGGGTATGAGGATGAATGTGATATGTGGTTATGCCCATTTGGTAGGTGAGAATTTGAGAAACAATCAACTAACTTGGTATTTAGTGAGTGGATCAGACAGGATAAAAGATATTTTATTTATAAAAATGGTTGCAAAATTCACCTTGTATCGTTCATTTAACTCTATTTCTCCTGCACAAAACTTGATGCATCAATAAAATCAGAGTTTTATTCAAACAAAAAGAGACATTGAACATTTCTAAAACCTTTGTGAAATATTTGGCCTCATGCCCTCCACAAAAACAATGTTTCTTCTGCACTGATGTTTGTCTGCCTCCGTAAAATATCTGTCCCACTTACCCTTTTTAAGCTTCAAGGCAGATGGGGGAAGGGGAAGAGTAAAAACTAAGTAGATCATATTTTTATGTTTATTTTATTTTTTTTGGGAAATGAGTTTTTTTTTTTTCCTTTTTAAGCTAATTAAAGAAAGGGCAGAAAAGTATGCCAGTAAATTTTTCATATAATTTGTTGACACAAAATTAATATAAAATTAACGGGTTTAAAATTAGTGTACAAACAAATGAACTTGCTAAACTTACCGATTAAAGGGGTCAACACAAATTTGACTAATTCAATAAAAAATTGAAGTTTTACAAGTTTTCTTTTGAGCTTTAAATTCGAAAAGAGTTGAAAAATCCAAAAAATAGGAGGGCCATTTTGATATTTTTTTGCATTTGGCAGTGATATTTCCAACTGAATCCCAGTAGCAGAGTCATGTGCTAATTGATTGGACAGGAGTTATTCAACTGAACTTCAAATGATGGATTGGATTGATTGTTTTGCCTTTTTTTGGTACAGTCAATTCAAAATGAATTGTTGTCACGCACGCATTGTTTTCAATTTTAATGTGGAATCTGCAGTAATTCAGTGACCTTGTACATACGGATTATCTCTGTAAGAACATATAACATCGATACACAATTTGCATTTACTCCAAACCCATTCGCCAACCCAACCACTATGCCTATTTCGCATCCAAGTACATCAAATTTTCTCAATACTGTATCATCTATTTGAAGTATAGATGGAGAGTTAAAGTAGAGTCAACACCCATGACTGTTATTTGTATCACAAAAAGGATGAATGAGAAAGTTGGTTGAGATGAGAAAATTCAAATTGCCTATTAATGAAAAGGTCAATCTTAGACAAAAGGATTCTTAAAAAAGTGGAGGCAGTTGAATGCACTCTCACCAGCTGGTTGGTCCAATCTAGACGGAGAGTGGCGCTACTCGCATTATATTCCTTGGATATTTATCTTAGATTAGGGCGGTAGGGCGCCTATAAGTCAACGTTGTTTGCGTTTATAACCAGGGGCGGAGCTAGATATCCATCTTAGTGGGGGAAAAAATATGAGCAAAAAACTTAATCAAATAGTATTAAAAAAAAAAATCTTTTTGAACCTCTGTTAAAGACGATTAAATTGATGGTTATTTTCAAATGAATAATTCTTAATCTAAAATATAAGAAAAATATTAAGATCTAAGATTTCACTATTACGTGAAAATTAAGAAATCAATATCAATCTAGACGATATTATTTTTGTTAAATATGTATCCGTAAGGGTATTTTACATTTATTTTACTCATTTAAAATATATTGCTTTGTAAATTAATTAAGGGAGCAAATGGACCATTGACCCACCAAAAATAAAAATAACTCGGGTACTATATAAATTTTTAAGAATTTATGAGGGCAACATATAAACTTTTGAATTTACGAGGGACAACATTCTTTAAAGTTTTCAACCTATAACAATATATGGACTTTTGCTCAAAATTCAGTGGGGCAACTGCCCCAGCCCTTAACATGTACTTCGCCCCTGTCTATAACTCTATGTACTATATAGGTAAGTAATTAGGGTATTTATAATACAGACACTTGAGCAGTCTTAGATGACCAAATAGATTGTCACTAGCTCTGCCTTTGTATGGGGTCAACTTTATTCCTAGATAATGTGCGTACCTGCAACCACCTCGACCACTTTTGTATGGAACTCACGTAGTATGCATTAGGTGCCTTGAGTATTAATTAGACAGATGTGACATTTCTAAGATACAACTTCGATTTAGTCCTTGAGTATAAGGTTCAGTTTTTAAATCTATGAGGGCTCACTGACGTAGAAGAATTGCGGATTGAATTTTGTAAAAGGGTCATGACCACGGTGCCCCCAAGCTGTGCATACCGCGAAGTCCCTATTGCTCGTAGAACCCATCCGAGTACACATTAGGATGCCCGCTCATTGAATATCACATAATTTTAATTTTCTAGTCACCAATTTACATGTCCAAACATATCATTTGTTGATTTGTACTATCAACCTCTCGCACCTCAACAGTCTCTCTAGATTCCAGTCAAGTATAATTTATTGGGTAGTGAGTCATACACTAAGAGACTTGTTCAAGCGGACTAAGTATTCAAAGCCCTATTCGAGGTCGAAGTTGACAATCACGCTTGCCGCCCCCCGTTGCTCGGTTATCCCTTGAGTAGGGTCATAATTCCTTATCTTAAAGTGGGGATCTCTCCTCTTGATCCCTTGGGCCAATCGAACCACGGTGTACCATTGGTTAACTATACAATTGTAAGCAACCAATGAGCTTCAGGTTCTCTCTAAGGGTCTCATTCTGAAAGTATCACTTAAGGATTTTACTAGGGATGTGCTCTTTGTTATCCATGGGATCCCAACAATATGTATTTACTTCTGCGACTGTAGAGATAGACTAGTTATGTCGCATTAGAATTTCTCCTAGACGTTCATAATACTGTTCTTACCTTTTTGTACAATGTTGTATTTATCATTTCCACGGCGAAGGGGTAGACTGTGTCATTGTGTCGAGTCATCCTAAATGCTTGCGATGTCACTCTTGTCCTTTTAGACAAAGCTTTTATTATCCTTTCGGTGACAAGGAAGCAGATTGTGTCATTGCGCCAAGGGAACCTCAATACGGCCAGTGGTGCTCTTGTCCCTTTGGACAAGGATCGAGGAGGGGTATGTGCTTGGCATATCGGTTGCCCCTTGAACCATGTGATTTTGCTCGTCTTATAAACAAGGATCCTATACTTCATAGATGAATATCTACTTTATGTTATGCTACATTATGAGTCTTGTGGTGAATGGCAGACTCTTGTCTTTCTGCTCCACTTTTTGTATCTGTGACATTACTCTTGTCTCGAAGGCAGGATCATAGCAACTCGATGAATGACGTAATTAATCTTGCCATACTAGCTTGCCACATATTCTTCGAAATGTTGTGTGTTTGTTGGTGAAAGGTACAAGGGTCTAGATTTTATGAACTACTACATGGCGTAAGTTTGTCCTGGTTAAGTGAATACCCTATCTATTATACTCTATAAACCAAAAATTTACAAAATTGAACAAATTCAATAATGTAAGATTGTACCTTTTTACTCATTATGCTAAGTTGGAATTGATACTTGTGCGTAATTAATCACAACTCATTTTTTTTAATTGTTTTTACCACATTCACCATCAACTTGAAAGACATTGAAATCCATGACTTAAGGTCATCAAAGAATACTAACTAGAAGAAGAGGGTAGAAATGACGCGATATTCAATTTAAATTATGATGTCATTAAATTATATTAGATGACATAATATGAATCAATGATAATAATTTTATGATAATTAAGACAAATTTCACAAAAATAATGAAATTCTTAGTTTATCGAAAGTAGAAGAACAGAAAATATCGAGCTAAATATAACTCCAAATCGATCAATGAAACCCCGTGGACAAAAGTTTGGTAGGAAAAAGGATGCATTTGTTCGAAGGGGGACGTATATATGTCAAATCACTGGTCCCACAAAATCAGCGTCTGGTTGATTATCAACACAACTTGATAACAGCCTGTCTGTGATGCTTTCAGATTCTAGAAACCACGCAGATCTCAGACACAAATAATGACCGGACCACCTCGAGAAGGGTGGTGGTCAGAGAGATAGAGAGACCGAGACAGAGAGAACACAGAGGGACAGAGAAAGAGAGAGGCCCTGCCGGCTAGGGAAATAGGCCCCATGCCAGGCCTTTTTCATCGGCGTGCTTGAATTCCCAATGCGAGAGAGGCCGTTGAACGTCGCTCGTCAATTTAACATGCAGGCTTTATTATTAATGTTCGTGTGCAGAACGAAATGGGTGGGTGGATTTATCCGATGAGTAAATAACTTAAATTTGTATTTTAAATTAATAAAAATTATTAGGTCAATAAATCTCATTTAAAATAGTTGATGAGACCTATTCATCCGATAATACTCGTTTATTTAAATACAAATTTAGATTATAAATTTAGATTACACAATATTTCTCTATGAGAATGTGAATTATAATATTTGATATTTTAATTCAAGTTTATAGTATTGATGTTGTTTTTGAGGGAAAAAAATTACAATTCAATTTAAATCAAAATAGTCTTTATATTAAAAATTCCAACAAAATTTAAATTTTGACAATATTTGAGTTGTCATATAGAATTTTCGAATACCAACCCGAATTAGTGAAAGCGGACAATAGTTCCCGTTTAACTTGAGTTAATATTGAATTACTTAAATTTTAGAACGTGTTGTATAATTTGAGAATCAAATTCATCTTAAACTTGAATTTCTACTCCAGTTGCATAACATGCCAATCAAACTCAATTGTAATATGAATTGAATTCGAATTTTAACCTTAGTTGTATAATCGAGCTTAGAACTTTAAGCACGAGCAATACTTGGGATTAAAGGATTGGTTTTGAATTTGGATCGAGGGTGTTTATAACTTGGGGTTAAATCAAGTTCTAAATGAGAAATGTATTATTTGAAGTCAATTCGAAAGTTGAATCTAGTGAATTAATTTTGCCGGTACAATTTAATAAGGTCTTCTAATTTACAAGATTTTTTTGTCAGGGAATAATATGATTATAGAAGAATATAAATATGTTTCACTATTGAACTAGAGAGAATAATCAACGCAAGTCTAAATACTCTGTAACAGAAAAAAAAAAATTCATTACTAATTTATTGTCCTTTGCTCTTGGACATGATTGCTCTTAAAATCCTCCTTCTATGAAGTATTAATGGGTTGTCTCTCGTGGGGCCTCTTCTTTGTGTGGTCCATTCCTTGTTTGTCTTATGACCAGAAAGTTTAAAGATGATTTCTTCTATTATACTCAAAGAACATTTTAGTCCTCCATGAGAACACCATTCATGCACAAAGGACTCTAATCTTATAAAAGAAAATTAAAGATCGTAAATTAGAGCAGATTTATAACAAAAAATTATATACTAAATTGCCTATGTAGTCGAACAAAGATAATACCTTTTTTGACTTGGGTATTTACGTGAAACACGTGTGGATTAAAATGAATTAACATCGTCTTTGTTTATTTTTGTGATTAGTCATAATCACAACTTTAATCCTCCATTGGACGCCCATGGAGGATTAAAGGCAATAATTGGGCCCAGGCCGAACAGAAAAAAAGTGATGGATTTGATATCATCTTTATCCCCTCACAAAAAAATGTGGAGAACACATACAAGTAGGGCCAATGAGGCCCATCTCACCAACCAGAAAGATGGTATGATACAAGAGAATGTGGTGAGAACTTTGGGTTGATCATGCAGTGGGGTCTGAATTAATGAGCTTTCGATTGTGTTGGTCTCACTGGTTCTTATGCATCCATTTGTAATTCTACATGTTAAGATGCCGATGGAGTTATTTCTTTAACAAATCGTAAATCTGAATGTCTTAAAGTCAATTTTCATAAGTTACTCACCGACTTATCCAATACCTAAGGTTTGCATGCGGATCGAGAAACAATTTTGAGTAAGTCTTGAATAAACCCTTCAAAGGTTGATGCAAAGAGACAAATTTTTGTTCTTAGGTGTCCGAGCTCATTGATTGGGCTCGGACACTCTTGTCACAGAGTAAAGAAACCACAAAACAGGTGGGATCTAATCTCTTGTTGCCTCAGGTATTTACAGAGATAACTTGAAAGGCCTCAACATAAAGCAATCAGATGGGGTCTAGTATTCAGAAACATGCTACATAATGAGGTATGGTGGCTTGTGCAAACAATTTCTGAGACGTATAACAAGAACATGGTCTCTGTTGCATACAAATGCTGCGTGTGAGATTGGACCACTAACCCATAAGGCCATAAGCATTATAAGATCACTTCTTGCATGCTGCATCATGATATCATGTGTAATTTTTTTTTGCTATAAGTTGATCATGCTTATGTCGACTACTCCCTCAGATACTGATCACTATAACATAAGTGGGTTTAAAACATGTCACATAAGGAACAAATGTAAGGGATATGAGGAGTATTGAATCTGAGACTTCTTGATTATCAAAAGTCGGACTTAACCACTAAATCATCCCTAAAAATTATATTATGTGTAGTTAATATGACGAAAGTGAGATTGTGGGGCTTGAAGAGCTAAGCCTCAATTTGGGTTTAATTCTAGGACTATACCATTAAAGTTGAAATTCGTGATCAGTGCAAGTTAAATTTTGGTGTAGTTAAATCCTCATTTATTTTAGGGTATACAAGTCAAGCTTGAATTTGAGTTCAATTCAATTTAGTCCATATTCACCAATTTAGATTTTGTTAGTTACGTTCTGACACTTTAACTCGAATATTGTTTGAATTTAATTGAATTAGCATTTTTTTTGTCCAAGTTCAAGCTAACTACTAAAAATATTTGTCATATGTAGATACTTTAGGTTGGGTTCTGGGTTAATCCGTCCAAGTTGCATAGTGAATTATGATGTGATGTGTAAATATGATGATGAAAGTGAGATTGTGAGACTTGAACAGCGAAGCCTCTTTCAGTTCCAAACAAAACTTGCTTTTTAAAGCAAGCCTACGCAAAAGAAAAAGGGGTTCTTCGAAAATTGGTACACTTAATTAAATTTATTTGATAAAAAATAAATAAAAAAAAATATGAGTTAAAAAGACATAAATGTCCATTTAGGGTTATTTAATTTAAAATTTTTTACCTTTAATGCACCTTGATTTATGTGTGTTTATTAATACATATAAATACGTATTTAATGCACATTTGATTTGTGTGTATTTGTTAACAGAAATGCTAGACTGACTAAATTTTGAGATCAAATTTAAAACTCAAATGACATGACAGGTGATTATTTGGAGTTTTTAGTAGGACCCAAATGACATGACACCAATGAAAAAAGTCCAAGTCAACTGTCATGTCATTTGGGTTCTAAATTTGGTCCTAAAATTTGATAAATATAGCATTACTCATTTGTTAATACATGTATATATTATATATTTGTTGTTAAATCTCTTATTTAAATTTTAAATTATCTTAAATACACCTTGATTCATGTGTTTTTTTTTTTTGAAAAATGATTTTGTTTTCAAATTATATTTAATGCATCTTGATTCAAGCGTTTTTTTTTTGAAAAATAGTTTTATTTTCAAATTAATTTAATATTCAAATAATGTAATAGTATAACAATAACAATGTAATAATAACGGTATAACAAATACACTGTAACAAGGACAGTGTAACAAATATATTGTAACAAAAACAATATTCATTAGTTTTGTGTATATGGTAACAAATTCAAAACGAAAATGGACTATTTTAAATGAAATTATATGAAACTATATGTTTGACAAAATGTAATAGTACAATTTTTTGTGTAAATAGTTTGTTACACTATTATTATTATACTGTTACATTATTAGTGTTACACTTTTATTGTTACACTGTTACATTTTATATTGTTACAGTGTTATTGTTACACTATTATACTATTCAGATATTAAATTAATTTAAAAATAAAACCACTTTCTAAAAAAAAATACATGAATCAATGTGTATTAAAAGGTAATTCAAAATTTAAATAAGAGATTTAAATGCAAGTATATATATATATATATATATATATATATATATATATATTAAAGTTCTCCCATAAAACTAGAAGATGTTTAATACACCATTTTCTAAAGAAAAATGGTGCATTAAATACACATGGATTAATGGAGGGCAAAAATATCATAATAAAAATAGATAAATTCAAATTATGTACTTTGATACAAATAAGTATTAAAATTAAGTACTTAATAGCCTTACATATTTTTGTGTGTGTTTTTTATTAAATAAGTCTAATTTAGTGTACCCTTTACAATTTACCCGATAAAAAAGAAAAGAGCACAAAATTATCTGTACAAATGCTAAGTGCAGACCTTAAAGAGAAGGGGAGGCCTACCTTTGCAGTCTAAAATGGTAAAACTATTTTAATAAATTTATTTTAAAATTATGATAGAATGGTGAGAGAGAGAGTTGTGTATGAGAGGGAAAAGGTTGGTGATTGCCTCATTCGGGCTTGGGCTATTCACCAAGTTGGAATGTCTTGCAGACCACTCACTGTATTGGGCCTCAAGCATGCCGACATATTAAGGGTGAAATATCAGTCAGAATTCAATTGGGCCTGCAATAGGAGTAAACATCGGGTGTCAAGATTATATCACGTCAAAATTGTCGCGTATTATAATTGTTTAACGATCATTCAATAATAAATAATATTATTTATATTAAAAAATTTAACGACTTAATGATATAATTTCATTAGAACCATTAGATTAACATTAAATTTTAATATTTGATAAGGTCCACGTTAATCCAAAGGTCATAGTGAATTACGTAAATAAATCAGATCAATAAATTAGATTATTGAATGATTAGTTAAAATGGAATACTCCTTTAAATAACCGTCCCTCCATACAAAACACTAACCCCCACATTCAAAGCAACAGGGTTTACTTGTCTATTTGTTGACATACACATTACGTATTGTAATATAACTATCACACTTAATATTTACTCGTATAAGACATCGTTAAAATTCGTTAGTATTAGTATTCGACATGAATTAAAAAATGATTATCAAAATTATTTTAATTATTGATTAATCTTAATAAAAGAAATCAATTAAAATTAATTTATACAATTAAAAATTTACCTCTACATTTAAAACAAAGATGGTAGTTAGTAACCAAAAGCATTATCCCATACAAAATTCATTAATCTCAAAGTATAACTCACGTAATAGTAAAAACGAATTATAAACTTAAGCATCTCAAATTTTAATTTTGATAAATTTTTTAAAATTAAATCAAGAGAAATTTATATGTGACGATGGACACTCTAATTTCCACACTTACAGACCGATTAAAAAAAAATTGGATTAATCTCATTTTTCACCTTAAAAAGATTGTTCAAATTTTAATTTGTACCCTCAAATATCAAAAATTTTAATTTGTACCCTCAAAGATAGAAATTTGTATCAATGTGCATCTCTAAAGATAAAAAATCTCAATTTGTACCCTCAAAGATAAAAATTTATATCAATATGCATCTCCAAAGATAAAAAATCTCAATTTGTACCCTCAAAGATAGAAATTTGTATCAATATGTACTTAAAATTAAATTGATAAATTATATCTAAATCCCCTCATGTTTGTCACTTAATCATTTGAACTCCTTCACATTTAAAATATTCTCCTTACATCTCATAACGTTTGTGCATGTGTAACACATAACCACTTTTCGTTGATATCTGTTAATATAATCGTTAAAAAATATGATTTTATCCTAATACAAAATTATAATTTCATATTACCTTTTATTTTGTAGATTCGATATACTCTAAAGTTGAAAATCAAGTTTACCATTTGAATGTCTAATAAAATGTAAATATTTATATAAAAGGTAATATAAAAAATATTATATAAATATTTACATTTTATTAGACATTCAAATAATAAACTAAGTTTTAAACTTTAGAATATATTGAACCCATAAAATAAAGGATAATATGAAATTATAATTTTTTATTAGGATAAAATTATATTTTTTAACGATTATATTAATAGATATTAATGAAAATGAGTTATGTGTTATACGTGCACAAATGTCATAAAATGTAGGAGTAATATTCAAAATTTGAAGAGATCTAAATGATTAAGTAACAAGTATGAGGGGATCTAGGCTTAATTTATCAATTTAATTTTAGGTGCACATTGATACAAATTTCTATCTTTAAGGGTGTAAATTGAGATTTTTTATCTTTGAGGTGCACATTGATATAAATTTCTATCTTTGAGGGTGTAAATTGAGATTTTTAATCTTTGGGGGTGCATATTGATACAAATTTCTATCTTTAAGGGTATAAATTGAGATTTTTAATCTTTGAGGGTATAAATTAAAATTCAAACAATTTTTCGGGGTACAAAATGAGATTAACCCAAAAATTTTAACGTCCGCCATGATCTAATGCAACATGTCATGTCACCGAATCAGCCTAATCTCTCACTCACCCCATGACCTGATTCGCATGGTCAAGGTTCTGCTTAACTTGTATACATGGCGTCCTTTGTTCCACGCCACGAATCACACACCCCTTCACCCTCCTCTCTTCTTCTCTTTTCTTCTCCATGCAAGAAGGAACTGTTCTTCTTCACCAAATTCTTGAGAAAACCCCAGAAAGTTGGATACCCTCTCTCTCACTATCTCAAACCGCCTCTGTTTTTCCTATACTACCCAAAAGATCTTTTTTTTTTTCATTTGTATTTTAATCCCACAAGCAATCTATCACACCTAACCTCTTCAAACACAATTTTATCAGAAGGGTGTATATAGTTTCTGATTGAGAGAGAGAAAGAGAGGTGAAATGGTGGGGTCATGTAGGCAGGGTATGCCTTCATGGCTTAGTGCTGCTGCATCAAGGGTTGAATTTGAAGGAAACGTAGCCTATGTACCGGGGACTATGTCGAAAGAAAACAAAGAAGAAAAGTCTTCTCCCAAAACTCTATCAGATGTCAATTTGGGTTTTGGAGAGAGGGCCTTCTCTGCCGCCGGTGCTGCTGTTCTCTCTGCGATCCTCGTTAACCCTCTAGACGTTGCCAAGGTGGTTCATATTTCTTTCTTTTACTTTCATTTACAATTGCCCATTTACTCATTTTTCAAAATTTTGATGATTTTGGGTGGGGCACAGACAATTACAATCTTTTATGAGTTATGCCCATTTGTTGCTATGCTTGCTTGCTGTTGTTAAATTCGATTAGTTCTCAATTTTAGTGATACCATTTGCTACTTCTTCATTATTCCCTAAAACATGGTCTGCAATTGTGTTTTTATATTGTTATTCTGGGAAAACCTTCTGCTGTATTGATTTTTTTGTTAGAAAATTATTTTCTGCTTTTCCCCTTAACTTTGAATTTATTGAGTATAAAAATCGTTTCTTATGTGCATATGTGCACATGAAGTCTCGTTCTCTCTATCCAGCTCTCTTTCTTGCCGTGTTAGCTCCAATATATTCTGTTTGTTTGTGGTCATCAGATAATTGTTGGTGGATTTTCCATGATACCCATTTTTCCTGGTTTTTATGTGCTTCCAAACTTTTGAATCTGATTGAAGATATGGTTTGAGAATATCTCACTGAATTCAAGCCTGAAGTGTTTTAGCATTGGAGGTTTTCTTTTCCCTTATATTGTGGATATCATTAAGTGCTTCACATTGGTTTTTAATATGCTTAATTTATTGGCTTTTCCCTTATTGGTTGATTTTCCAGACTAGGTTACAAGCGCAGGCTGCTGGTGTTACTTATCATGATCTATGTCGTATGGAATGCTTTGAAACAAACACGGTAGGCCTGTACAGCAGTATTGGTTCTTGATTTTCAGTTGAATATAGCCATACTCCATAGTATTCTAAAAACCTCAGAATGCCACCGCTGAATCATTAATTTGTTGATTTCTGAGGAATGACTGAGATTTGGAGATGCTTAGTCATACAGACTCAAAAAAATAGAGCTCTTTGTTCTGTCTGAAAAAACTTCAATATTTATCCTTCTCAAAGAAACATTTACGCTAAATATTTTCCTTTGGTGACTTCCTTCCTCTTTTTATTTTACTTTTCCCTTCTTTCATGTATTGGGTCTTTGTCTCTACTTTTGCTAACATGTATTGAACTTATCATTTCAATTATGAGAAATTGTCATCTTTCTGATTTAATAGTTACCTATCATGTTGAACTCACATGCTGTTTTTGCGAGCTCAATGCTGAATGATTACAATGCCCTTTGCTGGGTTTAACAATAAATCTTGGATGTGATTTCTTTTCACAGATGCTTCCAGATATGAGATGTTCTCCATTGTGCACTCGTCCAGCTGCTGGTGCTGAACCTGTATGCTTGTCGGATAGTCTACGGTATAGAGGAACACTTGATGTCTTCTACAAAGTCATACGTGAGGTTGGTGTATATATGTACTTAGTAATGTGAACAATTACTCAGCTATATCCCAAATAAGGATGACAAAAATTGCAAGAAATATGTAGTGCACGAAGTACTTGCTCGAAGTACTTGCTGTGTCTTCATTCAGTTGGAGTCTTAAGGATTATGAAAGCGTATTGCCATGGACAAGTGGACTATGCCTGTAGCCGTAAGTGCATGACATCTACCAAGTTAATGTGATGTTTTCGTTTGGGGACATTCTTTCATTATTATGCTGATCTGCCTGTCATAATGAGGTCACTGAGTGTCCTCATTACATGTATTGCCACATTTATTTTATTTTGAGAGAAAAAGAGAAGAGTGATCAAACATTCTCAGTGTTTAACTACATTGGTATTGCACAGGAAGGAATTGCAAGATTGTGGAGAGGCACAAATGCAAGTTTGGCATTGGCCATACCTTCTGTAAGTCTTGTTCTTGGCAATTATCTGTCTCTCATGTATATAGTTTCTTTTAGCTCAAAGCCCATATGAGGTGCATACGAGATTTGGTTTGTGACCTTTTTTAACGAGATTCACTGATTTTCAACTAGGTGGGGATCTATTTGCCTTGTTATGACATTTTCCGCAATCATATTGAAGAATTCACATCAGAGAATGCTCCAAATATGACACCATATGTCCCCTTAGTTGCAGGTTCCTTGGCACGCTCAATAGCTTGTATCACTTGTTATCCCATTGAGCTTGCAAGAACTCGTATGCAGGTATTATGTTTTATACTGATATTTTAGTCTCGCATGCATTTTTGCTCATACATAGAGTGAATAAATGCAGCACTCAAGCTTTCATGGCATTTTAAACTATAAGATCCATAGCCATATATAAGTAATATAGCCTTTTCCACGGGATTTTCTTTTTGCATTGCCATTGAATTTACGCAACATGCTTACACCTGAACGTTGTTGCTGGAAAATCAGTTCTGCTAAAATTTGCTTTTGGCTTCAATATTTTATACAGGCATTTAAAGAAATTCGAACTGATATGAAGCCTCCAGGTGTGTGGAAGACATTGGCTGCGATCATCTCCCCTGTCAGGAGCACGAACAACCTCCAAAACTGTGAGTTTACTCATGGGTTTATTATTTAGGCTTACATATGGATGTGCGTGGCCTAACTTACTGCATATGCTTATTCGAACATGCATATAACTTGATATGATGGCCTGTGCCTCTTCTCTTTTCCTGAAGCTGAGTGATTGATCCAATGCATCTCTGAAGAAAATTGTTTTGGTTTTTTTGGGGCATTATAATATTCTTCCCAAGATCTACTGTTTGATAGACCGTATATTTTTAAGTACAAAGCTAGTTTTATAGCTTACATTAGATGCCATTTGGATCACGAAAAAGAAATTTACACTAGCAAGAAGTTTCCTGTGAGAGGAATATGATGAAGTCCTTTATCTCATGACTGACTTATAACAACATATATTTTGTCTAGCAGCCCAGATCACCATCCACGCATGTTGGATATTGGAGAGGCTTTCCTTTTTGGTTCCGAATATTGTACATGTATAGTGAAATTTTGATTTCTGCTTTTTAAATATATTTTCTTTCATTAGATTTTCAATTGGTTAGAATTATTTTAAGTGTATAGGTCCTACTCCTTTATTTGATGGTTTTTCAACCTTAAAACTTACAAGTATCAACACACTTCTTCACAGAGTTATCTGTTTTTGACGTTTTCTTATAAGTTTTCTGACACTTACATGAAAATTTGATTGTTTGCTTTTATTTGTTTCCATTTTCCCATGTCCCACATTTTTTTTATCATGGTTATTGACTTTATTTTGTTAACATCCAGCCACTCAACTAATAAACTGCATATTAACTTTCAGCAATACAGAGCTACCGCATCTTGTGGACTGGCCTTGGAGCACAACTTGCTCGTGATGTTCCTTTCTCTGCAATTTGTTGGTCAACGCTTGAGCCAGTAAGTGCATTTTGCGCAGCAGTTCTGGAACAGGCTCGGGTTTCTTCTTATTTCTTACTGATACATAATTATACAATGTGATGGGAGTTTCTTTTGCTCCTTTTGTGCAGGTCAGAAGAAAAATCTTTGGTCTGGTGGGTAATGAAGCAAGTGTAACCAGTATCCTGGGGGCAAACTTCTCCGCTGGTTTTGTTGCAGGAAGCCTTGCAGCTGCTGCTACATGTCCTCTAGATGTTGCAAGGACCTGGCGGCAGATAGAGGTTATTTCTCAGCATATCTCATCTGTATTATTTGAAGTTATCACTATGGACTATCTGCTAAGGAACGGTGCAAATATTAACATGGTGATGGGAGTAGAAAGATTCATATGTTACTAAATTATTATGAGATTCAATCCAATAATGATACAATAATAAATAACAGGAAGTAGGATGAAATGGTAAGGAGATGTGATGATATACCCACTCCAACTAAGAATATTAAGGTGGGATTTAAGAGCTCCAATGGTTGGCTGTCTCATTGTTCATCTTCATGCCTTTGCCCTTTTAATCTAAACAACCTCAGATCATTGATATTCTATGCCACATGTAGGGGACTTACCCGTGGAAAAAGTAGTTTTTGGCTTATTGTCATAATATTAAACTTTCCTTTGACCCCACCTATTCCATTCGAGTGATGCAGTCTGAGTCATGGTTTGCTGCTTATCGATCAGATATCTCATATGTAAACTCCTTGGACCTGAAAACATAGCATAAGGGACTGGGTTTGCATTTCTGGTCACCTTGTCCTCCATATTGCAAAATTATTTAAAGAGCATGAATATACGCTTCCTTGAATGTTGTATTATGCGTGCAAATGTTATTCCATTCTCCTATGTGTGATATTCTGTTGGATATGAATTGCACCCGTTAATGGTTGGTCACTAAACATCTTGTGGTTATTTATATGGTGTAGAAGGATCCCGCCCGAGCATTGAATATGACCACAAAACGAACATTAGTGGACATCTGGCGGTACGTATTACTATTGTCCATCTTTTCTGCTGTGTCATCAGTTCAATTTGGTTAATCATTGTTGTAATATGTTTGAAGTATATGTTGGGTGTTTTCTTCCATATAAATTAAGTGATTGCATAGATACCAAAACCTACTGGACAAGCAACCCATCACATTTAGAAATTGCTGTACTAGGATCTATCCACTAGATGTGGACCACATAGAGCACCAGGTTTATTTTTGGTGCCAGTTTCTGTGGTCAGAGCGCTTACAGCTCTCCGCGTAATGGAATAGTGCCTCATGAGTCAACCTTCAGGTACACAAATTTGGGATGAAGAAATACTTTGTACTCAATTTCCTGACTGCAGAGGTATCTTCCTTTGAATGTATCAATGGAAAGAACTAGCATCCTGTGATGATGCTCACGAAGTTGTTCAATACTATCGTAGCATGTGTGTAGTTTACTGTTGAAAAACCATAATGTATAGAAAGGATCTGTAATTGATCGTTTCCTTGCCAAATTTGGGATTGAGCCTTTCTGGTCACTGTTTGGGTGGTTGTTTTATTGTTGTCGGTGTACCACTCTGCCACTCCATTGTTCTTGCTTTAGGTGTAATACATTTGTTGATCCTTACCCTTTTACCATGTTGCCTTTCTTCTGTTAGTCGTTGTTACTTTCATTCTGAAAGTCAAGAAACCTGTTGAATGAACTTTACCAGTATTGCCACCAGTAATCTTAGAGGTGTTATTCAATTTCTATCACGAAGTGCATTATTTTGTTGGTGGGTCATCCCTCGTTTTGTGCGGATAAGTTTTCTGATTGACGGACTAGGGGTTGTAAATCTGCCATAGAGGATAATCATTGTGTCCTATTGTTAAGAACGATGACATTACAAAGTGAAATGGAACTCGCATCAGGAAAGGAGTTTAAATTTGCCAATATGATAATGGAGTCATTACCAGAACTGCAAGTTAAAAATAGGCAGGCATATGTCACTCGGCACTCAAAAGGGTAAAAACTCATTCTAAATACCTTACGAATAAATCAAAGTTGTTGTCGAAGAATATTCATGTGTTGTCTTCATGTGTCAGTCAGCAACCTTTTTATACTGTATAAAAAAGCTTCAATTGAATGGCTTAAATTACTGGGTGGCTCATTTAGAATTTTTTGCTTCTATTAGCCGAGAGTGCGTGTGAGTGATAAAGAGAACCATTTTTTAGCCTTTACCAAGTATTTTCTGTGAAACAGGGATGGAGGCATAAAAGGTCTGTTTACAGGAGTCGGTCCCCGGGTTGCTCGTGCTGGCCCTTCAGTTGGAATTGTCGTTTCCTTCTACGAAGTTGTCAAATACACATTGCATCAGAGGAATCTAAGCCAGTGATTGAGTAAGCAAAACGCCAGTATTCCAGCTCAAATTGCATCTTTGTTCCCTGCAGTCTTTGGGCAATAACTTTGAACAAGGTTTTTACAAGGGTTCATTGTTTCAAAGGCATCCCAATTACTTTGTTCATTTAGTTCATAGTTTTGGGCCGTGGACAAGAAGATTTGTCCGAGCTAAATGAAATTGGAGCATTTAATCTTCTACAAAAGCAGTTCTTGGCACATTGCCTCTAATCTTTTGTTTGAGGTGTAATAACACAAAGAAGCTTCTGCATATTGTGTAAGCTACGGTGGACGAAATTAAATAGCAATCGAGTTTTTTAACTTGTTTCAACGTACCGACATGAAGTGTGTCCATGTAAATGATCAAGGCCTCGCAAAGACATTGCTCCTTCTCTTTCGGAACTAAAAGACAATTGCTGAGTGAACTGTATTTTTTATGTGTTAATTGACCTAAGGTGTACCTTTACTGTTGCTGAGATGGGGCTTGGCCTCTGAAACGTTGCACGAGTTTCTGTCTCATACAGCTCGGACCGAAGACCGATAAAGTTTACGAGAGATATGGAGACACAGTAGCTGGTCGGGGTGGAGATAAGCTTCAATTTAGGAAAGGAATGCTTGAAAATCATTTCTTCTGTTTTTTTTAATTTACTTATCGCAATACAAAGTTTTATCCAATTACATTGATCGAAATGTACTATGAACTGCCCCTCTACTCCACTAATTAGTTAGTACTCATTTTGATTTTTTTTTAAAAAAACTAGTTATATGATATATCACTCTACAATTTACTATAATTCTGACCCAATATACCAAATGATGAAATAGGAAAATGCAAAAAAAATTAGATAGGTTAGCGATTAGTTGAATTATGATAATTATTACTTTTCAGAAACTAAAAAATGAAGCAATGGAATTAACAATCTCATCGACCAATGTATTTTCAAGTCTATATAAAACTTTATAAATATATTTTTTTCAAAACATATAAAGCCTAATAGAAAATTTTAAAATATAACAATATTTTCTCAAATTTATGTAAAATATTATAGAAAGTTCTAAAATATAACAAATTATTCTAAAAAAACCTAGAAGTAAGGACTTCTAGTTTTAAAGTTAGTAATTTATCTCAATTTTTTTTTTTCATTCTCTTTTTTGCCACCCTCACTGTCTCTCTTCAAGTCTTTATCTCACTCATACTCTCATTATCTTGTTCGGGCTCTTTGTCCTTATTTTTAATATTCTTGCTATTTCTTTAAAATTCTAATCAATTTATTAATCTGTAAGATCTTAATTTTATAATTACACTCAATTTATTATCTGATCTTATCCAATCCCTAAACCACTAAAATGTTGGAACAATATCATATCACAACTCTATGTAAAATGTCTAATAATCGTATTTTTTTTTTATTATCTTCCTAAAACATTGATCGAAATCTCATATAAAATTTTTGTTTTATGCCCCAATTTGTAATTGGGCAACACTTGACAAATAGGACAAACTATAACAAAGATCAATTAAAGATATATAAAAATCATAAGAAAAATTAGACGCACAAAGAAGTAAATACTTATAACTTCCAAATTAGCAATTTCTCTCAAATTTTTTAACTCTCTTTTTTTCCACTTACACTGCCTCTCCTCGAGTATTTATCACATTCACACTCTCATTATCTTTTACTCTCTCTTTAAAATTCAAATTAATTTATAAGATGTCGACTTTACAATTGCACTTATCTAATCCTGTCCGATCCCTAAAACCACTAAAACGTTAGAAGTAAATCATATCACAACTCAAAGTAAAATGTCTAATAATCATAATTTTATTTTTTTTATTATCTTCCTAAAATATTGATCAAAATCTTATATAAAATTCCCGTTTTAAGCCCCAATTTATAATTGGGCAACCCTAGACAAATAGGGCAGACTATAATTAAGATCAATAAGAGATATATAAAAATCATAATAAAAACTAGGCGAATTACATGATGTTTAGGTTGTCCGAAATAAGAGCAAAAATCAGCACAACCCTTGACATTCTCAATTCACAAATCTGTCTCGGTGGCGAAAAATCTTTACCCACACAGAGAGTAGAAGAGGGTAGAAAAGGAACGTCTTCAATTGTGTAAATTCTTGAATGTTTATATACAGCTTCCCGAGAGTCGATAAAAAAAAAGTATACGTTATTAGTGGGTGTGGATCCACTAGTACTATACATTACCGCCTCCTCTTTTCCCGATTCCCACTAGTTTATCCACCGTAACCGACCGATCGACTAACAATATTCAGATCAAATATTACTTGAGAAAAATTTGAAATAACACTATTCAAACAATAAAGGTTTAAAACCTATACGTAATTGGAGGGTCCCACTATAACTATACGTTATTGCATGATGGCTGAAAATCAATCATCACCATCAGCCACAGCGACCACACATGAAACCTCCCCCTAAATCTAATAAACACACCACATGCATAAACATCAACATTAAAATTAGTGCTATAAATATACGAAAACATTTGATACTCTTGTCTGCCTAACTAACTAAGCATGGGACGATATAACATGGAAGGCTATGTGCAGATATGTCGCCTATGTGTAGACAATAATAAGCACCAGATTAAAGGACCTGTGTGATGAGTAAATTTCAAAATAAGTCAGCTTGGTGACTGCTAGTCACATGGAAATCCTGTTCCACCTCTACGACAAATCACATCACATCACATCAACATCCAACCAGTAAAGCATATTCCTGGAACGCAGGTGCATAATATAAGCTCAATTTAAATTAACTGAGAAAGGAACAATAAATTTCAGCTGAAATACCAGTATATGCTTGAAACATACTTGGTTACTTCATACTGTTAACTTTGGATCCACTGTTCCTGAAGCACTTCCTTCCCCTGTTAGAACGTGGTCCGGATCCTGGATAAAAATTTGAGTTTATTATACGGATGAATAGGAATTTTAGACCAAAGAAATCAGACTAGTAGACCATGTACCTCCATTCCCCATTTGATGTAATCTGGGGACTCACATGCCTTATATTCATCAACTAAACTTTCAATTATGTCTCTAGATTCATCAAATTCTGAAAGATCATTGTCCTGCAAGTTTCATATTAGATAGAAATGAGACCAGTGCAAAGCATTCTATGAAGCACGTCAGCCTGAAGATATGATGCATTTATCAAGGTCATAAATAGAATTGAACCAAGTAATATTGCAAAGGCATAATGATAGTATGGTCAGGGTATCCCAGCCCTCCGAACTGGACGTTAAAGTCTCCCCTCATCCGGCTCTCTGCGGGGGAATCTTCACTCACTGCTTCCCTAAATATCCTCCCTTTACCACGTCATCAGGGTTTACAGGAGATCCCAGAGGGTCACTCGAAAAGTTTGCTATAGCATACCTTTTGACTTTACTCTTGTAGTCATTAGACTCACTATAGTAGTCCGTCCGGCTGCTCTTGCTGAAATCATTACTCTTTATTCTCCCGTGCTCTAGCAATTACTCCGAAGAATGAAGAGTAATGATTTCAGCAATTCTATAATGACCACTACCATATAGTTAAGTAGGGACAATCAAACCATAGTTACGGGAATTTAGGAACGAATGGGGATCCCTATCAATATCCAAATGAAAAATATAGAATTAGAGTTTGATCCCTTTCTCTCACTCAATAGATCTATCTAGTCTAATACGGTACAGTGTGGTGCCCATTAATGAGTGACGGGAAGGATAGACAGGGTACCCACCTAACCTCACACATTATTTGAACAAAGTGATTTAAACTGTGTTCAACACTAGTGTGGCCTAAGGTCTATACATATAAGATCCTACAAAAATTATCTTCAATCATAATCAATGACATCAAAGATTTGCATTATTGTTAGGAGTAGTTGCTAAGTATCATACGAGACTGGCTCTTATACTGAGCTGAAATTGAAAGTTTGAAAAACGAAATAGATGTAGAAAATTAGATCAGGATGAAGCCACGAAATTTTGAGAGGGTGCAATACAGGGACCGATCATTGTAATTGGACGCAACATAAAACCTACTGCAGTCAATTTAACAGGCGGTAGGTAGTGATCAGACCGTTTAGAAACAAATTCAAAACTAAGGGGACAAGGGTATTATTAATCAACTTCTGAAGTTGAGCAACCAAAGTGAGATTGAGCTGATATTTTAGTGCCCAATAATGTGTTTTTAACATTTTTTTCTTCCAATGACAAGAACACAAACAAAAAGATTGTTCCTTTTATATTCACATAAAATTATTCAATCCTGTTAGACTCAAGTATGCATTGATAAGAAAATGAATCAATTAAAAAGGAATATCTGAGCGCCAATTTTTGAAGTTCAATATTCACCTTATCTAACTTTTGTGTGATTCATATATAGCATGGCAATTTTCGTCCTGATATGGATTTTTACAATTTTTATATAAATTTAGGCATCAAAAGAATGTAAGGAAGCAAAGAAATGAGAAATCAATACATCTAACATAAAAGGTGTAACAAAGAGGCATTGATATATCACATCACTCTGTTATGGATAAAGCTTAACAACACATTAAGCTATGCACATAGAAATCACAAAGCTAATCATCAATCAGAGTATTGATTCTCTAAAAATCCAACAAATAGGACCTGAAACAAAACTAATAAAGCAATGAGATTGGCAGCTTACAGCAAACATTGGGTGATTCCTGTAATTATCAAGAAAAGCTTGCCTCTTTCTCAGCTTCTCATACTGGCTCAAACACTTGCTGAATAGGTGGCGGATACCAGTATGACTTGCTAGCATAAGACCGCTCACCTAACAAATTTAAAAAGCTCAAAATTTGTGTTCAATCCTTTCCAACAATCCTTGAAATAGTCAAAGCATTAAAGTACAAGGAAACCGTAACATCAAATATGTTTTCTTATTTTATATTATTAGTAGTGTAGGGTAATAATGTAATTGCTCAGAATATCAGTTTATTACTTCCTAATCCCCTTTTTTCTCTTTTCTACCAAACCTTTTTTAATTCCTAAGCCCTAGAACTTCATAAATTAACTAAATACAATTATATTAAATTAAAACCAGATTAAATGAAATTCACAATTTAGAGCTGAAATCAAGCCAATCTGAGACAAGTTTTATTGTGCAGCCTCAGGTTGACTGATCTTATAGGTCTATTCAGCTCGACCCGAGCTTGACTTAGTTTCATTTTGAGAAGCTCAACCCGGTTCAGCAAGTTCAACGTCTGTTTATTGTCGTGTTACAGATGTCATATCAAAGAATCAAGTAGGAACACAAATATACAACGTATATCTATGCTTAGTCTACCATGTCCAAAACCCCGTGCCAGAAGAAACAACACTAGATAAGGCCCAACTGAGGACAATGTTAGCGGTGGATGCAACGAAAAGTGCAAAAAGATTAGCTTTTAATAGGCCAATCTAGCTACGTAAATTGAGCATAATGCTGCTCAAGTTCAGCTCAATTCATTAGAAGGCCTAAGGTTCATACTGAGTTGGCACATTCAGTCTGATGAGTGAGCTCAAACAAGTTCTTAAATGAGCCAGTCTTAAGCTGCTTTGGGTCATCACAACTCATTCAACAGCCCCAGACAGAAAAAGATCAAACAATGGAACTGTTGAAATAAAATCTCACCCTATGGGCAGTTTGAACATAAGGAGACTTCCTAGAAAGAGCAACCTGCCGAAGGAAAAAAGGGTAAACAATAGTGTAAAGTTCAGAATAATGGACATAATGACTCAACTGAACGTAACAACAATGGGTTATGAGACATACCTGAATGCTTGCAGGGCCCCATTCAATAAAATTAACAAGCTTTCTTTCACGTATTCTTTGCAAACTTTCATGAACCTAATTTTGTAAACACCAGAAATATTAGGATGCAGCTCGATGGAACCTTCCCTCAAACCATTGCATCATGATAAAAACCATAAAATCAGCTTAATATATGCATCCTCATGAACAGTACCTATTATCAAGATATTTGATGTAGAACATAACAGCAAAGCAATAGACTATGTTATGGGATAGGGACATACCTATGATTCTATAGGAAACATGATATTAAGTGAAAGTTGAAACTATGCTATAAACAAGGTTGAGTGGCCATCTGATGTGGTTCAGCAATTACTTTGTTAGATAGCAATTATTGACACATGCAAAATTATTATCGCTAGAAAACCCCAACCCATGGTTAGGAATATTCACAGACATTAAAAGATTTAAAATAAGGAATGTTTAAGACAACTTTCGGAGTATTCTAGAATGCTTAACTCTTTCTAGAAAATGTGACAAAAAACAGAGGGTTGAGTCTTTCTGTAATGAGCCCCTCTTTCTAGCAGGTCATCCAAGGAGGGTAACGGTTCAATCAGCAAATAATGACTAGACAAAGCAAAGTTGACACCGAAAAACGATGAAGTAGAAACCATTCAGCTGAGGACATTAAAGCTAAGATCAAACCCATTAACACCCCCTAATGTCACAAGAGAACAGAAGACTATACAAATTTTACCGACAAGAAAATAAGCAATGGGCACAGGTAAAAAAACTGAATGGGATTCATGCATTCTGCAGACTTTACTCGTGGAACTGGTACCATGCTCAAACAGGTGGTAAATACCAAGTTCCGTCAATTAGAAAAAGAACACCCTCACCCAACCAGATGCATTCCACCAGTTTTTTCATAGTTATTTCTGTTATAGTCAATTTGTTTTACAACTGAAGTTAGATAAATTTTAACAAAAGAGGTTTCCATCAAATTGAGTTTAGCCGTGTATTGTAATTACCTGAGTAGGATCCACCTCTCCTTGAATGATGTTTAATATCGATATGTATTTCGCCTGACTAGCTTCTTTGGTCCGAGCACAAGAGGAAACCATAATATTTTTTGTCTGCAAAAAACACCACTGTCAGTTTATTGAAATGCACGCTTGGCAAGAAAATTTACAGGCGACATTTCTCTTGCCTGAAGAAGTCTCCTCATCACATCTAGTACAGTTGTTTTACGAATCACACTGGCCTGTAAAAAAGATTTATCTGCATCAGACTGCAGCTTTAGTTGTTTGATGGAATCATCAAACAAGATTATGAGACGCTAAAAGGCCCAAAACCATGAATATCTTACAGAAAAGGAAACAAGCTTCCTACTCTAGGGGCCAGTAAGAACACATCTATTGTTCTTTATTATCATAGTGTGACTTGTTTTTTGATAAGCTCTTGTTATACCAATGTCATGTATTCGATAGGAAAGAGATAAAAGCTGAATTTGTATTTTATTAGCAAGGGATCAACTGCTTCTGCAATCTAGTACTTGATCCTACTAAGGTCCATTTCACACCTAAGCCCGTGTTATTGCAGCAGTGATATAACTAAAACAGAAATAGGTATTAAATCTCTTACCTATCATACAAGTAATCCTCATTTGGACCACTTGATCAACAAAATAGGTACATGCTCTTAATCAAAACAAAAAGGGAAGACTATATTCACTCTTCAGCAAGAGGGAACAAAAAAGAAAAGAGGAGAGGAAATAATAGCCACATCAAATGCAATCTGACAGCTGACTATCAAGTTCAAACAAGTTTCCAGCACACAATTTTTACAGGAACAAGTAACTACCGATTTGTTATATGGTTTTTTCTTCTGAAGGAATAAACTAAACAGAGTGACTTAATCTTACATGGCGCTCCACTGTGAGTGGTGTATAACCCGTCATCAAAAAGTGACATCTTGGTGTTGGGATCAAAGAAGCAAGAAGTCCAACCAAGTCATTGTTCATGTATCCTGGATAACGCAGTGTTGTTGTACTTGCGGACATTACAGTAGAAACTAAAGAATTTGTTTGGGTAAAAGAAGGATTTGTAATATGTAGACGCTCCACGGCAATTCTATTAAGCGAAGTATTATCAAGAACAACTACACAATCAGCATTCAGTGTCAGTCGCTTAAGTGTTAAAAGGGAGTTGTAAGGCTGAACCACCACATCACTTGTCTCATTCTGATTAGGAAATACACTATATGTCTGAACAAGTTTTTTGCTGTAGCGATCATTCAAAGTCTCCAACAGATATGAACCCATACCTACATCAAAACAAGAAATTATAGGTACAACTAAAGATCCCAGCAGTGAAACCACTCGGAAAATTATCTGTAAGTGCATAAGGCGATCATTAAAGAACAGAGGATTAGTTAGGGCTTAGGTAGGAAGGAAATCCTTTGCAATTACGAATTTCTACGAGGACTGTCAAAGTTGAAAACTTGAACTTGCATAACTAAATATTCTTAATCGTTATTAGTAAGCTGAGTTTTTTCCACAACCTCACATAGAAAGAAGGGGAGGGGTGATGTACATATAAAACCATGTTAGTTCATTTTAAAAATTCCCATTTCTAAGCTAATGGTGCCATGATGGACTATATCAAAACGAGTTTTTTTGTTTTGGTGAAACTTATGTTTCACCAATGCTGTGAATCTAAAGAAATTTTAAATCTGGCATACTTCTGATAACATTAAAAGAAATAAACAACTAAAAGGAGTCGAAACCTGAGCCTGTTCCCCCAGCAATTGAATGGCATAAAACAAAACCCTCAAGACTATCACTTCCATCTGCTTCTCTATCAATCATGTCCATTAAATCCTCCTCATACTGCTTACCCTGTTCAACAATAATGATTGTGTCAAAAGTATGGCATATATTGAAGTAATGTGACATCCAAAACACAAAAGACATCATTCGAAAAGGTTATCAAACCACAACTAATACTGGCATATCCATTGGTGTATAAACAAGAAGATCCTACCATATATGAACTAGATAAAAGCCTAGAGGATAGAGAGGGGAAAAAAAGCAGATCTTACCAAGATCCTTTCCCAAAGAGTTATAAAAACTCGAAAAACTTTGAACTGCTGACCAGGTGCAAACATCTTAAATTGTGGGAAGCGAGCCAATTCTACAACCACATTCGATGCTCTCTTTCAGCACACCAAACAAAACATGGAAGGCCCACTCACCAAATCATGCTAATACCACTCCAAAGCCACAAAGAACTAACACTGAGCTATAAAAGGTCAATCATGGCACAACATTGAAGAGCAAGAGTTGATGCTACCCATCCTTAGCAACTATATATTCCACAGATTCTATGTCCTTACACATATTGCAATCTTAAAAACAAATCACTTCTAACTGATAAGGTGGTAATATTCTTCCTAATTGTTCATAAACTGTAGTTTCACTCAACAGCCAAATCATTTCGGTTACCCGAATGAAGTGAATAAGAAATATAATTTTAAGCCACAGGTTTTCCAACTCACCAACAATTATAGACATGCACAACCCACTAAGCATAAAGCTTCAAGAATATGAAATTTTATACCCAAAATGCCATATCAGTGAATATGTCAGACAGTGTTTCCACTTGAAAGACCAAGTACTGACCTGATGATATCCACTAGCCCAATTATTTCCAGCACCCCCTCCATGATTGGCAATGAATACATTCTCGGGATTGTAGAGGTTTTGATATTCACTGTTTTGAATACCATTAATGACCCTAGGCTCCAAATCCATCAGTAATGCTCGTGGCACATAATGCTGATCATCAGCTTGATAGAAAAACACATCTTTCCTGTCACCTCCCTGCCAAATTTTCAAATTCAATATACACAAATGTCCAGAAAAAACAAAGAAGAGAACTCCTTGTCAATTTTATCAACTCTAACATGCAAATACACGTTGAACATGTCCATCATTAGAACCCTTAAGATCCCTTTGGATTGTACCGTGCTTGTGTACATACACATAATTGTATAGACAAGCACTTAATGGATTCAAACTAAAGGACCAAACACACTAGGCGACATTGGGTAAAACACATTTGTAATAGTACACAGACTCCGGTCCTTCTTTCAGACGTCAACATAAAAATTTTAGCAAATAAAGAAATTATTATGGCACATTTGCTCTGAAATTATTCTTCAGTGCTTAATTAATATACTCTTAACAGCAAACAAACATTGTTATGGCAGATTTTCCGAACTTCACATTGTCATTGTTAATTTATCATTCCAGAATTAAGTAGCATTTTAAATTAAATAAAATGTCAGAACAATAACCAATAACACAACACTTCAGTACGAAGATAATGCAGGAAAATAAAGCAATTAACGTTTTCAGGATAAAAAAAGAAGTTAAACAAAATTTCAACTGAGACTCATTTCACAATTCGACTTCGTAGCATAGTCTTTTTAATTTCCCTCGGGAAAAAAAATTGAAGAAGCATAAACCCTATTACTTAAAAGTTTTTTCCATCCATTTTCATTATGTTTTCTCGGAAATCATACAGAAAACAGTACGCACGTAGAACCAAAGTACGAAGACACGACAGTAGAGTGAGGTGAGTGAACCTGAGTGGCAAAGTCTTCGAGAATGCCTTCCTTGCTAATCCCGTGTTCGAGGCAGAGTTGCTTCCAGAACTCCATTCCGATTTGGTTCCCGCATTGTCCCACTTGCAATGTGATGATTTCCCTCGGCATTTTCTTTTACTTTCCCTGCGTTTTCCTCGGGATAATTAGGGTTTCGATCTGACAGAATTTGTGATTTCCGTTCCACTTTCTCTGTTGAGTCTGGCTCTCTCTCTCTCTCTCCCTCTCTCTCTCTCTCACTCCCTTCCTCCGGGTTTTTCAGTGTCCTGTGATGAAATGGCGGGGTCTGCGCCTGCCGTCTTGATTATATTACACGGGTAATGCTAGCGTACGCTTTATCAGCGGAAAGGATGGGCCTCATTTTTTTTGTTTGTTGGGCCTTGTGGGATCTTGGGCCTTCATACGTTCGTCTTCAAATGAGCCCAGTTTCAGAATATTTTAGTTTTACTGAAAAAAAAAAAGGCATAATTTAGGCTACTCAACAGTACACCTGTCAATTATATCGGATGATGTGAGTTTGGATTAAAAAATATTTCATCCATATTCGATTTATTTATTAATTTATGTCTAACGACTTGTGTCATATCGAGTTCATATCGTATATGAATCGTGTATAACTGATATATAAACAAGTTTTATCATGCATTTTTTTTATTGACTTCACTCATATCCAATTCATTTATTAATCGTGTTATGTTGGATCAATTCGTTTGCAAAACAGGTTGCTTAAGAAAGACCCTAACCCTTTAAATCCGTGTGTGTGCTCTTGTTGTATTAACAAATCGTGTCATATTTTCACACTTCTACCAAACACTCGATGATTATTTAAAAGGTTGGACAAAGAATTGAGATTGCCCTCGACTTCTTTCACTAATGTCGGTATTTGAGTTTAAGGAATTGTCAACTTATCCTAGGGTATATTTGGATCATGGGTTAAAGATGAATAACTATGATAGTATAGAATAAAAAAAATGTGGTGCTCATATATCTCATGTTTGGTAAGTAAAAAAAATACATAAAAAATTCTATTCAGATTTTATCTCGACCTGATTTAAAAAGTCAATTTTAATCTACCTTCATGAGTTAAATGATACCAAGGGAGAGTTGGGATATTATTTTTTTTTATTGCTAGACAAGATATATAATATAATTTACAAATATGCGCACCCATAGGTTAGAAGATCTCCTTGCTTAATTTTTTCAACATTTTATGTTGTTCACTTGAATGGTTGATGAGGTGTTTTTTTTATGGTTATAATATATTTAACAATATTTATTTTATATTTGAATGAATTGTTAAAAAAAGTAGATGTGAAAGTGTTTTTTTTTAAAATTTAGAATGGACTAATTTATAATCTAAATATGGTGGTGGATAGGATAGGAAATGAGTATAATAGTCAATGAAAGCAAATTACATTACTCTTATTCATGAAACCCATAAAAAAAGTTTAATCTATCTAAACAGGGAAAAAGACTGGATATACCAATTTATATCATATCCATATGATAGCTAGGTTGGTTTGGAATGGATCTGAAATGATATATTTTTTGATATCCAATTCACTCAAATCCTATCATCCAAACATACCCTTAAGATGTTTCAGTAGTTGAGTCTAGCCTCTAATAACTTAGAGACCTTAGATTTAATTTCTTCTCACACCCCATAAGGGCTAGCTACTTTGTCCCAAGAGACATACTCTAACCCAATTTAAACTACAGTGGCTAGTTATTGAGCTCAAAAGAATAGTCAGCACAAATCTATACATCCTATAGTTGAAAAAAAATAAAAATTGTCAACTTGAATCATTTCCTTAAGCAACATTACAAGATACACCAAAAAAATTACATGGCCCCAACTATCAAACTAAAAATATCTCCAATTCATTTTTCTAAGTAACTAGTTGTGTCTCGTGCAAAGTATGTTTTTTTAATGTGTAATTGAATTACTGTAGTTAAAAAGTTAAAATTTTAGTGAATTATTGTAATTAAAAAATAAAAAGTTAATATTTAAATAAGTTATCGTGGTTAAAAGATTAAAAGTTAAAATTTAAATGAATTACTATATAAATTGTCGGATCTAAATAATTCAGGCTATTGTTAGGCTTTTTTTATTGAGGAGTTCAAATAGGAGGTTCTGTTTTATAATTTATTATTGTTATTGGATTAATAATAAATCTCACTATAAGTTAGGTTCATTGTCAATTCAATACCAACAAATTTATATTTGATAATGCACAAAATAATTTTATGTAAAATTAACAGTCAAATGTGTGATAAAATGTAATTAATTGACAATTAATGACAATAATATAAATATCAGATCAACACGTAGATATATAATAGTTCGGTTCGAATGATCTAATTCACTCCAAAAAATGACAACGATAGTCGTCAGACCTTCTATTGATTAAATTAGGTGAAGGAGGGAGAATAATGGTTAGCCCTTGAAGGACCTAAAAACTAGGAGAGAGAAATGTTTGCTCTGAGCAAGCAGTCCAGCTTCCACTCAGCCATGACCACGTACTCGGCTTTACTGTACCTCGGGTAATGCAGTGGCATCTGAAAGTGGTACTCACATCGCTCCTTCGCCTTCTGCCCAGTTGCTCCCCCACCCCCACCCACAGCCACCCCAGGTGGTGGCCGTGCCACAGATTCCATTACTCCTCCACTCATTCTGTATCTCTCCCTATATATAGCCTCTGGTTCTGCTACAATATCTCTATAGGTCATTGGTATGAACAGAGTGGCCTATTTATAGAGATATTGTCAAAGAGGGAGATAGATGGAATGTACTCCAATAAGCATTGTATAGATTCGTAGGAAATTATATTCGGAGAATACAAAACTTTTAGAATGGGATTTGATCCTCCAAGAAAATTTGCAGAGATGCCCTTACTTCTATTAAAATATAAATAAACTCCGCCAATTAATCTAGATACTAGAAATTTACCCAATGTGCATGTTGACAAGTGGTTTTACATATTCCAAGTTTATGCGGTGGTTACAAGTTCAAAAGACTCGTACATATATTAAGTTGGTTCAGATAGGTACATGAAAATAGATAGATGCATTGCGGATTACTCATTGTCATTGATTTAACGAGTTTTAATATTTATTAAGACACACTATCTATTCAACGATTGTAATTTGATCAAGTCAATATTTTAAGTCCAAGTAGTATTTTTCAAAAAAAAATAAAAATAAAAAAGACGACTGAAAATTATAACTTTTTAACACTAAGTAATAATTTTTTGAAGTATAAGTTACAATTTTAAAAAACATGATCGATCATGAAAAGTTAGGATCAATACTGAAAGTTCACAATCGATTATGGTCTTCCCTTAAACAGTTGTAATTTTTTATTTTAAAATTATAATTTTATTATAAAAAATAATAATTAAAAATAATTTTTCGATACCGTAGACTTTTCCCCAAAAAAAATAGACGTAATGACGCTAGTGAAATGGTAGAAAATGGAACAACTGACTAATTGGCCACACCTAACCAAAGCTACTCAGTAAATCAAGGCCCTGCCCCCACCTCAACCCCTAATCCCTCCTACTCTAACCTAACTAAGGCCTACCAAAAAAATTGGCACCAGAAGGTTCTTTCTGATTTAGAGAGAGTAGGCCTAAAAAGATTGGGGTCATTTTGATAATTAATAAAGTATAAGGGCCTTGGTGTTTGAGCAATGGTAACCAGGCCAGCCGGCTTTCTAATTTGTTGGACCATGGTTCTTACAAACGAACCTAAACTTGCATTTTGCTGCCGTAATTAATCACGGTCCTATTGGTTCATTCAAGGTTTATTCGTTACTAATCCGATGGTAGTTAACGAAAATTCCACCCAAAAGAATATAAAGAAAAGATAACCGGACAAAAAGTAGGAGCAAAATGCAATGGAGATCAGACTGCTACTTCAGCTGGTTGCATGCAAGGTTAAATTCCGGCGGCAGATTAGATTCTAAAAGATATTCCTATGCAATATCCTTCATTAAGGTATGCCTCTGAGGAAAGGCTACAGAATCAAATTCCGGTAGACTTCATGAACAGCTTACAATCCAATCGGACTACGTTAGAATTAAGCCTTTTAATCGTGTCAGGTGACATAAATTTGTATCAAATTTTAACAAATTCGTGTTAAACAATATTCTACTCATACTCAATTTATTTATAATTCGTGCCCAATGAGTCATGTCATATCGGGGTCGTGTCATTTATAAACCGTGTATAATACATATATAAACGAGTTGTATCGTATATTTTTTTGAATTAACTCCACATATACCTGATTCGTTTATTAATCGTGTCGAATTCACGAGTAGCTTAAACAAAGAACACCCTTTAATTTTATGTCTTGTTAACGAGTTGTGTCATACTTTGACACCCCTATTTGGAATTCATCATACGCAACTTACAATTCAACAGGGTTCAAAAAAGTTGGAACCAATCCTAACATAATGGGATAGATCCCAAGTTTTTTTTTTTTTTTTTCGAGCCAACATCTGGTGCCTCGACAAATTTCTTGCAAGCATGGGCATAATGGTCGAATTAAAAGTTTCACAAGGGCAAATAGCCAGTTCCATTATGATTAAACAAATTTTCTATTCTCAATCATGTTAGATTTAGTCTTCTGTTGTTTTATACACAATTTTATACCTTTCATGGAATAAAAGAACCTGTCATTGATTTATCTTTCAATGTCGACATACCAAAGAATTGTTGGACTTGATGAAGATGATACATCAGGAATCTGTTTTTCGATCAACAGAAACTTCAATGACTTCCTCAGGAGTCGCCTTCACCGGCAAAGGCAAATCTACAAGCATGTTTGAAGGCACAAAGTACATGTGTAACGACATCATGCAGATAATGATACCCAAAAAAAGCTGCACAGACGCAAAAGAGAGAAATATGGAGGATCAACAGTCGGGAATCACCAACAAAATGGGGGGCAGAATCTACTCAAAGAAAAAGTCACAATTCAGTTTCAAGCAACCTCCTATCTAGCAATAGGCGATAACAGACTGCTATTGGCTGCTTCGCCTATCTATTCTATCATGGCCGGCCCTAAAACTCTAGACATCATTTGTTATGGAGCATTGGGCCCTAGTTCAAGAAAAAAACATTGGCAACTATTGGTCACATGAAGCCACAATCACAACCTAAACAATGGAGGAGAAATACAATCAATAAATACAAGAACATGTACAACACAGTAGGTGTTAACAGCAATAGGTAGCTGCCTAGTGTCATATATAGGATCTGCTTTACGCAACCTAGATATGTATGTTTTAGATAAATAATACAACCTATGTCGTGGGGCTTATGTCTAAATGCTCCCTGGGGAATTGATGGAGGATGATAACTAGATTAAATGACAAACTAGAAGGCGAAAAAACAATTGTTGGAAGTCTACCTGCAATGTTGGTCTGAAACTGAAGGGGAATACTGATAATACCGTAGTGAGTAACATCGCCATTGATGTGGAGTATTCCTAGAAGAAGCAGCCAAATTTAATTTTTCCAAAAAGAAAAAGGAAGCAGTAAAGAAGTATGTTAGCAAAAGGATCAATTATCAAACACATACTGAAAACTGCCAGGATGTGGCCATTTTGAACTTTGAATAACTACAAGGCAACTAAGACACATCAATCAGACCATATAATAACGTAACTACTGTAATGTATGGTTTCAAATATCAAGTATTACAATGGAGAGGCATGGTTTTAACATTGTCCGCAAACATTGTTTTACAACTCATTGAGGTCTATAGTCATCACAGGTTGAGGTATTGTAGGGATTTGAAACCATTGATCTACCAGCTGCTACAGACCATAATAATTCTGTGAGCCTGTTTCCCATAACTCAACAGCAGCTTATAGAATAACGGCTTAGGCATAAGAAGATCAGATTGTGCCTGCTGCAACAGCTTATCCAAAAAAAGATCCGTACATTTATAATAACCATGCAAAATAACAGCAAATTCGTATTCCTTCTAGTCATATGCCCTAATTGACTCTCATAAGCAATTATAAAAGATGAAAATAAGATGCAACAAACAGCATCTGAGCATGGGTAAGGAGCCATGGACTTGAGAAACCAAAAAAGGTAGCAAAAAGTCATCAAATACAGCAGCAACAAAAAAAATAAAATATATATATAATGAGTTCTTATATCCTGAACTTGAACTTGATGTTACCATGAACCCGTCCGTGCTATCAGGTCCCTCGGGTGAAAATAAAAGAAAGCATCCAAATCAACAGAAATCCTCAAAATTTCAGTTGAATGAAAGAGAAAGCAATGAATTGTTTTTAAAACAGCAAAATGAGATATACGTTCACAATATTGTCGGCATACTTCATTAACCATGAAACCAGAAGCCCTGTGGAACCCAGATTCAAAACCACCATCCATGTTGTGATACTATATCCAATACAAAGTCGTTGCCACCATGGTCCTTTTTCAAATCCACCTCTAAAATCATCTACAAGAAGCCGTGTCATGTTGAAAATTGCACCAAATCTGCAAACCAGTATGTTTAAAACTGTTAATCGATCGACCAATTCCCTCCATCAACTAAATACATATTAACACCATTGCCAATTTTCAATGGCTATGCCTCATTACTCATGTTAATCTATAGTTAAAAAGGACATATGCATAATGCATCTCAAACTGACTATGTCCAATACGTAAACAAGATGAACCATCATCAATATTTTCGTGAAGACTTACGCTATAAAGAAAATTATTCTCTGGATACAGTTGCCACAGCCCGCAGAGGTAGAGCTAGTTAAACCTTACAAAGGAATAGATTACCCAATCCTTTTGGGGACAGCGTTGGGACTGGGTGGGAGAAAATGTAAGAGTCCATGGTAGAGACCCCTAGGTATTATGTTGGTGCAATCAGCAGAAAGTGAAAAATGAAAATAAAAATTGCTAGACATCTTTTTGCAATTATATGGGCTTTAATGTCAGTCCACGTGTAATATTTGATCCCTACGTCTTGAGAATAAATTGCACCAGTGAATAAATTTTCTGGAAAATTTGGCAATTTTTACAATGATTCAGAATGAAAGTTTTGTAGAATTTTAAAGTCTACATGGACTACCAATAGAGATCAACATGGACTAACACTGAATAATATATTACTTCAGTGTATAACTCAGACCTATACCACTTCATACACTTAACCTTCTCTATTTCTTTCTTATTATTTTGTTAATTGACAATCCTCAAACACCTTCAAAGTGAAAATGTGACCCCTGCTTCAGATAAGTTGCAGTATAGAAGCTCACTCAAGAATAAAACTTGCAAGTGCAACAGATTGCATGCCTTGAAGTCATGTTAATTTTAAAATGAAATGTGGTGGGTTGTGCTTGCTCAAACAAAAAAGACCTACGTATAAGCTGTCATTATTCTTCTTCATCAAGAACTCTGTATAAACGCCAGCTAACGCGGAAAGACAAGCAGACAAACTTCCCAACATATAACCCTGAATCGGAGATGAAAAGAAGGAGTCGCATGAAGCCTCTCCACAGCCTTTAGCCTACATATAAGCAGAGAAAGGAAGTGGCATGCGAACTATGTGGCAACTTTTTCCTATATACAACTTCACTTGCTAGTTACAAGAAGTTAGAGATCAAAACAAACATGTACAATAAATTTTTCATCAGAGGAGAGAAGTATGAGCAAGGGTGTATAGATCAAGCTGGATGGCACGACTAGGAAAACAATTACCGATTGGATATTTATTGGAAGACATTCCCATGTATTATTCAGATGTTGACTACAGCATTCAATGTGTCATTTAGTTGCTTTGACATCTCTTTGATGCATTAAATCCTCATCAGTGATCACCAAACTACGATTCAAGCAGCCAAATTGGCAATTTACTTACCTCTTTAATCTGATTGTATAGGCAAGCTGGACTCAATGGTCAACCCCTAACTACAGCTAGCATCTGTCAAATACTGTTGTCAACTTTCAAAATAAACATTGGTCAAGTATCAACCGATATCGGCATGGCTCGGTCAACTCATATCCAACTCGACACCTTCTCTCCCGCGACTGCTCCGTGTAAGGTGATAACCACTAGTATTGCTCAACTTGTGGTTGACCCGGAGATGTCTCCGATGGCTCAATAGAATCGTACAAGTCAGTATCGTGAAGCCGTGACATGGCTTGAACTCTTGTCATGTCCAAGTTTTTCTTCTATCTAACATTTTGTGTAGATCATCCGATAATTTTCAGTGATGCCGTGACTGATGCATCTCAATGCCTCTGAGTTGATTGCCAATATCACCAACTTGACCGTGAGTTATCATAAAGTATCAATTACTTGAGCCACTTAAACCTTGTTTACTGTTTTGTGCATTGTGATGTGGCAACTGTTTTGAAGGGCCATAATATGGTTAGTTAAGAAGGCCCCAATGTTCATAAGCAATTGAGCATGCACAAAAGCAGAAAACAGAAAGCAGGAATGTATATCCCAAGGGCACCTGGCTTGTGGTTGTTCCAACAGCCAATAGAACAATTGCCATCCACTGCAAATTAGAAAGCTTTCTCCTCAGAAACAGCCTATAGAAAAAAAAAAAAAGGAAAGAAATATCTGCTGATTTGTGAAAATCAAGATCAACATCAGGTAGCCAAAACAGACAATTTTCTGAAAAAATAGTTTCGATGCTCAAGATATGCTACTCGATGAAAAGAGCGATAGTAGCAACTGAATAATATTCCTGTAGTGACAATCTTCAGATTGCCCATTATCTGGTATGTGGATGTATCCACATAAGTCAAGGTAGCAAATTGGACATTGTTGTGGATGAGGTATATGATAGAAGGAATAGGGTATAATCGCACACTCTTCCATTCTGTGGTCATTTTTGAAGGAGGGGACACCCGCAACTCTCTCCAAAGCAGAGCACTAGATACAAAAAGCTGCAATTTAAAAGGGTATTAAATTAATGATAAAGGATAAAGAACATCATATAATTCAATTATAAAGGTTCACCATTCACCCTGACGAACAAATAGATCTCTTTTACAACCCCACTCCCAAAAAAAAAAACACATATCCTTTCCCTTTTGTATAGCTAAATAGGTAACAAAATTGAAAATAGTTCATAGTAATCACTTTTTGCTGTTTCTTACACATCATACATAAGATTTAGCGGAATACTTAGTACCTTGAAAACTTCAGCAAGAAACGGAACAGTTGCGTAGTCATATTTATATCCCCCATTACTCTCTGACAGTGTCGTCAAAATTCCCTGCCGTGTAATATAAAAATCAGAACTAACGAGGTTAGAGATCATAAATGCATAAAAACCTTAACCTTAATCTTCCATTTATGTTTTCTTACAATTATTACTATCAAAACCTCTAAATTTCAAGATGATGATGATTGAGATTCCACACACAGCCAATAACTACGTCAAAGTTAAAAGTTGAGAAAAATTAGGGATTTAGTTAGGGTTAGAGACAGACCTGAGAGCTGGTGAGGACGGTGAGAAGCGCAGCGACAGCGTACCACTTCATATCCTACACTAACATTTACTCCACAGGAATTGTACATCTGGGAGAATTTCCAGAGTCCAAACTGTCATTGCCACTTTCATTTTTCTTCATATATTCGTGACGATACCCTTAGTTTTCAAATATTTACGGAAACCCCCTTTTTTCAATTGCAATTTTTATTTTCATCTATATGTATAATAGAGGAGTTTGTTGAGGTAATAGCGGGAGAGTGGTGGGTTGTGGTTGCGCTGCTAGGTGTTAGGACTCTATTATGTCGTGAGAGAGATGGTCGTTGGGGCTTTGATATGTCACAAGAGAGGGAGTGTGGGGTCAACTTTAGGGGAAGAATGAGTCTTTAAGTTTAAGCATGGTCTTGGGTCTTGGGTTTGGGTCAATACGTAATATGATGGTAAAATAGTCTTTTTGTTGATGTCCTCAACGGTGATCATTTAATGGGATTTCAGCGTAATTTTTGAACCATGAAAGGTATTTAAGCAATAAACTCAAAAGTTTAGGAGTGTGAGTATAATTTATCCGAAAACAAACTACTCCCGGTAAATATGTCTAATTTTTTAGCCCTTCATGTCGGCCTCCGTAGACGGAAAATGGCGAAGCACTCACTTGACAGCTGACATCGAAATAAACTACACATATAACCTGACTATTATGTTAACTAAATTATTAATTTTTTTTTTTATTAATTGAACCTTAAATTTTCTAATTTTATTAATTAAATATTTTATTTTTTTGTGACAGAAGAATAAAATTAAAAAATTTAAAGACTCAATTAATACTAAAAAAAATTAAAATCTTAATTGACGTAAAAATCATAATTTTAATATAATGTAGTTTACTCTAATAATAATAAAGCATAGTGCAGCAGGATCGACAGGGTTGACAGAGCGCTCTGTTGCCGACGAAGAGTAATCAGGCGAGTTCATCCACGAGTTCCGGCGAAGTTCCGATGACAAATTACTATTGGTATCGAATTCTACTGTCTAATATTTACAGAAAAATCCATCATCGTAGTTTATTTTTTGGCACAATTACGACTTGACGAAACATATTATAGAGGGAATGAGTTTAGGGAGGGTATTTAGTTTGGGAATTTGTGTTCACAAGAATATTATTTTGGTCAAAGAATCGTCTTGGGAGGGGGTGTTTGTTTGGGAATTTGATTTAAGAATGTATTATTTTTGTTTTGGTAAAAAAAAATTGATTAATGTTTGAGATAAGAGCATCATTTTGTCTGAAATTTGAATTGACCCCTGTCTGTGATGGATAACTTTCTGCTTAACGTAGTGCCACCCTAAATAAAAGTAAAGCCAGGAAACTCGCGGGAACTAAACATATTGAACCGCACACGAAGAGGGGACTTCTAACATTCAAGCTGCCAAGTGTTGGGCCATAAAGAAATTCTCATTTTTTTTTCTTGGAAAACATTGGTATTTCATCCATTTTCTGCGAATTCAGACATCATCCAAGGGGGGTCAAAAAAGTTTCCTCTTGTGATCAATCCAGAGTTGTATGATAATGATATCGATTTGATTTTTATGAAAATCGCTGTCAGTTTCATTACCCAGTGTTCGTTTCATTGTTCTTCGGATGGTGGTCGAGGAATTTTCAAGAAATTTTGATGAAATTCATTGAGGTTCATGAGTGCCTGAGGAAAATTAGCAGTTTCTCTGAGAACCGTTCATGGGTCATTTTTCTTTTTGATTGAAGACACTGTTATCTGAACAAAGATTTCTCGGATTGATCTTGGTTTGACGGAGTCTATTTGGAGACCTTTTACTATCTCCATATGCTTTTGGCCATCATTCCCTGGTGAGTATCAAGTATCAACCCAAAAAAAAAAAAGGAAAATGTTGGTTATTGCCAATTTTTGTTGTTACCTTGCAATCATGTCTCTCTTCATTTGTTGAATAATCTTGAAATCAGTGATACCCATTTTCAGAGTTTTGTTCTGTTATCTAGGGATGGAGCAGTTCCGGCAGGTTGGAGAGGTTGTCGGAAGTTTAAACGCTTTGATGGTATTCCAAGATGATATACAAATTAACCGTAGGCAGTGCTGTTTGTTATTTGATATGCTCATTTTTGCATACAAAACAATAGCGGAGGAGATGCAACAAAACCTGAGATTTGAAGAGAAAAACATAAAATGGAAAATTATTGAACAACCATTAACAGAGCTCCATAGGATATTCAAAGAAGGAGAAGGATACATCAGACAATGCCTGGAAACAAAAGACTGGTGGGCTAAAGCTGTTATGCTCCATCAAAACACAGACTGTGTCGAGTTTCACATCCACAACTTGCTCGGCTGCATTCCCATTGTCATCGAAGCAATTGAAATAGCTGGAGAAACATCAAGTTGGGACCATGATGAGATGCAAAAGAAGAGAGTGATATACTCGATGAAATACCAAAAAGAATTTAGAGACCCTAAACTGTTCCAATGGAGATTCGGAAAGCAGTATTTGGTATCTGAGGATTTTTGCACTCGATTAGATACAGTTTGGGATGAAGATAGATGGATTCTGCTAAACAAAATCCGAGAGAAAAGAAAAGCAGGTACAGTAAATTCAACAAAGCAAGACCTCCGGCTCATGGATCTTCTGTTCAAAAACTTGAATGAATCAGAGGTATTGAATGGCAAACTCTTGTCATGTTCAATCTTAGTGGGTTCAAAGGACTACCAGGTTAAGAGGCGGTTAGGAGGTGGCAGCCAATACAAGGAAATCCAATGGCTGGGTGAGAGCTTTGCTCTAAGACACTTTTTTGGGGACATTGAACCACTGATTGCTGAGATTTCTCAAGACCTCTCTTTGTCACACCCTAATATAATGCACACCTTCTGTGGGTTTACTGATGAGGAAAAGAAAGAGTGTTTTCTCGTTATGGAACTCATGAATCGAGATCTGTCGTGTTATATTAAAGAGATTTGTGGTCCGAGGAAGAGAATTCCATTCTCTCTTCCTGTTGCAGTTGACCTTATGCTTCAGATTGCAAGAGGAATGGAATATCTCCACTCAAAGAACACATATCACGGAGATTTAAACCCTTCAAACATCCTTCTGAAAGCAAGAAACAGCTCCTCAGAAGGATATTTACTTGCAAAAGTTTCAGGATTCAGTCTATCATCCTCCATTCGGCTCACACAAAAATCACCTCCAAATCAGAATGGAACATTCCAATTCATCTGGTATGCTCCTGAAGTTCTAGCTGAGCAAGAAAATTTGGGAAGTATTGGAAAGTCCAACTACACAGAAAAGTCCGATGTGTACAGCTTTGGGATGATTTGCTTTGAGCTTTTAACAGGCAAAGTCCCTTTTGAGGATGGTCATCTCCAAGGAGATACAATGAGCAGAAACATACGGGCGGGGGAGAGGCCACTGTTCCCTTTTCATTCACCGAAATTCTTAACAAACTTAACAAAAAAGTGCTGGCATAGTGATCCCAATCAAAGACCAAATTTCTCGTCTATTTGTAGGATTCTTCGCTACATAACACGTTACTTAGTGATGAACCCTGATCACTGCCAGCCAGAACCACCAATGCCACTAGTAGATTACTGTGACATTGAGGCAGGGCTTTTCAAGAACTTCCCCTCCTGGAGGAATTCAGATTCGTTGCTGATTTCACAAATTCCATTTCAGATGTTTGCTTATAGAGCATTGGAGAAAGAGAAATTAAACACAAGTCAGAGAGAAAATTCTGAATCAGGAAGTGATGGAGCTTCAGCTTGTGGGGAAGAGAATGTCATTGCAGATGACCCATTGCCATCGCCAACTGAAAAAAAGTATTTGGTATCTCCAGAAGCTATGAACAAGAAACTGCCCTCAAGGAAATCTGCAGACCCGAAAGCCAACAAACAGCCAGGTCACATATTCTCTCTGAAAATTACTGCGCATGCCAGTTAATTATTGCTAGGAGTCTATGCCTAAAGCATAAAAAACTTCAAATATAGTTTACAAAACATTATTTATCAACAATACAGGGATTTGGGGCACAATTTGAACCATTCATCAACAGCATATAGAACGATATTTATAAATGCTTGTCCATTTCGTTGCTTGTGTTTCTAAAGCATGTAGGAGTTAACAATAAGTAACATTAAATCCTCGGCAGATGCATTAGACATGAGCATTTTCCTGTATTTTTTATGCTTACATTCAATTAACAGCATCCTTTTTTTTTTGTCCTGAATAACCAATATGATTCCTTTCCTACATCAAACATTACATTCAATCTGTTTGCAACATGCCCAGATAGCCGAAGCCACCATTTGAATCACTATAATTGACCCCAATTGAAAGCAGCAAGACTTACTATTGGAAAAACAAGTAATAAACTTTTGTGTTGTGTCATGTCATGTCAACTCAACTTCATATCGCATCAAATCTTGTTCAAGCAATAGTAATACCCAATCTATCTGTAGTCTGCATTTCGTTTTGTTTTTGTAGTGTATACGTTATGTTTAGCTGGGTTGACCCATTTATTAATTGAGTTTTCATAGATTCACCCGTTATTTTGTTTTCATTTTGTAACGTGCTCATGAATTGTATTTGGAATTGCAAGGCCAACTTGTATTGATTGGCAAAGCAATGAGAAGAATAGCAAAACAAAAGATTCAGTAATGCAATTCCTTAATGAACTAACACTGCTTTTATGGGTTGGATTTGACAGGGACGCCCAAAGCACGTTCAGTTAGACCTCCCCAAATGACTAATTTCGGTCGCAGTATGAGGATGAAATCTGAAAGCCAGCTGATGTTGATGAGTCCAAAGACACGGCGACTATCAGGTCATATGTCAGATTCCGAGCTCTCCTAAGCATGCGTCAATATACCAAGACCACAAGAGTTTTGACCCCAGTTGAACTACAGAGCCAAGACCAGTGGCTTTCTGGTTACCAATATCAGTGTCAATAAACCACAGATCCTGATATAGCATACCATATGCAGGTAAAGCTATGTATATCTGACTCTCTTCAGATCTTGTAATGATCATAGACTCGTACATTGGGCCATCCTTAAGGTTTAGATTACACTGACCGGATGCTTGTTGAAACCATAGTGGAGTTGCTTGTGCTGAACCACAATTAGAAAATTTGATGTCCTTCTTTCTCAAGTCCTCTTATTGTCTAATTCTATTGTGCATATATTTGAGGACGGTCTTGAAAGTTGGTAAGATTGTTCTATTGTAATTTACGATCATGGGATTGGGACCAAGACATGTGGAATAAGATTGTGTACATATATTCTTTCCCAATCTACGCACTTGTTGAAGTGGTTGTTGCAGAAATGGCGCTCATCCCTCCACATCAAATACTTGAGTTTCTAATTTCCATGTGGTTATTAGCGACCGTAACTATAACGGTATTAAGGTAACAAAATTTTTTGTTGAAGGTAAGTTCTGACTTGCATGAAAGGTATAACAATTTGCATACTGTCTCAAAAAGAAATTTGGTGAAATTAACATGTCTTTGAAAATGCGAACTAGTTGCACTTGGACAAAAAGACCCAATGAAACTCCATTGTTCCTTGAGAATGACCTTGGGCCATTCTTGTGCACCTTAGGTGGAAGGCATAGAAGACCTCCTTCCGAGGGGGCCCGAGCCATCATTGAAATACCACTATAAAAATGTTAGAATTCTAACCTTATGTTAAGAGCTATTAGCTAAGCGATCAGTTGCATTTCATCTCCTTGTTGGTCTATCAAACTATCTATCATTTTCTCTTTTAGTCGAGTGGCTTTGCCATATGAAATTGTACACGACCAATAATCTAAATATGACATAAATACAAAATCGTTGGATATAAACTTGATTGTAATAGATTTGGGTGATAACCAAAGTAACCAATCAAACTCATTTAATAAATCAATAATAATTCAATTATATAAAATTATAAATGAGTTAAGTATAAGTCAAATAAAGTTTAATAAAATACGATTTAAACACGATATAAACTTACACAATATGATCCATCACGATTATGAAAGCAACAAACTCGAATGGTCCAAACAATATAGGCTGTTCGGTGGAAGCACCCAATGTAAATTGCAACCAAATGGAGAGGCCCAAATTTGTTCCACAATTAACAACCAATAGAACTAACTCAACGGTCAATTCCCTAATTTTGCTGCGAATATCTATTCCATACAATTGTCATAAACATATTTTATCTCTAAATTTCGAAAAAAAAAAAATACACAGGAAAAGAACACCACCACCATTACTCTTCCTATCTATCAGTCACTGTACACCATTGGTTTTAAAGCTTGAATGTTTGTAGCCCTCTGAAATTGAGCCTACGACTTTCCAAGAAAGTGAGCCGACTATCTTTGCCCCTCTATCTCTCTCTCTTTGTGGGAATATTTGATTGGGGAACAAGTAAGGTTTGACTGTCCTATTTGAATCAATTAAGTCCCCCAATCTGAGGAAGAACTGAGGAGGTTGAGATTTATATATAGCTCTAGTCTTGATTTTCTCAATCATAGCTCTCTGCAGCAACCCAAAAGTTAAATACTCCTTGACTTTCTTCTCCTGTTTCGGTTTCGATTCATCTCTTATCAAGATAACTAGGTATTAAGGGTAATTGGTCTTCTTTTGACACCAATTATCTTCTACTCATGTTCTTCATGGATTGCACTAATTTTTTTGCTTATTTGCTAATAAACCCTCATCAAGAACTGATTGAAACATTTTTCTTGATTCAATTTTTTTTTTTGGAAAATTTTCTTTTTGGTGTTTTATTTAGAATTTATTGATGATTGCTGTGCGTGCTTTTGTATGTATCTCTACTTATCTATTTATTTTATGGTAGATTTGATATAGGTGAGATGACAGAATCTGTTATAGACATGGACCAGAAAGAGAAGCTGGTGGATAGAAGAGAAGAAGAAGATGAAGAGAAAGAGAATGGAGATAACGGGCCATCTTCGAGTGAAAACACATCTTTTTTAACGGAGCTAAATTTAATTCTTCTACTTTCATTTCTCTCATTATCGTCTGAAGAATGTTACGATTCTGAGGAGGTTAAGGAGACGGAGAATATCAAAGATCACAAAGTTGTGCAAACCGCGTCGAGATCACAGACTAGAAGACAAAATGTAAAGGAATTTAAAGCTCTTGATCGGCAAGCGCCAAGATTACAAACGAAGATAAGAGATTGCAGGTACGGTTTCTCTCTCCCTCTCTCTCTCAATAGTCGGAATTATTTATAGGGTAATCACATTTTACACCCCCAAAACATTTAAGAATTCTTATGTTATACCTTCAAAAATTAAACTTTTTTACATTAGACATTATTGCAATAATGGGTCTTTTCTAAACTTTTTACATCAGACATTATTGCAATACGGATCTTTCGTTTGTTTCTGTTGCTCAATTTGTGAAAAATCACCCCCTTTTAGTATGAAATCACTCTCTTGACATTGCCAGAATAAGGTTGCACCTTTAAATGTGAGGTTGCAAAAGAGGGTCTATCTTCTTTTTTGCATTATTTGTTCCCATTTTATGGAAAATGGTTCAATTTGGTTTGCGTCTTAAAAAATAATATACAAAGTTGTTTTTGAAAAGAGTTTTAGAAAAGTTGTTTTGATTGTTTTTTTTTGGTTGCGGTATTTGTTTGGTTATATGATTCACAAAATAGTTCTGCAAAATAATAAAAATAGAAATGTAGAGGCAGTAGAAGTGTGATGGTGGTGGTGTTTTCTAAATTCTAGAAAGATTGTTTCTAAAAATACACAAAAAGTGTCTTTAACTTGTTCTCTTAAATTACCTATTTTTTGTTCTCAATTTTTAAAAAACAAAAACCAAAAATAACTGGCAAAATAATTTTTTTCCTAGAAACTGTCTCCCAAAACAAAAAATAAAATAAAATTTTGATATACAAATCCATTTTGGACACCCTCAAAATGGGACCAGATAATATAAAGAAGAAAATACAACCAGTAAGTAGAATATTGCATAACCATGGGTAATCAATCCCCAATCCTCTTTGGTTTTATGTGTCATGTATAGCAAGAAAAATAAAAAGTAGAATGCTGGATGACTATAGATGTCAAGAGAAGGAAAAGAAAACGAAAACTATCAGTTTAGATTATATTTTACAATTATTCAGAATGAAAAAATAAATGAAAAACATAGGATTTTGGTATTTTTCTCAGTTTTCAATGTAGTGTTTACCAATCACCTACTTTGCAACTTATTTAAGTATTATGTTCTTGAAAATAAGCAATATTGAGAAATTGATTTTGATGTTTTTTGTACAGGCACAACAGAAGAATGTGACAACATCATGCAAGAAGCAGCAGAATAGGGTGCAAGAAGTCTTGAGTTCAAAACCTTCCGGGGAAAAAAACCCAGAGAAGATGTCAACAATATCGAGCTCAACCAGCAAAAGGGGTGATTACATATACTTTTGTCCACCCCTTCTTTGATATAGAAGTAGGAGAGAGAGTTGTATGTTTTTTAGAAGAACACAAACACATTTACAAATATCATTAGCAATAACAAAGTTGATGTATCAAACCAGTCTAGCATTGTTCAGGAATGGAGAAGCTTTATTGACTTCAAAAGCATGGTATGCCAATGCATTAGTCCTTGCAAGTACTTATTAACGTGTGATAGAAATAAGCATTTAATGGTAAAACATTAGCAAGGGATGTTCCATAGGGTATTCTAACCCATCCCTTCTCCTTCTTCCTCTCCCCCTCAACCTTTTCAAAATTTTTTTTTTTCCTGTAACTTGGAATCGTTTCAACCACATGGTATTTGGACTCGTAGCTATAATACAAATCTTAGAGCACGTAATCTCACCCACTAATCATGTAGTAGTTCAGGTACACCTGAGTTATGCGATTAGAGTGACTCAAACTTAAAATATGAGAGTTTATGCATCTCACTTTTTTGCCGAACTATGTGGATAATCAGACACCAATAATGACGAGCAGCCCAACCCCTCCTTCTCTCTCATTCCTCCGATGGAATAGTGCACAGATCCTCAGATTTGACATCTCAACCAAACAATTCTGACAATGGTCTTATCTCCAACAAAGCTCTCTCAAACAATAACACACACACACACACACTCTCTCTCTATATATGTGTGTGTGTGTGTTTACATTGTAAAATTTATGTATATTGTCTGGCCTTTTTTTTTTTTTTTTTGATTGTGTCAAGTTTCAATTTTTTGGTCCGACTCCGATTGGCGAAGGTGAAGGTGGAGGCAATGTATTGCGGAGTCATACTTAGAGCAAAAAACTCATCCCAACTAAAGTTGGTGTCAGAAGGCGAATTGATGTCTTCCGATGGACGAAGTCGGTGCCCACCCCTAGACACCAGAAGGCTCTGTCCATCTAATAGAGACTAATATCTTTCTGACTGACACTAATACACCTATGGAGGACGCATGAACAAAAAATCATCCCAAGTGTCAATACAACCCTACATGTAACAACTATCATGCAACAATGCAGCAGCCATGGACAAACCCATTAGCCCCATGGGTAGGGCATAGCCATATAGGTTATTGTGGCCCGTTAAGTCCTCCAGCCTGCCCATTTTAGGCCCACTAGACTGGCCATTAGCCTGATAAAAATTCAAAAAATAAACAACAAATAATAGGTCAAGCCAAATAAAAATTTGAAAAATCTAGACCTCATGGGTCGGGCCAATAAGTAGCCCACTAAAGATCAATTAAGGCTGATCCAACGCAACCCATTGATCAACCATGATAAATATTCCGCCACTTTGAGCATAATAATAATAATAACAACGAATCACCCCAGAAGAAGATAGTATAACGGTTACACACTTGTTATTGGCACATCATTAGACAGTGCCGCCACATTATAATACTGAAACGATATGACCATTACAATGAATATTGTAATACTCCAAATTTTTATATATATATATATATATATATATATATATATATATATATATATATATATATATATATAACATAGTTTAGGACAATTTGTGATATTCTTTTTAAAAAGGGATGTTTGTATACTTAAGGAATGAAGAATTGTAGGGTTCTTTATGGGTTTTTTTACTTTGTATAAATATATATGTAGGCAGTCAAAAGAGGGCAAAATAAAAAAATTAAAAAAAAAAAGGAAGAAAGAAAGAAAGAGACGGCTTAAGGGAGAGAGAAGGAAGGAGGAAAAAGAAAAAAATTGATTGATTCCATTAAAAGTATGGATTAATTATTTCTCTTATGATTGTATATATATATATGAGTCTTACGGTACCTTGTTGATTATTAAAATTATTAGGATGAATTTTAAGTTTATAGTTGTTTAAAATTGATTGAGTTTAATCAATATGTTGAAAAAAGAAAAGAAAAAGAGATTTGATTTGAACTTACCCAATATACAAGCTAGATGATTTCATTGGTGGAAGGAGACAAAGTCTTGAAATTATATAAAGAACTTTTAAAGAACTTTTAAAGCTTTTGACTTTAAAGAACTTTAGTTTGACCTCTATATTCTTTAAAATTTATTTTAATCATTGTTTTACTTAGTAAGTTGGAAGAATAGAATTTTGAAAATTTTATAGGAGTCCCGAAAACTGAAAATTCCTTTTTCAAAGAAATTATACTTTGATCCCAAAAATTTTAAAATTATAATTTAACCCCAAAACTTTAAGAGCTTTTTATAAACTGCCCAGATTACATCCATACCCTATTAACTTACATTAAAAATATTATTTCTATGTAAATGATATATAAAGTATATATCAATTGGTAGAAAGTATAAAAATTAAATATAAAATTGCGAAATAACGAAGTTAGGAATAATGATTGATCGTTTTATGTTATTTTGAATTAGGTGGTGATTACATTGAGGTTGAGATAAAAGGCTTTGAATTGAATTTTGGGAATCAAGGTGAATAATTTATTACTTTTTTTAGGAGGATTTTCTTTATTCAATGTGTTGGTGTGTGCGTGTAGATTTTCATATATATGAAATATGTGTTGATGTTTGGAGTTGCATTATATGTGAATTTTTTAAAATTTGTGGGATAATTTTATATCATTACTTTGCTGATAAAATAAAAATTTTACGTACTTTGGGACTAAAATTACAGTTTTTGTGTGTGTAAAAATCATGTTTATAAGACAGGAACTAGGATTATCAGGTCTAAGTGGTAACAAGAGATTGTGTCAGTCATCAGACTAGTGATGACAAGAGACTGAACCAGTTATCAGACTAGTAATAACAAGAGACGGGACCAATCATCAAGCTAATGATGACAAGAGACTAGACCAGTTACCATACTAGTTTTAATAAGAGACTGAGTCAGTTACCAGACTAGTGGTAACAAACATGATTTGATAAATGTATTTGAAACTAAATGTGTGTGTGTGAATGTTTTGGGTTATAAATGTGTTTTCATTTATAAAGTTATTTGTGATCATGAAATTATTTTGTTTAAATGATTATGTGAGAGGGATTGAGATATAATTTGCTGAACTTATGTGTATATCAAAGTTTATTTTCGTATATAAACTGGAGAATTTATTTTCATACTTCATTAGAGGTGATTGCTATTCATGGGTTATTGTGTTCATCTAAACATTTAATATTTTTCAAGTGAGGATCACGATTATGAGTAAGTTTACAGATAAACAAGTGATTAGAGGACTTGAAAATTTATTTTAATGTAGGTCTTCAGAAATAAAAGTCTTTTATAGTTTTGAGACAAATGTTTAATTGTATTAGGAACAATATTGCTGACGTTTAGAGTAGTGAACCTTACGGTTTAATTATTATTTTGCATAGATTTAGTAATGATGTTAGCAGGTAGGGGCCAGGGTGGGCACGTGCCCCCCCCCCCCCCCCCCCCCCCCCACCCCCCCCCACCCCCATTTTTTTTTATTAGTTAAATATATGTATTATATATTTATACATATATATTATGTGTGTCATCTCATTTATATTATGCCTACATTATTTACCCAAAATAATTAAACAATTAAGTCCATTTAAAACAAAAAACATTGAACTCACTATTATCTATCTAAACTTATTAAAAAAATCAAATATTTGACCTATCACAATCCACCCAAATCTATTAAAAAAATAAAAATTTTAGCCCAACATTAAAAACAAAATTTTTGACCCAACATTAAAAACAAAACTTTTGGTCCACTATCATTAAAAAACAAAATTTTTGGTCCACTTGACTAATGCTTATTTTATCTATCTTTTTTTTTTTTTCCTCTTTGTATCATTCACTCCTAGCTAACCACTGCCCACTAACCAGCCACAAGAAAAAGAGAAGAAATAGATAAAAGATCAACACAAGAGAAGCTCAGTTTCTTGAGTTTTTTGTCCTTTCTTACACCAACCTATAAAATTATTTTATACATTATATTTACCCCTAAATTTTTGAAAATTTTAATAATGGTTCCAATCTTTTTTTTTTTTTTTAATAAATTAGTGGACCACTAATTCTCTAAAATAAATATGTTAGTTTTGGATTGAGTTAATATTTTATTTGTATATAGACGAAAATACAATATTTCTTTTTATCTAACACAATATTCGTTACTTTTTCAAGAATAATTTTTAGTTTTCATTTACTATTTTTTTAGTAATAGTAGTCTATAACCTAATAAAATACGAAAATTAATTTACATTTAATTAATATACAAAATTTTATGTACTAAAAAATTTATTTTGTATCTTTTTGTTTCGGCTAAATAAAAATTGAATTTACTATTTCACAATAATTTAGTGTTGATTCTTACTTTTTTTTATTCTTGAACTGAATTTTTTTGTATTAATTTCGGCTTAATATTTTTTTATATCAGTTATATTTTACCTCTATCATAGATATTTATAACTCTGCCCCTGATAATATATATATATATATATATATATATATATATATATATATATATATATATATATATATATATATATTTGGAATTTTTTTATGTTAAATGGACTTTATATATCAAATATAATATAATAAATATAAATATGTTGCATAGTGTAATTGATTAGAAGAAAAAAAATTAAAGTCCATAATTAAAGTGCCCACCCTGAACAAAATTCCTAGCTCCGCCCCTGGATGTTAGTGATGTTTAATTAATTTATTTGGTATTCATTAGGTTGGTGGTGGATCACTTTATTATTTATGTTTCGTTGTATTTTATATTTATTATACATATGATTAATTGATTAAGCTTTCGGTGATTAATCCGTCACCTACCCTGTATGATTCGAGTTGGGGATGTGACAAATATTTTCCCGATCAATCAACGACTCGAG